TGAAACCTTTCCATAGGAACCCTCCAATTCTGCTGTCGACCAAGATGACCTCAGCTGTTATCACAGTTACGTGGTCCATGTCTGACCTGCACCCTCTGTTCTGTCAGCATCCTTTAGAGTGTTTCCTCCATGTGCTCCAACTGCCATTATTGACTTTAGTCTGCTTTGTAAAAGCTGGTATAATAATCCAGCTGTTATGAATCCATTGCACATTCCCAGTGCAAGACTTATAGTATGGTAAGAGCTGGAAGGGACCTTGATGGTCGAGTGTGACCCCATGTTACAGACTAAGAAACTGAAACCTGGAGACTTGCCCAAGCCCCAAAGCCTAGTTTGCCAACAGTGTTAGAACTAGACTCTAAGCCGTGTATTTTCTTTTCCTTATGTCTTTTTTAAATGACTTTTTCCTTTGGAAAATGTCAAACATAAACAAAAATGAGCTAGTATAATGAATCCCCCTTATATCTCCATTCCTCAGCTTCAGCAATATCAGTGTTTAAACAATCGTGTATTGTCTGTACCTCTCCAAAGATTATTTTACAGCAACTCATAATTTCACTTGTATTTATTTTATTTATCTTTTAAAGATAAGGGTCATTTTTAAAAACAGTCTTAATATCATTACCATACTTTAAATAAACAGTAATAACCTAACTGCTTTCATCAAAACCCATTGCCCCTTGATATAGTAAATAGCCCAGTTCTTACAGTTGCAATGCTGGTTTACTTAGGAGCTGAATTCTGAGGTCTCAGTGTTGGTGACCTGCTTTACCATTAGATAAATAGTGGGTGAAATGCTTTCTATGGTTGAAGACAGAAAACTTAACTTGAATTTCTTATATATTTGTTTCTTTTTGAGATTCCACAGCATAGCCTTGAGTATAGAGCAGTACTTATATAATTACCTTGGAAACTTTTCATAATACTTACAATCTGTTTTACCTGGGAGTATAACATAGAGAACCAGAGACATTTATTTTCAAGTTGTCGGCTTCCTGTCCTGTTATATTTTCAAGCACATAAAATCCAGTCGTCTTTGAGTTATGTTGGTCCTTCCAGGTCTTCATCGTCCTACCTGTCAGTCTGAGCTTCTGTACTACCTGGTATTAAAGCGCAGGCACAGATGGAAATGCACATGTGTTCGTCAGTTATCTGTGATTTGAAATGGCCTATAGCTTATCTCCCTTTCACTAGAATTGACTGTAGGGTGAATGAAATTACACTTACGAAACAAGGATTTTTCTTGTTAGGTATAGCTATCACATAACTTGATCAGCCTTTGGATTTTAGAGTTCTTCACTGATCTAATTTATAATAACTACAGTTATCATTTATGTAGTGCCTTACAGTTTTTAAAACACCTTTACAGATAGCTTCCTGCCTGATAGTAGTTGTTAGAGTTCAGATCTGATGGCATTGAATCCTCTGAGACAAACTAGCATAATTTACAATTCTAACATATATTTTCTGGCTTTTTCCTCTTTACATCTTGTACTGAGGCTTGGGTACTCAGGATTGACAATGTGGTATAGCAACAACATTGCTGGTTGGTACAGAAAGACCCTACAAACAACTTGGTGGTGTTTGTAGCTAGATGATGCCTTTCATTACTGGCCTTAGCAGTCTGGCCTTTGAAAAGAAGGTAGTGGTAGCATTATTGAGCATCAAGAATTTCATTGATTGATTCCTACAATAATAAGGAAGGAGAAAATCCATACCCCTAACAAGTTTCTTCACCCAGACATTTCAACTGTCACATTGTCATGGCCTGGGCTGTTTATAAAAACAGAAATAGGGATGTCATGGTCCAGACTCCTCAGCTTCTTTATCTAAACTCTTAAGTTTCATGTAAAGCAGGAATGCTGTTGTTTATTTGCCTTTTGTTTTTTTTAAAACAACTATTTTTTAAAAGCATTTCTCAGTTTTTATTGGGTTCAATTGGAAAAGTCTTTATTGTAAACAGAAACTAATTGATTGTAAGTGTATCAAACTGAGATTTTTTTTTTCCCTCCTTTTTTTTTCTTTTACTGTTTGAGCTAATTTTTTCTATTCCAAACAAAATTCTGAACCTTAATACGTGGACATTTCTCTTTTCCTTTGCCAGTGTGCAAATCTCCAGGGAGTCAAGATGCTCTGTTCTAATGCAGAAGGAGCATCCCTGAAACTGTGCAATTTTGAAGATCCTTCTGGTCTTAAAGCCAATTTAGAAGGTGAGATTCTATCTATAATTACCTTCTCTAAGGTAAAAACACACTGTTAAGTAAGTAAAAAGCCCTGCAAAACAATTGTTACTGCTAAAACATGACAACCATAGGGATGTAGATTTCTTCTGTCTTATACTTAGAGAATTTGCAAAGGGATTAAGCCATTGCTTGGTCTCAGTCCTGGTGACCAACATGCTGAACTCGGGAAATGTGGCCTCCAATGTTTAAGGAGGCTTCAGTTGGAGAATTAAGTATCAACATCTTAAACTTTCAAACAGAACAGCATAGCCTTACACGGACCAAAATTAAGAAATTCAGTTTGCATATAGCCAGGCAGTTTTTTGTCATTTTTGGATATAATATTTTGTTTATGAATTCCTTATTGCTTTGTTGTGTCCATGAACTGGTCAATTCATTTATTTGTATATTTAGAAGACACAGTACTTATCTTCACTGCCATGAACTTTCCAGGGCATATTTAAAAGTGCTAATTATCATAAGACCGAATTTAATTCCTCCATCAAAAATACAGACTAAAACATGAATGCTTAATTCATAGTGTAAGCAAACATATTGTTAACAAAGAACTCTTTATATATGTATGTTGGTTGAGAGACAGATTTATAATTCAGTCATTTACAAAGGATCCAGAGGTCATCATTCACCTCTATTATAAGTCACCTTGCATCTTTTGAAGATAGATGACTATAAATATTTTCAAGTTCAACTGTGCCTAAAATGTATTCCCTTTAGGTGCTAATCTGAAAGGTGTGGATATGGAAGGAAGTCAAATGACAGGTATTAACCTGAGAGTTGCTACCTTAAAAAATGCAAAGTTGAAGAACTGTAACCTCAGAGGAGCGACTCTGGCAGGAACTGATTTGGAGGTGAGTCAGCAAGTTGAAAGAGTTTTTATTAATCTAGAATTACTGAGTAGCTCCTGCAAAATGTATTGAGATCATAAACAAAGTAGTTGGCTGGTCAAAACTGCCAGGTAACATGCCAGCCCAGCTGAAGGGATGCTTTCCTTTCAGTTGCTTGTTTAAACAAATTTGAATTCCAGAGTAGGATCCGGTTACCTAAGTTACAGATGCCAGGTTCAGATTTGAAGACTCAATCTGGCATTCAGTCTGAGCTGATTTCATTTCTCCTCTTTTCCTTGGGTCTCCCTCAAGTAGATACATTTGATAGATGCTTTTTTAATCCAGTTGATTGTGGTTTCCTTAAATTTTCATTCCAAACAGAATTTAATTGGGCCAGATTATTTCTTGAACTACTTGAGAAATTGAAATGACATCTGTGTTTGAAATCAGGTTCAGGGAAGCCTGTTCTAAATCGGCATCATATTTTTTGAATCTCAACCTGAGATTTTCATTCTGTCCAGTCACCTTTTTCGTCAGTATTGTCTTGTATGTATCATCTTGATTGGCAGATTTAGCGTGCAGACTCCAGAGCTGTTAATAGGTCTGTATCATCGCTCTCTGGTAGCTCTTTCTGCGACAGTGGGCATGTTCTGTGACCCTGCTGTCAGTCCAGTAACCACCAGCCACCTATGGCTCCTGAGCTTTTAAAATGTGGCCAGTGCCACTGAGAGATGGATTTTTTTAATTGAATTTAATTTTAATTCATTTAAACATAAGCTGCCACATGTGGCTGGGACTATCGTACTGAACAGTACAGCCCGATACAAGAAAACCTGGCATAGACTGGATTGTAGAGACTAGCGCGTCAACGTTTAGCTTGCTGTTGATCTTTTAAAATGTTTTCGCCTTGTTCTCTTGGTAGGTCTTAGCAGCGTAGTAGCAGGCCCCATTAACCTTAAAGGCAAAAAGAACCAGCCTAAGACTGAAGGTATAAACCTATTATAAGCACCATTATTTAGTTTTTTATTATGTGTTACTGTCACCTATGATGATGATTGTTTTTCCTTGGTTTGAGTTAGCATGTAGTCAATGCGGTTAAACAGCAGAAAGCTTCTCTTTATCCAGCTGATTGCAAAGACTAATCAGGTTGACTGTTGGGGCAGCTGCTGACAGGTTATGTGCAGTCACCCTTCTCTCTAACCATTGTCCCCACCATCCCCAGGGATGTAGGACTTATCCAAAATCCCTGTCTCATCTGTCACTCCCTGATCTCAAGGGAAATTTGAAAGCAGTTCCCACTTATGGTGGTGGTTACACTGCTGTATACATTTATTAAAACTCATTGAACTGTACAAATAATTTGGGGGTTAAAAAGAGGTAATTCCTTGCTCTAAGAGTGTTAGGGTTGAAGGAGAATCTATTATGCGATTTAATGAAGTGAAATCCCTTTCTCTGCGATGTTTTTTACACAGTCTCCCCCACCCCCTCACTCCCATGCCTTGCATTATTATTGTTCATGGATTGTTTAGATACTTTTTACTCCATTGGAGTCCATTCTGGATTTTAAATGCCTAAAACACAGAAGGGACATGCTTTGTCATTAACTTTTGTTTATACCTATTGACAGTGGTCAGCCTGAGCATCAACTAGAGAGAGTAAATACAGAGAGAAGAAAATATGACTTTCTTCTAAAATTTCTGGAAGTTCTCCAGAAATAACTGAGTTTTATTGTACAGGAACATTTTCCTAATATGCCCCAGGAATCACTTTGAGAGGGAACAGATAAGGCCTTAAATCTGTCTGTTACTTCCAAGAATATTGTTTTTGTCCTACAGAACTGCGACCTGTCTGGGTGTGACCTTCAAGAAGCCAACCTGAGGGGTTCCAACGTGAAGGGCGCCATCTTTGAAGAGATGCTGACACCACTCCATATGTCACAAAGCGTCAGATGAGAATCCTGGGGATGGAGGAAGATGCCGAAGACGAGAAATGCTCTCCGTATCACTTTTCTTTCTCCACCCACTCAGCTGTCTGGAAGAAATAACACTGGAAGGGAATTAAAAAAAAAACAAGGAGAGGATTATGCTTGTTCTCAGAGGTGCATAAGGGGAAAAAGTGACTTTTTTTCCACATTCTGATTTTAACAGAGAAGCACTCATTTAGTAGATGTAGGGAAGCTAGATTAGATTGCTGCCTTTTGAGTGGAGTTAGGGGGATTTGCCTGGCTTTGTGACGAGGAATAGTATCTATTATATTTGCTTTTCAATAGGCATGATGTGGAAATACCATCTTGGTTTGAAATGCATTTGAAGATTTTAATTTATGAAAAGCACAACATATGCAATTATATTTATTGAATCTTTAGATGCAGTATGGATATTTAAATTGTTAAACTTTATGACAATTTTGAAAAGGTTGTTCAGGTTTATAAATATCAGTAGCTTTAGTGATGCCTCCCCTACTTTAAAATACCTGTCACACCGTGTGAATATGGTGAGATCAGACTCCCCAAGGCTTTCAGGTTCATTTTTTTTTCTTTAAGAACAAAACATTAGCTAAATTAAAGAAATCCTCTGTTACTGATTGAGACAGAGTGGAAGGCAAGAGATATTGTTGTCCATCATTGTCAGCTTAAGTAACAGTGGAACTTTCCAAATGGAGGAAGGATTTACTTACAGCTACAACTTTTGAATGAGCATTCCTTAGGATTTCATTCTTAGCAAGTTCCACTCAACGCCAGACCAGGCAATTTTATCTATTTACACTGCTAGCCTGGTTTCCTCCTGTAGAGTCAAAACAAGCATAGGAAAATAGTTCTGAACCAAAAAAACCAAGGTGCATAATTAACGTTCATTTAATTCAAATGCTAAATAGTTTAAACAGGGCCAGCTCGGAAATAAATAGGTATTAAATCCCAATCCACTGCGATCAGCTATAAAATACGAATGAATATGGTAAATTCATCTTTTAGAAGTCAACATAATATAATTGCAGCTCAAAACCCTACAACGGGGAATGAGGACTTTTAAACTGACAGTTTGACTATAGCTATCAACAAACTTAAATGAAAATAAAGGCATTTGACTGGTCCAAGATGTAATACCAATAAGTCAGCACCTGTGGTTCTTATATTTCTGGTTTCTTTTGTTTTAATAAATTTTAGCCTGGCTTTTTTGAGTCATTATCTCTGCAGCAGCAGGGGCAGGGCCTGTACTTCCTTACCAGTAACCGGTGTCCTATGTCTACCCCAAGAGCAGGGATGTTAAGCTGTGTCCATATGGGTTCTGAATTCTGCAGACTCATCGGTTTGAGGCAAGGAATCATTAAAAACCACTTTGTCTCCTTTGGGAGAATGACATGTCTTCAATATTTACGTAGCTTATTCTTCTATATAAACATATGCAAAGCTTTCCTTAACAGTAAAGCGTATATATGCATAGTGGGAGGAGGTCAGACCTTTACAGGTGAAGGAAAGCAACTTCAGAAATGAATTATTTTCTTTGCTTTATTATTTTTACCAAGACAGAGAAGTATTGTATTGAGAGATATCTATTTTCGTAATCAATATGTGCCTAAATTATATTTAAATCATTTCACTCTGTACTATATTTTCAATAATTATAGAACGTGTTGTTCATCCACTTAAGGGTACATCTGTAGACATAACCTAAGACTGCAGAAGAATCTGAAAGATCCAAACACAGTATGCTTAGAAAATGCAAGTTTTGGATCTAATGTATACTGCATTAATAAACGACGTAAAATGTTGAAAAGGAGTTTCTTGTCTTGCTTTTGAAAATCAGAACTTTCCAAATTTACTTACATTTCTTCAATGTGTTGAAGACCAGCCCCAAGGGTCTGGGTGGAAAAGGAAGGAAGTGCCGTTAAAGTTATTTCTTTAAGCATGGTTATTTTATGACCCTCCTCTTAAAATCCACCATTCTAACAACACAAAGACATTTCATTAATGCTTAACGAAAGAAAATACTGTCTTCCAATAATTCAATTTTTGTGTTACTCTTTAGCTGATGAACATTATTACCAGCTAGCTTTTATTAGGATGGTTACGTATTGATACATTGCCCCTAAAATGTTCTAGCCTGACAACCAGAAGAAAGAAGTTTAAGAAGGAAGGGAAGTTTCAAAATAGTAAAACTTCCATTGACCCGAGCAATGAAACATGACTGTACACATAGGTTAAAAACACAATTGTTGGAGGAGGGGTGGGGAAGGGCTAGAAAAGGGTTTAAACCTAAATTAGCTAATTATCTACACTGAGAAAATTCAGAACTCATGTAACTGTTTAGAGCAATACATATGCTGTAATATAGTCTAGTCTTTTAACTATAATTTCAAAGCCATTTTAGTAGGAAATATTGTAAATTCATTTTCTTATGAAGTTCATTTCATGAATTGGAAGTAAATCTACCGCAAGTCAACCTTAAATCATCCTTAATATATGAAAAGCCCTAGAATTTTTTTAAATCTCCAAGGAAGTATTATCATCTTTAAAATGTACAACTCTAAAAGCAGTTACATTACTTTTGGTATAAAGTAGCTTATGCAAGGATTAATTCTCCAAAACCCTTTCACAACCTTAGATATGTCAGCAGGAGTTCATGAGTCCTTCCTGCTGAGATTTTACATTAGGACAAAGAAGGTTTCCATCTGTCATTCAGCAAGATTACTAAACCATTATTGTTACATTTTAATAATTCTGAGGGTTTGTTTTTTTAATGCTAAAAATGGGGCCATTTTCCCTCTAAAGCCATACTTTAAAATTTAGGAAATTTCTAAATTGAGGGGAAAAGTATAACTATACAATCCAAATATTTAAACCCAATTAACTAAATTCAGCTTCCTGGTAAATCGATCTATCCTTGGAACTGTGAAAAGGGTCAAAATTTGTCACCAAACCTCCACATTCCATTCATTGCATATTTATTGGATATCCTATTTGGTGCCCTTGAGATCTATGACAATGCTAAGGCAGGCTTCAAGGGCATGAAGCATACTGGATGAATTCACAGACCATGTGGCTGTGTTCATGTAAAAATTTCAAAGCATTTTTCAAAGATTTAATACCAACTAATAGAAATAAGCTACCAGAAATGCAGGGATGCTTAACCAGAGATAAGTGATTAACATGACAATAAGGGTCAGACGTCTCAACTCCGCTTTCATTACTCCTAACCAAAGACCACATCTGCTTAAGCAACACTGTTAGAAGCATATCTCTTTCAGCAAACATGAAATCAATTGGACAATTTAAACAAATATCGTTCAAACATAATGGACTCTTGTTGAAAACTAGCCTCTCGTTACCTTTACAGTGAGATAAGATTGCACTCCTCCGTGTCAGAATGGCGCTTATATTATTCAGTGTCTAAATGAGATAAAATAATTTAAATGAGATAAAGTCAATCACTTATGTTCTACTTTTTAATGCCCCCTCTATTGGCAATTATACTTTAAAGTTTATCCTCTTCAGAGGATCTGACAACCTCCACAGAGGTGGCTGGGCAAAGCAGGAGTTTATTTGGGTGGAACGATGTTGCTCTTTATGCCAAGATCCTTGCAGATGTAATTATTTCACAGGACACTGGGCAACAACTGACTGGTTTAGCATCCTACTCGAAGAGAAATGCCAATCCCGGCTCTAAAATGAACACATATTCAGTTACTTTTAACATTTTTCCGCTCAGCAAATGTAACAGGCCTTCCATCCAACTGTACATGAAGGTTTAATTCTGTGTCGGATAAAACATATCTTTGGACAGCGTCTGTGCGATTGTGCTGGGAGATGTTTACTAAGACCTTGAAAATAGTAGGGGAAGAGAATTTAATGGTTTAAATCAAACTGGTTTAAAGCCACCCTAGACTTTCTATGGAGTGGGATCTGACGGCAAAGACTTAAATTTTCTGTAATTTAAGAAAGAAGTATTAAAAGTCCACTTCCTTTGGGAAAAAAAAACCCAACACATACCTTTGATGCAGAAGTAGAGGAAACATTAGGTCTAATCTGGCTAAAAGGTCCTTACCTTTTATTCATTCATTCACACATTCATTCCAGTCTATACTTACTTATTGAATGCTGATTAAATGCTGGGGATTTTAAAATTATTTATTTATTTGGCTGCGCCGGGTCTTAGCTGCGGCCCACGGGATCTTCCTTGCCACATGCGGGATCTAGTTCCCTCACCAGGGATCGAACCCAGCATGGAGTCTTAACCACTGGACCACAAGGGAAGTCCCTAAATGCTGGGATTTATTAACAGATGTTTAAATAAGATGGGATCCTTGACCATCATGAGTTACAGCCCAGGGGTAAATTAGGAAAGACAATCATGGATTCAAATAAATGTAATAAAGAGTAGTGGATCTCTCTCTTTTTTAAATGCTTGTACTGTGTAAATAAAACGTCCGAGGGCTCACCGCTGGGGTGAAACATATCTCTGTAAAATTTGGATCATGATATCCACTTTGCAGGACTGTAATAATGAAGCAGGTTAGTCTCATTCACATGCCAGATTATTCCTCATCTTTGTACTCCCATGACCTTTAGCACAGGGATTTGCATCTTTTAACTCAATAAGTATCTACTGAAATGAGTTGACATGGGCCTAAATCTACTCTAGATGGTTTTGCATTTAGCGGATTCTAACTACAATGTTTCTCCTTACCTTTCTGATGCTGTATAAGGCTTTCAAGAAAGAAGATGTGGTATATATACACGATGGAGTATTACTCAGCCGTAAAAAAGAATGAAATAATGCCATTTGCAGCAACATGGATGGACCTAGAGATGATCATACTAAGTGAAGTAAGCCAGACAGGGAAAGACAAACATCATATGATACTGCTTATATGTGGAATCTAAAAAAAAAAAGATACAAATGAGCTTATTTACAAAACAGAAATAGAATCACAGACATGGAAAACAAATTTACAGTTACAAAAGGGAAAAGGGAGGGGAGGGATAAATTAGGAGTCTGAGATTAGCAGATACACACTACTATATATAAAATAGATAAACAAGGTCCTACTGTATAGCACAGGGAACTATACTCAATATCTTGTAATAGCCTATAAGGGAAAAGACCTGAAAAATAAGTTACACATATGTGTGTGTGTGTGTGTGAGAGAGAATCACTTTGCTGTACACCTGAAACTAACAGAACATTGTAACTCAACTGTACTTCAATTTTAAAAACTAAATAAATAAATAAAAAATAAGTCAAGGAGGAAACCTGGAGGGTAGCAGACTGGGGAATTTTCAAACTCACGCCATCTACTTTGGAGATCCTATATGGGCTTGGAATAGTACCAATAATCACTTATCGCCTATAAATCAGCTCCTTTTAACACGCGAGTAATCTAAGAGCTGAGACCAGATCCCAGGCATCCTGACTCAACCTCTACAATTATTGCATGGCCTCCTCCGTGGAAGTTTTTATGTGTGCATTTAACATGACATTCTAAGACAGCTATTTTCCTTAAACTCTTGCTATGTCTGTCAGTTTCCTCAAGGGGATCCTACCTAGCTAGATTTTAATTGCTTTGAATTGTGGCCTCAGTTATAGTAGTCTTAGCTGAGGTTTTAATGGCCAAGATTTAAGTAAATTTAACAGATACACCAGTGGGTGTTCCAATTACATACAGCATTAAGGGCTTTATGTGAGGCTTAAAAAATATTTACTATTAAAAATAAAATAAAAGTCCACGTGCTGTGCAATTAACCAGCAGGGAAGATTTCAGCGTCCTGGAAAAGTTTCATATAAAAAGGAAGCTAGAAAAATGAAAAGTCAGATTCAACACACTCCAAAGGAAGCTTGGGATTTGGGGGGACTCTGCTCTGAGACAGGTAAAATGCTTTGTATTTCTAGCACTGTTTGTAGACTGCATGCTATTGTCTGTCTATAGGGCACTTTATAAGAGCTAGGGTTGGGGCTTCCCTGGTGGCGCAGTGGTTGAGAGTCCGCCTGCCGATGCAGGGGACACGGGTTCGTGCCCCAGTCCGGGAGGATCCCACATGCCGCGGAGCAGCTGGGCCCGTGAGCCATGGCCGCTAAGGCCACCTGGTGTCTAAAGAAACCTTAGCCTTCCTGATCCTTGTCACCTCCAGCCACAGAGATCCAGACTTTGGGGAATCGAAGCAGCTCATCAACCAATATTTGATTTTGTCTTTGGCCCCTTCCCCACCAGTGAAAATTCCTTTGTGAGAATTCCACATGTAATTCAATAATTCAAGGCTGCCTTGGCCACGGAGGCAGCTGGTGTGGAACCCCGTGCTTTGAAAAGCGTGGACTCCTCTCTCACACTCACAGATGGTCCAGCCAGCGGCAATGTGTGGAAGACTAGAGGACAGATGCTCGGCAAAATGTAATTAGCACCATAGGGTAGCCATTTAATGTCAAGCAACTTATATTAGCCAGAGACTCCCAGTAGGAGCCCCTTTTCGGAGCAGATGGCCCGATTCTCTTTATCTCAGGACTGAAAACCAACCACGGGGCGGGACTGGGGAATATGAAGACAAAAAGTGAATTTGATAAAGGAGGAATCCTGAGGTTTGGATAACCAAATAAATAATACACATTAAAATAGTTTAGTTCTAAAAAAAAAGGTTTAGTTCTAAAAAGCACTCAACATGTGAGTTTAAAGGAGTGATTTTGTCCCCAGTGGCTAGGAAACTCAAGGCAAGCAAGTACCTGCATGTGAAAACCACAGATGACTCCCACTTCCGTCTTCTGCCGGGTTAGTGACACCAGTGTTAGGCTTTTCACCAAAGGAGTCTTGGCTCAACGCAGTCTAGGTCTATTTTTATGGTCGCATTGATGTTCCTTAGAATGGAGCCGAGTCCAAAACTTCTAGCTGGACTTATTCTGCTGACTCTCTGTGTGGTGGGCTGCTCCAGCCAGCACTGGTCCTATGGGTTGCGCCCCGGAGGAAAGAGAAATGCTGAAAACGTGCTTGATTCTTTCCAAGAGGTAAGTTTCTCTCAGCTTCAAAATAAGACATGGCTTACGTGATGCAACTGAACGATGCCAACATCCTGCATGCGTCCAACAGTGCTACCGGTTCTTGGCTCCAACCTAGGCATTCCGGGGGTGATAAGGCACTTCCAAAGTCAAGTCCCATTCCTGCTTTCAATTCAGACAGGGACTAATGGGACAAAGAGCAGGAATAATCCCCAGACCAATAAGCAAGCACAAAGGGGTGTGTCGTACTCTGAGGATATAGATTTGCCAAAGGAATTAGAAACAAGTGGACGGAGCCAAGGTCTCTAGTACAAGATGATTCTTTGGGATTTGGAAAGAAAAATCTTAGAATTCTGCCTATTTTTTTTTTTGTAATTTCATGTTTTAAAAATATCTGTGATATTAGGTCAGCAGTACATTTTTATAACATAAATAAGTATCCTTACCAAGGGTGCATGCTCTATAATTTTTTTTTTTTTAAGATTTAATTTTATTTATTTTTGGCTGCGTTGGGTCTTCGTTGCTGCGTGCGGGCTTTCTCTAGTGGCAGCGAGTGGTCGTTGCGGTGCGTGGGCTTCCCGTTGTGGTGGCTTTTCTTGTTGAGGAGCACTTGCTCTAGGTGCGTGGGCTTCAGTAGTTGTGACGCATGGGCTCAGTAGTTGTGGCGCACGGGCTTAGTTGCTCCACGACATGTGGAATCTTCCCGGACCAGGGCTCGAACCCATGTCCCCTGCATTGGCAGGTGGATTCTCAACCACTGCGCCACCAGGGAAGTCCCTCCAATTTCTTTTTAATGATATGGGCACTCAAGCAAAGAAGTTGGAGGTCCCTAGAGGAGAGGAGTTAGCAAGCTCAAGAAGACAAAATACATTCTGGAAAATATGCTGGATTTGATTCCATAGAAATTAGTTTTCAGTTCTAGTACCAGAACTGACACAGGTACTTGGGTTTTTTCATCTATAAAATGTGACTTCTTGGGGCCATGCGAGGATCACATGAGCGAAGCCATATATCTTGGCTGCTTAATCCAAAAAGATGTTAGTGGATAAATGAAAGACAGTTGTTATTGTTTTTTAAGTTAATGGGAAACGAACCAGGCCCTAAAGGATGAATGATTCAGGGCTGGACACTCAATAAAGAGCTGAGAATGGGAAACATAGCTAGAGAAACTTAAAACCATTTAGTTTTCACTGAAAAGAAATATCTCATTTTGGAGAAATAATAAAGATAATTTAGTATGAAACAAAGAAGCCCAGAATCTGACATTCCCTCTCCACAGACTATATGTGAAGCAACTCTCTTCTAACTAGGACATAGTAAAAACTTGAAACTAAGATCAACCTTAGTCAAAACTATAAGCTCGGGCTCCCCTGGTGGCGCAGTGGTTGAGAGTCCGCCTGCCCATGCGGGGGACGCGGGTTTGTGCCCCGGTCCGGGAAGATCCCACGTGCCGTGGAGTGGCTGGGCCCGTGAGCCATGGCCGCTGAGCCTGCGCGTCCGGAGCCTGTGCTCCACGACGGGAGAGGCCGCAGCAGTGAGAGGCCCGCGTACCGCAAAAAACAAAAAAAACAAAAAAACAAAAAAAACTATAAGCTCTTGCATTTTTTTGTATACCATCCCGTCACGAGGCTTGAAGGGCTTCATTCTCATCAACTGTAGGGAGACAAATAGCCTCTCTCCTTATTATGGCCCATTTCCTCCGGAACTGCACACCGATCTGTAGAAGCGTCTGACAGCATTTCTATGATCTTTCAAGTCTCCATCCCAAGTCTCAGCGTTCTCAGTCCCACAACCCCCTTGACTTCACTTCCCACACACAGCTTTTGGTGGAAATGGAAAATACCATTTCACGTCTGTATCTCCATCTCCAAGCATCACATTCTTGTTTTTGCAGATAGCCAAAGAGGTTGATCAACCAGCAGGACCTCAGCGCTTTGAGTGCACCGTACACCAGCGCCATTCTCCACTCAGGGACCTGAAAGGAGCTCTGGTGAGTTACAGGGTTAATAACATGCATGGGCCCTGGGCACCACCACTTTGGTCATCCACTTAGGACAACCATCTCTAGCTCCTGCAGGGCTTACCTTCCTGACTGCCTGAATTCCTCCTGTATTGGGCCCTTGCCATTCCATAACACCCCTTTTCAGTGGTTAGACAGTAATAATGATTGGAACACTTTTTCTTTTTTTCTTAAATTGAAATCTCTTTGGGACCCTTATCTATTAATCTCAGCTCTAGCCTATGGGATGACTGACAAAACAAGTTTCTTCCCACTGCTACATGTCAATTCTTCAAGTATGTTCATCAAACTCTCTAGACTATTCTTCTCTAGACTAATCCACACCTCTCCACTGGATCCTTCAGCAGTTCTTGGTATAACACGGTTCTCCCTGGGAAATGTAGAAATCAAAAATGGTGCTCTAATTAATTTTCTTTCCCTTTGGAATAAAAACTCCCAAACTAGTAAATTTATAATTCAGAGCCAGATTTGACTTCCAGTTTTCTGACTGGACAATACTAATTTTCCAAATTCCCACCCAAGATGGAACTCTACTAACCCAATGTAGGTTTTTGATTTAAGAAAATGTATAAAGAGAACTGAATATAGAAATTGAAACCTGAATTCAATTCTGATGTTCTCTGAGCTCCATGGTCCACTTATTTACAGCAGTTAGAAGGCATTACAGTTAATTTTCAGCTATGCCCAGGAGCAGAAAAAGCCTGAATACGTCATATATGAAGATGAACAATAGTTTTTATTTTCTCCATTGACTTCAATTTCTACACCCATAGGACAGAGAAAAAGTGGACAGACATATTTATTTCCTTTCTTTTTCTAATCCTGTTTACCTCACGATAAAACTAATAGCAAGCAATGAAATTATCCAAACATGACATTAGAAAGACAGAATTGAGGCAAAGACTGGATTCATAACAGATGGATGGGGACTTCCCTGGTGGTCCAGTGGTAAAGAATCTGACTTCCAATGCAGGGGACGTGGGTTCAATCCCTGGTTGGGGAACTAAGATCCCACATGCCTCAGGGCAACTAAGCCCGCGTGTCACAACTATTGAGCTCGCTCGCCTCAACTAGAGCCCGTGTGCTGCAAACTACAGAGCCCACGTGCTCTGGAGCCTGCGCGTCACAACTAGAGAGAGAAAACCCACACACCACAACTAGAGAGAAGCCCATGCGCTGCAATGGAGATCCCATATGCCGCAACTAAGACCCGACTCAGCCATTAAAAAAAAACACACACAGACAAAAGGATCAGACCTTTTTTCACCTCTGTCCTCACATCCTACCTTTAAACTATTAATGTAGATATTACGCTTATTAAACGACTTATAAAGACATGATCTAGCTCTCTAGCATTTTCTAGTGTGCAAAAACAAATGGATCTATTCTTTCTATATCAATATTTCAGAAATTAAAATGTTCAAACATAATGAAACTCAGCTCAGAAAAGCAACATTGATATATTTGCTACTCACATATTTTTCAGGAAAGTCTGATCGAAGAGGAAACTGGGCAGAAGATGTAAATCCACTGGACCAGAAAAATTGACAACACAAGTGTAATTCTGACTTTGAAATCTGTGACCCATTTAATATCTGTAAATTGTGTGAATTTCAGAAATTCTTCTGCCAGGTTGCACATGATGAAGTACTGTGTTGGGAATAAAGTGGCATAAATATGAAGTCTTTCTCTAACTCAGAACTCTGGTCGGGGTGGGACACTGTAAGCCCCCAAAGGGGGTCCCCCAAGTGTGTCGACAGGGGGCAGAGGACAGGAGAGATAACACAAAGGCACTGTTATTGTTGACTAAAGGAATCTCATGGCTCACTTCCACCACCACCAACCTGCACCCTGAACCCACAGGACAATTGGTCCCTGGCCAATACTGAGTCAATCCAGTTTTCTATGGGATGGTAGCTTTCTCTTTGACCATACCCTACAGAAGCAAGATAGGGCCATGGCCAAAGCTTCCCCCCCAGATTGTCTCTAATCTCTTTGAAAGTCAACCGGAACCTGAGACAGGCCTTGGGGAAAGGAGGCCTCGTCCAATGCTCCTTCCGGCTCCACGTGGTTCCTCCAAGGTCATCAGAGTGAGCGGTGCACACTGAGGTTTGGACCAAGGCCTAAAAATAATAGCATTCACCTGTCTGAGCTTTTTGGTATTTCTCTTAAGAAACACATGGATTGTAGTCAGCTGAAGACAGGATTCAGGTGTTCCTGTTTCCTCTGGTCGAACAGCATGGCCACCACTCATTCTCCAGCATGGGCTAGATAGATGCATAAATATTTTCATTACCGCTTGTATCGGCCTTGGAAAGTAGATATTGTCTTCCCTTTAAAATGAGGAAACCAGAGCTCCGAGAGTTTACGAGACCCACCTGGTTCTGCTGGGTTCCAAGGTCAAGTGCTCCTGTATTGCACTATGATGACAGCCAATGAGCTTGGACTTGGAAGCCCAGTTATTTGGTTACTGGGGCTCATGTGTCAACTTAGTTTTCCCGGTGACCATTTCTCCATGAGGTCCCAGACACTATGACACTAGCTTTCTCATTTATTCTCATAATTCCCCAGTGGCTATGAGGCCATTTGAAAAACCCAAATCTCAGATAACTTGCCTGATGTCACAGCAACAAATTGTGCCTCTATTTGCACGGCAAAGGTCTAAGCCTTTTTTCCTCTTTTAATCAGAAAGATGGAGCCTCCTTCCACCTCTTCAAAAAAGGGCAGGACCTGTGCTAAGGAATTGGAACAGAGGTCAGAAACATTCCACAGGAGAGAAAACCCTTACTTTTTAAAGCATATACTTACTACCATACAACAGATTTCCCAAGTATCTCCTACTGAGGAATCTCTAAAACTGAATCAAAGAACTACCTCAATTTCATTTTAATAAAATTAAGCAGTGATGTGGTTTACAATCTACCTTATGTTTCTTTATGGAACAAAAGGCAAACCTGCATTATTTCATTAATCAATACTTACAAGGCAGAATAAGGGGCTTAAAGTCGCCACTCAGGAACTATTTCTGTTTTTATAAAAACAATCTTTGCGTTAGTTAACACATTACAAGAGGAAGGCCATACACCCATTTATCTAATACATCCTGTTGGGAACATCAGCTTTCCTTCACCAGAGCGTGTCTTTGGGACAATTTCTTCGGAGGTAGCTGTGGGCCTCTCTGACTGGGATGTAAAGATGATACTCATTCAGCTCCCCGATGCTGAGGTTAGAGGCTTGGGATGAACATGTTGAGTATTTGATTCTCAAATGGCTCAAGTGACTAAGGGGAAGGAGAGAAAATGACCACTTTATTAAAATTATAAACACTTTCCTGAATCTGAATAACTTCTAAGTAGTCCGAAACATTTCCAAATAAAAAAAGGGGAAACATAGCTTCAAAAAAAGTCTGCAGCCTTTCAAAATAAAGGATGGGGAAACATACCAAATGATACATTTTAATGAGACGAGTTCTCAAACATAGATGGCTTTAAATGATCAAGTAACAGAAAGAACGACTTGAAGATAGACCATTTTTAGCAAAAGTTTTAGAAGTTGTAGTATCCTCAAGGTGACTGGAAAAAAAGCTAAGGATCACTGCACAAGATAACAGCACGTACACATCTTGACAGCGGAAGATGCTCTAAGGTAGTATTTCTCAATAGGGACACAAGATTCAAAAAGATTCCCCAGGTTTATTGACTCAGAGTCTCTCTCTGGGGTCCAAGCCATTTGCATTTTTAATAAGCATTCTGGTGATTCTTATGTACACAGACAGTGCAGCATCATTGCTCTGAAAGGCAATAAATTGCACATGTTTTAAAGTACTAGGACACGTTCTTTAAAATAAAAAAAAAAATCTATGCATCAACCCAGGACTTAAGACAGTGGTGTTATTCTAACCGGAGTGAGGCTGCCCCCTCTTTCCAATCTGACTCACCACCAGCAGGGAGTTTAAGAAAAGCACCTTGAACACTGATTTGCTAAAGCTGTTATTTCCTCTAAGGCAATGGTTCTCAACCTTGGCCTGACATTGGGATAACATGGAGAGATTGAAAAGAAATACTAATGCCTGGGTCCCACTCCCTTCCCTCGGAAATTCTGATCTAATTGGTCTGGGATGTGGCCTCTTCCCCGCTCCAACCTACTTTGTTGAACTTGGTTTGAGAATCCGTTCCCATCCTTTCAATGTAAGTTATTTGATATACCTTTTAACCTCTTTATTTCCCTTTAACTCTGCCTAATTATCCGTGGTGAATGAGTGAAGAAATAGGACTTATTTTATACTTATTTAATACTAATCGTATTAAATAAATTGTTGTAAACTGTCAGCTCAGATGCCAAGGGATGAACGGGGTGTGGGTGGAGGTAAAGTAAAAACCAAATCGTTTGCGGTTTTTATTGCTTCCAGGCAAAGATGACTCTATGATCCCACAGAACAAGTTTAAACAAATAGGACCAGTAATGAAATGAGACCAGAAGAGATGGTGGGTGTGATGTGTCAATGAGGAGAAGTCCGGGAATGAGTTCAATTAACATAAGGGTAATAATCAACTAAATACACAATAAACTTTAAAATACAGTTTCATTTTTAATTTAAAAAATAAATAACAGCAAATGTGAACAAAATTCTTCTACTTCAACGCACGTCTTCTTAACCGTTCATGTTTGAAATCCGACTAGTTTACAACATCAAGGCAACTGAGCTTTTGACAAAGTTTGGGTGAACAACTCACACAATTTCACTACTGGATGAATCTGGGCAGCACATAAAGGAGACAAGCCTTGGCCAGACTGCAGGAGTCAGCCTGAAGTCATCAACTTGAAAGGAAAACCTTTTCCTTCTGTAGATTAGAACTGATGGTTCCATTCTCAACCCACCCAAAGAGCAACTTACCTTTTCCAATTTCATTTCACAATCCCACTTAGTCATGGAGTATGGACCTAAAAGCCTTTGAAGAGAAACTTAGGTTTCTTCTGATTCTCTTTTTCATTCACTTGGAATAAAAGCTAGGGCTAAAAGGATTCTAAAAATCATGTAACCTTAGATATATATGATTTCATGAGGAAACTGAGGTCCAGGGACTGACTACAAATTGACCTGCCGAAAGGTACACCCTTCACGGTCTTGTTTTGTGTTGATGGTGGGGTTTTCCTCCCCTTTTCATTATAGCTGAGAAGTGAGAGGAAGGGAAGTACATATTGAAGGGCCTTCTAAATACCTTTTATAAAATGACAGCATGACACGAGGAAACTTCTGTGGGGCTGGGAGTAGCCTGTGGATCTGAGAGGTGGTGACATGGGTAGACACTACTGTAAAAGTGCATCCACCTGTACACTAAGATTTGTGCCCATAACTGTATGTAAGTTATGTCTTAATTTTTTTGGCCGTGCCACGTGGCTTGCGAGATCTTAGTTCCCTGATCAGGGATCGAACCTGTGCCCCCTGCAGTGGAAGTGCGGAGTCTTAACCACTGGTCCACCAGGGAAGTCCCAGTTATGTCTTAATTTTAAAACAAGAAATCACCCCACGATCTGGGGGCAAGCAGAGGGGCGGGACCCTTGAAGCTTGGGAAGAGTTAGCCATGAGAGATTGTTACCTCAGATCCTGCTTTATCGCTGGTTTTTGTCTTAGGGATCTGAGGGTGGCAGTTGTTTATAAGGGGTCTGACAGGGGAAAATGACTGTAATTCTGGAATCGAGGCATGAAGGTGGAGGAGGGGGAGGGAACCCATGGCCCAGCAGCCCGATTTAGGGTTTCCCTTTCCTCTAACCCCACTCTCTTGCCAATCCAACGGCACACCGCAGTCCTTATATCCCGGGGCTGTTCCCTTAGAACACACTGGATCGCCACAGCCTGGGGGTCTAGGAAGGTGCCTGGCATTCAGTAAGAGCTTAATATATGTTGAACGAAAACAATTCTTGAAAAAAAAAAAATCTCAAAGCAAGACAAGTCACCAGGACAGAGAGGAAAAAAAAGGATTAAAAAAAAAAATCCCATAAACCAACATCCACAAAAGTTGTGACAATTTGGGGGTTACTTCAATACTTCACAGGTCTTATCAAGGAATATAAAGACCAGTTGTTTCTTTTTTTATGCCCTGCCCCTCATCTCTCCTACATTTAAGGTAATCCTAAGGCATTTCTTTGCAGTTTTCCTCTTTGACTTCAGGACAGACATTCCTTAGGATCTTTTGTCAAATATAACTCTCTGACCTAATAGTTTCCCAAGGAGATGAACTGTCCAGTGTCCCCAGTGACCTACTATTCACAACATTACCTGGAATCCTTTGTAGTCAGGCAGGAGAGATCTAGGATTTCCATGGATGTGGAAAGGGAATCCTATGGGAAAATGTTACGTTAAAAAAGGGAAGATATTTGGGCACCGGTGTATCCGATGTCCCCAGTCTCTGACCAAAGACCAGGCTCACAACTCATCCCTACAGCTCGGAAGGGACAGGCTTCAGGTTTGTTTCTTCTGTGACCTAGTTTACGTCCTTCCGTTTTAACGGCAGCCTGGAAAGCAGGGTGAAACCCACGAATCCCCTCCAGCCAGTCTGCCCAGCAACTTCTCAGAAGCTGCTCCAGGCACCATGTCAGCCCTGCAGACATTGTCCCTTCCTGCTCTTTTCTTACCACTTAAAATCCCCTCCAGGTCTTTTTTTTTTTTTTTTTTTTTTTTTTTTTTGGCCGAGCTGCACCACATGTGGGATCATAGTTCCCCGACCAGGGATCGAACCCACACCCCCTGCACTGGAAGCATGGAGTCTTAACCACTGGACTGACAGGGAAGTCCCCCGCTCCAGGTCTTATTAACACTTTGTCTCTAGTCATACATAATTATATAAGAGGCCACCTTTTGGAAAGGGACTCTTGTGTGCAGAACTAACTTGCACCCACCTTCCAAATTATCTTTGAATAAAAAAAAAAAAGGAACATCAATCATGCTCGTGAAGAGTTCCAGATCTTACCCAGGCCCGGCAGAGACAAGAAAGGCACATTTCGTGAGGACTTACTTCACGTATTTGGTCTCACTTGAACCCCAAGGCAGCTTGCATGGTAGGGATGGTCCCCACTTTGAAAGGTGAAGACATGAAAACTCAAGACAATTTCAAAGAATTTGGGGGAGTTTGCAAAGCTGAGAGAGCACATAGCTGGGTTGATTCAAACCCCAACAGGCTACTTCCAGAGCCTGGGTTTCTTCCCATTTCGTCACACTGAAGGTGCTCCTGCGTGGAGCGAAGGAAAGAACGCGGCACTTTTAAATACGCACACTCATGTCTTGAGTAACCCTGGACACATCTCAGAGGTTTTTACTTCCCTGACCCTGTGATGAATTCACACGGCTCTCCTAAAAGGGGTGAAACCGACACACGAAGACGCAAGGCAAGCAAACCCAAATTCTCAGCCGTGAAATCTCTCTCTCTTTCTTGTCTACCTCGAAGGAAAGGGGACCTGGCCAGGCTGTGGAAGAGCCCCCCGTGAGCATACCCACAGGTTGACCCAGGGCATCCGCAGTGAAAAAGGTTTCTATTTTGCCATAAACACACAAACAGTATAGAAACATCTGGGACATTTCCACTGTTGTCCCAACTAGGGGTAGGGATTGAAGAATTTGTCAGGGCTGTCTTCTAGAGACGTTATCTGGGTATAACCTCAATGCACAAGCTGGGTTCTTAGAAAGAATCTGTAGTAGGATTTTCTGTGTTTAGCCTCAATTTCCTTATCTACAAAATGAGGGGGGGAGGGTGTCTCTATGAGCTTTAAGGCCCTTCCAGCTCAAAAGGTCTATAACTTTGTGTGGCTGTTTGTGTATCTGGTGGTAATATTTGATCTTCTGAAGCACCCCACACTTTCTCTTCTGAAAAGAGGATTGACATGAGTACCATGAACATGTCATCAAATTAATTCCACAATCAAGAGGAATAAATAATCAAAGCGAGATATTGCACTGTATTCTCCAAGGTAAAATCAGGTTGCAGACAGGGGCTGCCGAGCCATTCCAATGGGATGTGGAAGAGAAGCAGTTCAATCCGGACTTCTAAGTCCCTTATATCCAGTGATTTGAGCTCAGAGGAGGTAACAGGACAAGAAACTGTGTGCAAAAGACAGAGCCTCAGGAGTCCATGGTAGGAAGGAGTGACTGCCATGCAGTTAGGACCATTAGTCGGGAGTGTGAGGGAACTCCTGGCGCGGGGCCGGGGGAAGGAGGGAAGCTTTTCCATGTCACAGATGGGTGGGGGGACACAGGTGCTCAGGGCTCACGACTGAGTCCATGTTCTTTCGATAATGATAGCCATTCATACTTGAAAGCAGCCGATTTCCATTAAAAAGATGTTCTTTTCCACAGAGGAGACACAGGAGACCTCAGAAAGATAGATGATTCCAGCTACCAAAGTACTTGATGTTGGTCTCTTCCAATATGTTGTATGGAACAAGGTATGTCCACGTGAGAAAACTACGTCTTAAGCACAGCTTTTCAGAAGCAAAGCAAAAAATTCCTCCAAGGAATAGGTTACTGGGGTTTTCCCACCACCACTGATGAAGTTATCCAGGCTTTCGTAGACCCCAGTGGCACTGTGCTAGAGGCTGAAATGTAATAATGGTGAGGGAGACACACGGGGCACGGCCGATCCCGGGATTCCTCATGGACTGGAGGAGATATGGCGTGGCCTCGGGCATCGATCAAAGAAAAGCTTTCTAAAGAATGAAACCAGTTTTGAGCAGGTGAACCTCAACCCCAGATGAGGAGAGGCAGCCAGCAGGGGACCCATGAGGACACTGCCTCCGCGAGGCCAGCTCCCAGGCATCAGAGTTCCAGAGAGAGGACAAGATCCTTACTGGGATCCAGGTTCAGAAGAAAGGATGCCCGACTTCCGAGCTTTTGGAGGTGGAGGGGGCGGGGCTTTGGCTTCTCTTAGGACAGGCAGTGGGGCTGCAATCTGGTGGAGCAGACATACGAAAGGAGGAATGAGTCTTACCTTTCTTCCTAATTCTGCCTTCTACTCCACATTTCCAACATTCTGCGTTAGCTTCTCACTGATCTGAGTTTATCTACACAGCCTTTGCCAGGTGAAAAGGAAAATGAGACTGATTTAATCTCCCCCTTTCCCTTGCATTAATCAGATATACACTAACACTGCTATATCCCCAATACTTGGCGTATATATAGTAGGGACTCAATAAATTTGTGTTGAATGAATGAAGGAAACCCATCGGAGGCCCCTTCCAGAATGACTGTCACTCACTCAGAAGAAGTAAACTCCTCAGGTGTGAACGAGAACTCACTTCTCAGGTCTCCTTGCGTATTGTTCCTTCCCATTGAAAATTCCCCTCTCTTTATGGTTTCAGGAATGAACCAAGAATCGATTAGAGGGACAAATTGATGGGAAAACCTGCCTACTAAAAATCTTGGGAAATCCAATGCCACATTCCCATGAGCGGTAGGCTCTCTGTGGCCCCAACGTCTGCCATCACCCCCCTACCTCTGTGGAGTTCCTCTGGCTGCTCTCGTAGGGCTTGCTTTTGGGTGGAGGGGGAGGTGGGACTGTAGCCATCATCAGCCCGTCTGTCTGCAAAGATGGAGAGCCTGGAAATGACATAAAGTAGAGGAAGGCAGAGAGAAAAATTCACCAAGGGATCTCATGACACTTCTGCTGGCCACGGTAACACCTAAACCCACCTGGTCAAGCAAATCGCTACGGTCACATTCTACAGTTTCTGTGGACAGAATGAAGAAGACCTCTGACGCCTTGGGATAGATATAGCACCTTTCATTTATCTGAAAGCTTCACCAGAAGTTCTTAAGCAAAAATCTCACTTTTTTTGTTGAAGGTTTTTACTCTTAAGCTGGAGATGAGACTCTTTTCTAGAACTTAGGGTATTACTTTGTTCTCTGATACATCCCAAGTCCTTAGAAAAAGCATCTATCACATACTAGGTAGTCAATAAATATCGGTTACATTGAACTGTCATAGTTTTATCATTTAAAGGGTGCAATATCCACTTCCTCCAGGAAAACTTGTCTGATGATCTCTGATACTCGGCTGACTACTGTCTCCCATTTGATGCGAAGATCTACCCCTCCATCATCCCTTTGTACTAAGCGGTCCTTGTAATTCTTCTCAGGCTCTGTGTATTGCTGAGTCCCCAAGCCTGACTGTAAGTAGTCTATTGAATGGGTCTATTTCTTGTCCTTATTTTGGACCCTTCTCCATATAAAGTACACAGCTATCTGCCCAACAGTTTCCAAAGTTACTCCCTTCCTGTCTAGTACTAGCCCAGATCTACCTCATTTATACCATCACAGCTGGAAAAGGGGCAGTGAAACCCTGTGGCCCCCTGGGTAGAAAACTTTAATGAGTCTTAGCAACCTAAGGATTCCTTGCCAAACCCTAATCTAATTGAATTATACCCACTACCACTGAATTGAACCTACCTGACGACCATCTCATACACCTTGTGGCTATCTTGGTTAAAAATGGCCCAGATGCATCAACATACACCATCCTCTAGTAAAATGAATAGAAGGGGTGTCTACAGGAAGACTTACTCAGGGTCCTGGTCGCTTTAGGAGTGAGCGGGGGTGGGCTCAGGGGTGTTGACTGAGGCGGGGAAGAGCCATGAAACGGTGTCAGCCGATTGTCCGACAGCTGGAGACTCTTTGGCCTTTGTGCTTTTCTGGCTGGGCTCTAGCAGCGGGGGTGGGGAGAAACACAGCAAAACATTCTCACGGTGAGGCACGCTGGGCTCATCCATGCTCAGAACAACCTTATCAGCAGAGCAGAAACTGTTAAAGGGCAAAAATTCCAGGAGCCCTTTCTAAGCTTACCGCACCGGCACGCTGGGGGGACCAGGGCAGAGACACTAACGGGATCACCGGACCATAGACTATTTTCTGGCCGGCCACAGACTTGATTTTAATCACAGTTGGACTGTGCCATTTAGGTCGGAGATGAGCCACCCTGATTCTCAGGGAGAGCAGGTCCTGCCACACTTAACAACTTGATGTGGCTTATGGGAGAATCAAGTACCTTTTATTTTTTTAAGCTAAAAGAAGGGAAGCGACAATGTTTGGATGGAGTCATGGACCACAGTGGCGAGAACCACAACTCCAGCCATTAATCCACGGGTTTATACTGTGCGTTAAATCTTGCGCCATTATTGACTTAGAGGCTCTGATCTCTGTACGTGTTTTTCTTAGCACCATCTGAGATCTGACCCTAACCCAGGCTGCTGCATCCTGAGAAACCATGCTAGGCTTCCGTCTGGTGACTCGCAGCTGTGAAGTAAATGGTGAAAAGCCTGGCTCCAGGGAAAGCAATGGCAAACTGGCAGATCTATGGTGTTTGTTTCTTTGTTTGTTTTTACCATCAGATCAGGTTCTGATGCTTTCTCTGCGATGACCTGGGATTTGCTCAGACTCCAGTCTTTTCTCTTGAACTTGCTCATCCGGTTCTCACTGTCCTCTTTGAGGGACAGATCTTCCACTCTGGCCCCTGACGAGGCCCTGCGCTCCAAAAGGGGCTCCAGGATGGACCTAGCAGGGGTGGGCGAGGGAAGGATTGGGAGTTTGGGGTTAGTTGAGGCAAACTAGTAAATATAGGATAGATAAACAACAAGGTCCTACTGTAGAGCACAGGGAACTATATTCAATATCCTGGGATAAACCATAATGGAAAAGAATATGAAAAAGAATATATATATGTATAACTGAGTCACTTTGCTATACCGCAGATATTAACACAACATTGTAAATCAACTATACTTCAATAAATTTTTTTATAAAAGGATTGACCTATCAGCCACGAACAAGGACAGAGTCAGAAAACACTGATCACCTGACAGTCAAAGCCGATATATGTACAACTGAGTCACTTTGCTGTAGACCTGAAACTGACACAACGTTGTAAGTCAAGTATACCCCAATAAAAATTAAAACAAACCAACAAACAAAAAACTGACTCCAAAAAGACCAGGGGATATGACTCTCCAGCCGAACCTTGACCTGTGGCATTGTTCTCAGGTTGTAATCTGAATTTCCAACTGCCAATTGAATATCACAAGGTCTACGTGTACAGAAATGAGGCCGTCCAAGTGTGGAAAGAAAATACTAGTGAATATTTATCTTATCTCACGAAGACAAGGTCTTATTAAACTTAGAGGTAAAGACAGAGTTCACACAGTAAAAGATGAATAGGCAGCTTTATATAGTGGATAATAGCACATTCTCTGGAGTCCTACAGCCTGGGTTCAAATCCTACCTACACTGACTTGCTGGGTGACCTTGGGCAGATAACCTTTTCATACCTCAGTTTTCTTATACGTGAAATGGGGATAATAATAGTACCTACCTCACAGGGTGATTACAGAATGCTTACAACAGTGCCTAGTATATAGGAGTACTCCTATACTGGCAAAATGTAAAAACAAGGGGGGAGGGGTTAAAAACCTACCTTTGTGATGTAGAGATTGCTTATAGCTTCTAAATGGGTATTTAATAAGTTCTGGTTTAATTAAAAATTGGTAGATTTTACTCCAAAAAAATGAAAAGTTTGGAGGGATAGGTCGGCAGAGCACAGAGGATTTTTAGGGCAGTGGAATTATTCTATATGATACTACAATCGTGAATATATTTATCAAAACTCACAATGTACAACACCACGAGTGAACCCTAAGTAAACTATGGACTTTGGGTGATTGTGATGTGTCAATGTAGGCTCATCAAGTGTAACAAATGTATCACTTTGGTGCTGGATGCTTATGGTAGGGGAGGCTGGGCGTGTCCAGAGCAGAGGTACATGGGAACTCTCTGTACTTTCTGGTCATTCTTGCTGTGAACCTAAAACTGCTCTAAAAAATAAAGTCTACTTTCTTTTTTTTTTTTTAAGAAAAAGCTTTGATATGAAATAAGACAACAGAAAAACAGCTATCAGCTTTTTTTTTTTTTTTTTTGCGTTACGCGGGCCTCTCACTGTTGCGGCCTCTCCCGTTGTGGACCACAGGCTCCGGACGCGCAGGCTCAGCGGCCATGGCTCACGGGCCCAGCTGCTCCGTGGCATGTGGGATCTTCCCGGACCGGGGCACGAACCCGTATCCCCTGCATCGGCAGGCGGACTCTCAACCACTGCGCCACCAGGGAAGCACGCTATCAGCTTTTAGTATTTAAAAATTAAAAGCTTCTGTTCAGCAGAAAGCATCATTCGTAAACTAAAACTATTTGCTGTACATATTTTAGATGGCAAATATCATTAATGTATAAGAAACTTTTACAAATCAAAAAGAAAAAAATATGAGTAGCTCAATTTTTACAAACTGTCAAAGGAGATAAACACGTATTTCACGAAGAAAGAAATCCAAATAATTTTTTAAAAACTTAGTATCACTAATTATTAAATATGTAAATATTAAAATGAGATCACTGGAGAGGGCAGACTCTTTTTACATTTTATTATGGAAAATTTCGAACACTAAAAAGTGGAGAGAATATAATAAACTTTTTTTTTTTTTGGCCGCGCTGTGTGCCATGCGGGATTTTAGTTCCCCGACCAGGGATCGAACCTGTGCCCCTTGCAGTGGAAGCACAGAGTCCTAACCACTGGACTGCCAGGGAAGTCCCCGAGAGAATATAATAAATCTTATGTGTACATTACTCAGCATCAACAGTGATCAACTCATGGCCAATCTTATTTCTCATATACACCCCGTCATAATCCTCACCCCGCACTGGGTTATTTGGAAGTGATTCCTAGATATCACATCTCGTCTATAAATATTTCGGTGCATATCTCTACAAGGCAAGGATTCATCTTCATAACAAAACTACACTCCCATCATCTTCCTAAGGAAGTGCATAATTCTCTAATTTCATCAAACATCCAATCAGTGTTCAAATTTCCTGTCTCATAATTTTTTTGGCAAGTGATTTGTTTGAATCGGGATCTAAACAAGATTCACTCATTGTATTTGGCTGATATACTTCTTAAGTCATTTTAAGCTTTTTAATACTTTAGGTCTCACTTTCTACAAAATATTTTGCCCTCTTCCATGAAGATACAGGATGAGAAAGTAGCAGGAAAGTCTGGTTAAAGAACCACTGGAGTCACAATGGAAGATGCTTCTAGACTACAATTCTTCTTCTTTCTTATTTCAAATTATTCTCTCCTTTTCTGAATATTCTGTTATTATTATTATTTTTTAAAGATTACATTCCCGAATTTGCAATTTTTTGGTATTTTCCAATTATTAGTATATTTAAGGAGAAGCCACTCACTATTATTTGTCTTAAATCTGTACTAATTAAAAAAAATCATAGAACGAAATTCCAAAACAGACGCTTTTATTCTTAAAACCAACCAAGCCAAATCAAACAAAAAGAATCTCTTCAAACAGTCGTTGGTCAGGGAGGGGACAAAAACCAAAACAACAATCCAGTATTCTACTGGGTCTACTAGTACTTTGCCTGTGAGATTGAGAATGAAGGGAAGTGTTTGTGGGTCATTAGATCTACAGGCAAAGATCTAGGCCCTAATGTGAGTTTCAGTAGGGCCTAATTATGAACCAAACTCAACAGTAAAATAATGATAGTGTAGTCCCACAGTGCCTGTGTTATTTTTTTCTTACACTGACTATTTCAATGATTTTCCTGAAATACCGAAGAGTAATTTTTTTTAAAAAAAAAGATTTTGGTTTGAGGCCCCTACTTTGCTGGAGCTCTGAGCATGTACTGAGTTGACCTGCTATGCAAGCCCTTCCAGCTTCCCTTAACACGATGCGCTGTGTTTCATAAAGTTATTCTCTTTCTGGCCCACAGCCTCCCATGTGCCAAACAGGATGGATACACCCAACGAAGAAAGAAGTGAGCGTTTGCGGACTGCACACCCAATAATCACCATGAAAGTTCTAATGAATACTGTGACATAACACAGCTAACAGGAGAATTGAAGTCACTGGGTGTGAATCAGTTTGAGATGCTTTAAAGAAACATCCTGAATAAATGTTAGAAAATGGTATCAATGTTGTCACCTTACTGGGCAAATGTGGGCAAGAGCAATAACCCACTTTGCCCCAGGTCATGATATAAACAGAACCCCAGTCACCTGCTCTCTATTTACTGCCCTAATGGATCAGCAATTACAGTGTCTCTGATTTTCAACAGCTGCCTGAAAACTTTTTTTTTTGAATGAGACAGAGTTTAAGAAAAGAGAACAGAACAGAACTTCTATGCTTGCCACAAAGTTGGTAGTATCTCTTTACGGCATGAAAAAAAACATAGATGGGAAAAAATAAACAAATGAATCAGGTATTATTTAATATTTTCAAATTCAAAAGATTAAAAATAGTCCAAATACCTAATAGGGGGGCTATATTATGAAAAATTATACAGTCACTCATACATTGTATATGGCATTGCACACTGGCATTTGTGATATCAAGAATTGTAAAAAATATTACTCCCTGAATAAGTAATATATGCTTTGGGAAAATAAAGCCTACACTCCATCTTAACCTAAAGGCTGAGAAGTGATCTGAGACCATATCCTAAATAATCGTAAAGCTATATGGACACACATTTGTTACAATTCTTAATAGTATAAATGCATTTTATATTGATACAACCTAATTTTCTTTCTTTCTTTTTAATTTTGGCCGTACTGAGGGGCTTGCAGGATCTCAGTTCCTCGACCAGGGATTGAACCTGGGCCACAGCAGCGAAAGCACCGAATCCTAACCACTAGGCCACCAGGGAACTCCCTAAATGTCTTTATATTAAATTTATAATGAACTTCTATGATTATCTGTTTAGAAACAGTGACAAAGCTTAAACATCCTGTAGTAGGGAGAAGAATTAATTATGGCACATTCATATGATGTAACGGTAGAGAGCCATCAGAAGTGATAATTAAAAACTAATAATAAAATTAGACAGCAATGTGGAAAATGCTTATAACAAAAAGACAAAGAGGAAAAGCAAATTACCAAACTACATCTGTGCTATAATTGCAGCTGTGTAAAGATATCTATGTCAATGGTAAAGGACAGATAAATCATTTAGAAAATAATAAATATTTGAGGGCTTCCGTGGTGGCACAGTGGTTAAGAATCTGCCTGCCAATGCACGGGACATGGGTTCAAGCTCTGGTCTGGGAAGATCCCACATGCCACAGAGCAGCTAAGCCCATGCACCACAACTGCTGAGCCTGTGCTCTAGAGCCCATGAGCCACAACTACTGAGCCGGCATGCCACAACTACTGAAGCTCGCGTGCCTAGAGCCCATGCTCCGTAACAAGAGAAGCCACTGCAATGAGAAGCCCTCACACCTCAACAAAGTGTAGCCCCCGGTCGCTGCAACTAGAGAAAGCCTGCATGCAGCAGTGAAGACCCAATGCAGCCAATAAATAAATACATAAATACATAAATAAATAAAGTATTTGATTTCCAGGTGGAAGGCCATTTGGACAGGTTACTTTTGTGATATGTTTATTATAATATGGAATTACAAAATTATAAATAAGTGTTAAGTCAACGGACTTAACTTATATTCAACATTAAAACACACAGTGATGCTAAATACTCATCATGTATATAAAATTAAGCAATAGGTCACAAAATGGTACATGTCATGCTTTTCCACTTGAACACAATTATGAATTCACTCCTTTAAAATATTTTAAATTTGAACATATGGAAAGGCAGTCCATGTTTCTGGCAAGAAGGCTCAACATCAAAAAGCTCTAAATTCAATCCATAATTTTAACATATCCCAATAAAAACAACAGGATTCCAGACAAGTTAATATGAAAATGAGCTATGTAAAACTAGCCAGACAAATTCTGAAAAAAAATTACTAGAAATTTTAAAACCTTTAAAATCTATAGTAATTAAAACTGCATTAGAACAAGTGCCATGAACCACACAGGTAGATCTAAGAAATGGGGGAAAAGTCTACAGACTAAAGAACACTGGAATTTGATTTTTTTATAAGGCTGACATTTCAAATCAGTAGAGAAAAGATGGTTTGCTCACTAAACGTTATAGGGAGAACTGGGTAGCCAAGTAGGGAAAAAAAATTGGCTCTATACCTTACACTTTATACTAAAATAAATTGCAAAGAATCACAGATTTTATTATATAGTGAAAACCTAAAATTAGGCTTTTTGTAGTCTTAAAGTGAGGAAGGCCTTTATGATATAAAATCCAGAAGCCATAAAATCAAATATTAACTTATCTGACTGCATAAAAAAATCAGCATAACTAGATAAAAAATTAGAAGCAAAGTCAGAAAACAAAGGAAAAATTGGAACTATTTCAACTCATATCACAAAGGGTCAATACCCAACAGAAAAATGTACACAAAATATCTGACCAGGGCTTCCCTGGTGGCGCAGTGGTTGAGAGTCCGCCTGCCGATGCAGGGGACACGGGTTCGTACCCTGGTCCGGGAAGATCCCACATGCCGCGCAGCGCCTGCGCCCGTGAGCCGTGGCCGCTGAGCCTGCGCGTCCGGAGCCTGTTGCTCCGCAACGGGAGAGGCCACAACAGCGAGAGGCCCGCGTACCGCAAAAGAAAAAAAAAAAAAAAAAATCTGACCACAGTTCACAGAAAATAAAATACATACAAGCTACTAAACAAATGAAAAGATGCTCAACCTCAAACAAGAGGGATGAAAGAAAACCAATATGCAACCAAACAAAAGCCCTAGGCCAAGAAAGTATTTTCCACCTAACAGATTGGTAAAAATTAAAAGGCCTGATAATACACAATTTGGTGGCAAGGTGTGGGTGAACAGGCACCCTTGTGTATTGCTGATGGGACTGTAAATGGGTATAATCTCTATGAAAGTCAGTTTAGGAATAATTTTGAAAACTGCAGCTATATATGTTTGACAGAGCAATTTCACTTCTGGACTTTTTCTCATATTGATATACTTGAATATTAACGAAATCATATATTTTTAAGGTTACTCATTGCTATCACTACTGTGATAGTAAAAGGCTGAAATCAACCAAATGTCCATCAATAGACAATGATGGAGTGTATCACGGGTAGGGAAATCATGAGATGTCTGCAACTCAAAAGAAAGACGAGGCTCTCGCAGTTTTGAAATGGAATGATTTGCAAGATGTAGTCAGGCAGGACTTCCCTGGTGGCACAGTGGTTAAAAATCCGCCTGCCAATGCAGGGGACACGGGTTCGAGCCCTGGTCAGGAAAGATCCCACATGCCGTGGAGCAACTAAGCCTGTGCACCACAACTACTGAGCCTGCGCTCTAGAACACGCGAGCCACAACTACTGAGCCCACGTGCCACAACTATTGAAGCCCACACGCCCAGAGCCCGTGCTCTGCAACAAGAGAAGCCACTGCAACGAGAAGCCCGTGCGCTGCAATGAAGAGTAGCTCCCGCTCACCAACGCAGCCAAAAATAAATAAATAAACTAATTTTTTAAAAAGCAAGCCAAAGAGTATTATATGCTGCCGTTTATAAATAAAAAAACGTGTGACGAAGGATATATATTTAGGAACTGCTTCTGTACAGATAAAGAGCTGCTGGAGAGGCACCACGGACATGAACCTGAACGCTAACATCGCTGGCCTCTGGAGAGTGGTACTGATGAGCCGGGAGTCGGGGACTGACAGGAGGCCTCTCATGATATGTCCTTTTGTACCTTTGAAATTTCATATGTGATTACATTGCCTACTCATAAAATAAACTTAAAAATTATTTTTAAAAATTGAAACAAAAAAGTCAAGCAATAACTACAAATTATTCTGAAACAAACAAAATAGGATACGATTGGCTGGGTCATAGGGTGTGATAGCATTATGCGTGATTTATTTTTTCCATTTTTCATAACTGTTGCTACTATCACATAAATAATGATATTCTTCATAATGAAGATGATGAGAAAGACCCCAAAACTAATAACCCAGGTACTGTGAATGATTTCCCTTACGAAGATGATGCACCCACACTGACCAAGTCTCACTTTGGGGACCAAAGGCAAACATTAGGAAGGAGTTACCTCAGCCCTCCCGGCATTTAAAGATGGAAGCCTTACCCATCAGATCCTGGTCTGGAAGGAGCATTATCAGATGAGTTAGAAGAGCTGGAGATCACAGAGGATGTCACCGAGGTGATGGACAATCTCCGCAGTGTGGACGACATGATGTAGGGGAGCATCATAGACCCTGTGCGGCTTTGCTTCCTCTCCGTCAAGTTGGGCGGCTAAAGGAGACATGACCCCTCATGGTTAGCTGGCCTGGAATTCGGCCCTTAGGAACTGGCGCAGCCCCTGGTGGGTTGTGGTGAGTGCCCACCTGTATGGGGGTTGGCACCCCATTCTGATGGGTTGGTGCCTGTGTCGCGTCAGTTGTTACATATTGCAAATACGTGTATTCTTTCTTTGTAGTTTGAAAGATTTTATTGACATATCATTTTGTTTATTATAATATGACATATGAGATACTTTGTAACTGCGTATCACAACATCCTGACATTTAAGCGTGTAGGTTGTGAGTTCATTTTCTGTATATTAAGCAACTCTCCATTTTTTTAAAATTTGTTTGAGTGTAGTTAATTTACAATGCTGTTTTAGTTTCTGCTGTACAGCAAAGTGATTCAGTTAAATATATATATATATTTTCCTTTTCCTATTCTTTTCCATAATGGTTTATCACAGGATATTGAATATAGTCCCCTGTGCTCCACAGTAGGACCTTGTTTATCCATCCTATATACACTAGTTTACATCTGCTAATCCCAAACTCCCAATCCATCCGTATCCCCCAATCCATCCCTTCTCCACCCTCCCTGTCCATCCCTCCCCCACCTCTCTTACATTCTTAGTTATAAACACAACTTCGGTTAAGCCTACCTTGTTTCTAAAATTAGAGAAAAATTCACCCTAACTTTCTGCCAGCCTCTTGAGAGAGGGAAACCAAGATGTTCATTACTCATCAATAAAATAGCAAACCCCTCTGTCTGCTTCTCCCCCTTAGCTTCTAGCGGACATTTAGAAAACGGGATACTGGCCTAATAGAAAAGTTTTAGATCGAAACTGGACACCTGATGCTTATCCTGGTGAATCTTAGGAAATAAAGGAATACAGATATACTCTCATAAGAAATGTCTCCAGTAGGTCACCATATCAAATTCAAATGTTAATATTGGCCTGGGTCTAATAAAAACTAAACTCACTGAGTGAAAGCCAAGTGTTTGCCATCTAGGAACTTGTGTAAAAGACAAATGTTCCTAAAAGAAACTCTTAACTGGCAACAGGTTAGGAGGTAAATTCGTGGGAAGGCATGACTGAACACTTGGGTGACTGGGAGAGATGATCAAAAAGATACTAGGGAGAACAATGTAGCAGAGATGGAGGTACGGGAATAGGGGACAGGAATACATGAAACGAAATGCAGAGCCTTGATTTGGAGGAAAGAGGATTTTTGCAAATCTGGGGTTCAAGAATACAACATTTGAAGAGAGAAGGATGAACTCATGTTAAAAAGAGCGGCTAGGGCTTCCCTGGTGGCGCAGTGGTTGAGAGTCCGCCTGCCGATGCAGGGGACACGGGTTCGTGCCCCGGTCCGGGAAGATCCCACATGCCGCGGAGCGGCTGGGCCCGTGAGCCACGGCCGCTGAGCCTGCGCGTCCGGAGCCTGCGCTCCGCAACGGGAGAGGCCACAACAGTGAGAGGCCCGCGTACCGCAAAAAAAAAAAAAAAAAAAGAAAGAGCGGCTAAATGAAGCTGAAACCAAGCATACCATCAACTGTGGGAGAGAAAAGGCTGACCCATGTATCACTCCACCCAACTTCTTGGGAGGAAAAAAAGAAAACTGTGAGAAATGTCACAACTGTCCAAAAAAATCATGACATCAGCTACATGCATTGTCAAATGTAATTCACAATTCTCTGTCCCCTTCGAAGGTGTGATGAGTAGGAACATGTCACCAGAATAAAAAATAAAGATTAGGAAGAACTGTAGGAGTTGGGCTAGACAGGACAGGAATAACCAGTGTCTGGGATTAGGAAACCCCAATGTCTAGTAGTGTGGTTTTCACAGTGTGGTGCTTAGCCCCGCAGCACTACCTGGCGGCATGTTAGAAATGCAAATTCTTGGGCCCCATCCCAGACCAAGTGAATCAGAAACCCTACTGATGTGGCCCAGCAATCTATTTTCACGAGCCTTCCAGGTGGTTCTGACGGTCATTCAAGTTTAAGAGCTGCTGTCCAGCACAACAACAGGTGAAGGTTATTAAGAGCGGACCATGCCTTCTCCGAACTGCCCCAGGGTTTGCATGCCATTCCTAGGCTACTTTGACTCATTTGGCATCTGAAAAATGGATCAATATCATAAACGGTAGAAGAGACTAGAAAAAGCTCATAGGCTGTTGAGACAAAGCCTACCAGTGTTATAACCCCATAGAGCTTTTCCACTTTCTCCTTGAGTTCCCGGAAGCAAGAAGACAACCGGTCGTGCAGTGGCTTCAGCTGCTCCGTCAGCTTCTCCCCATGGATGCGGATCCCCTCTGTCAGCAGAGGCATCTGGGAAGGAGGGCATGAAAGGAATAGGATATTGTTTAGGAAGAAGGATAGTTCAGATTTGGATGCGGGGGAAAGATGGAAGGTGGGGATGGACAGGTAAACCAGTAGACACAGCACGTTTCGAACGACAATACTGCTTCTCAGTGGAAAGCTTGGGAACTGGATGCTCTTGGGTCAAAGATGCAGAGGGATCTGCACACTGGGGATACAAGTAACCAGGGGAAGGGCTGACAGGCGAGGCAAATCTACGTGAGCCTGGGGGCCTTTCTATGCAGGAGTAACTGATACGTTCCACCTTGGACTGAGCTGTATGGCTGCGTTTCCTCCCACTGTTCACAGAAGTAGTGAGAGAGAGAGAGAGAAACTGAGGCCAACATCTCTCATCTGGAAACACAAGCCAGCAAACCGATTTGGGGACTTTAATCTCCCCTCTAAGAAGACCCCTCTCAACACTGTGCAGTCTAATGGAATGTTCTTCCTATGTTGCTTTGCCAAATAAATAGATAGGTTGTGATTCCAAGGGTTAAAAAAAAAAAAAAAAAAAAGTAACCCTAAACGTGTGCTTGGAGATGGATGCCCTAGCGACTATCTTGGTGTTGTGTGGTGGCCGCCCACAGAGCGTGGAGAGCTGTCCAGCCACACCTGCCCTGGGCATACCTGCAACGCTATTAGTCGCTTTAGCAGCTCGATCTTCTCCTGGTCTTCAGGATGCTCCTGCAAGTACTTTTCTGTAAAAAAAGCCTGAAAGCAAAGCATTGGCAAGTATCGATTAGAACACATTCCTATCTGTGTATTTGACCCTAAGAGGAAGGGGAGGGAAGCCTAGAAGGGTGAAACACATCTTCTGTTCTGTCTGATGAACCAGGAATGATTAAGTAAACATTCGTTCCTTTCCTGGGAAGCCCTTAAACCACCGGACTGGACAATTCAAAAAGGAAAGAGTTATTCTGTAGTCTTCCTGGAATCATGCAATTCCTAGCAAGAGGACATTCTCAACTGCTACACACACACATCAAATCAAATCCGCAGCAGCAGAGCAGAATGTCATTCATTAAATAACTTCCCCAAAGAGCTAAGAAAAGGCCAAATGGCAATATCAAAAGGTTATTCATTAGAGTAAGTGCCTAGATCTTATAAAGGAAAGAGCAAAAAATTAATAGGCTGAAGATGTGCTGAGAGTTTTCCTGCCCAGCATTTTATAGGCTGTACGACAATTCCTAAAGATTCATATTGGCACTTTCTTACTAATCACCTATCCAAAAGGCTATTTTGAGGACATCATGAGAAATGCTATAGATGTGAAAGTCTTTTGAAAATATTAAATGCAGGTTGCATTTATTATGCTAGGTCAAGACCATGTCACCCATAACATCAATAAACATTCGTGGAAAGGTCCTATAATAGGGACATAAAACTCAAACTATAAATACAGGTGTTCCATAGGAGACCATTTTAAAGACAGAATTCATTAGGAAAGAAAAACTAAAGTCTGTAGTGAACATTTGAGCTCCAACAGGGTTCAAAACGGGAGTTATCTATTTTCTCCCTGTACCATAACCATCATTTCTGAGAGTGCTTTTGAAGACTAGCCTTCAAAGCTCCCCTTCACTCTTTTGCTTCACTAGTAGGAAAACCACCACCCCATCACATGAAACCCAAGAGCTCCTGAAACTACAGGATACAGTTATAAAAGGGATCAGCCCATTTTGTGTGGAAAACAGAATATGTGCAAACGCTTTACTTTGTGGGAAGATGTTATGGGTTAAACTGTGTCCCCCCAACCCCCAAATTCATAGGTTGAAGTCCTAAGCCCTGGGACCTCAGAATGTGACCTTAGATGGACACAGACTTGTTGCAGAGGTAATTAGTTAAGATGAGGTCACATGAGAGTAGGATGGACCCCTAATCCAATCTGACCGGTGTCCTTGCAAAAAGGGGATATGAGGAGACAGACACATGTACACAGAGAGAACATCATGAGAAAAGCCAAGGAGAAGACAGTCATCTACAAGGCAAGGGATACCAAAGGTTGCCAGCAACCCACAGAAGCCAGGAGAGAAGCAGGGAGCAGACTCTTCCTCAGAGGCCTCAGAGGGAATCAACGCTGCTGACACCTTAATTTCAGACTACTGGACCCCAGAACTGTGAGACAATCAATTCCCATTGTTTTAAGTCACGCTGTCTGTGGTACTTTGTTATGGCAGCCCTAGAAAACGAGTGCAACAGAGAATATAAATATATGGAATCCACGCATCACACAAAGGAAACAGGACAGCACATTTCCAGAGCAGCTCATGCTGGCAGATTCACATTTACAGGGGCTGTCAATATAAATGAAAACATAGGATTTGCTTAAATCTTCAGCCACCTTTACCTTTCAAAATACACGCGGTTTAAATTTGAAAGTTAAAAAAATTTTTTGACCTCTGATAAAATGCACTGAAATTCCCAAAGCATCAGATGAGTCAGGGAACATCAGAGCAGAGTCCCCTGAAATTAGTTTTTCTAGCAGAGTCCTGCCTCAGAACAGAAAGGGCTGATGAATTACTGCTCACACCTCCTGTGTTCCGATCACTCAGGCGCTGATTAAAGAGCGGCCTTAAAATAGGTCACCTGTATCAAGTAGGTAATGAGGGATTCCCGACCCGATTGCAATAGTTCAAGGTGATCAATGAGTTTACCTTCTTCTTATGTTTAGAAATGTACAAAGTCATACATATTAATTAAAAACTAACAGTCTTTAAAAGTTGCTGAAATAAATTTGTTTATATATCCTTCCTTTTCTTCCCTTTTCTTAAAATTTTAATTAGAAGATGGTCACACTGGAAAAAACTTCATATAAAATTATATAATAGGGGCTTCCCTGGTGGCGCAGTGGTTGAGAGGCCGCCTGCTGATGCAGGGGACGCGGGTTCGTGCCCGGGTCCGGGAAGATCCCACATGCCGCGGAGCAGTTGGGCCCGTGAGCCATGGCCGCTGAGCCTGCGCGTCCGGAGCCTGTGCTCCGCAACGGGAGAGGCCACAGCAGTGAGAGGCCCGTGTACCACAAAAAAAATAATAATAATAATTTAAAAAATATATATATATAATAATAGTCACAGATACTGGCGTATATAAATCAGAGTTCAGGAGCATTGTGAAAAAAAAATGAATACTTGGAAAGACACATCAAAATTAGTACCAGATAGCTTATAGGAAAAAACACACACTGAAATCATTACAGCATTAAGAAAGTATTGTATTCTGGCCCTAGTATTGAATTCCATTATAACACTAGAAATTATTACTGAAACCTAACATCGGCACACCAGAGTTCCTCTGGTGCTTTCCCAGCTGCTGAGACTAAGAAGACTAAAAAAAAGGTTGAGAGGTTGAAGAGACGACAGAAGAAAGAAGATCACTGTAGCACTGGTAAGCCCCACTCATCAACAACACTCAAACTGGGACATCCCTGGTTTGAGCACTGGTTGAGACTCCGTGCTTCCAAGGCAGGGGGCGCGGGTTCGATCCCTGGTTGGGGAGCTAAGATCCCTCTTGCCAAAAAAAAAAATAAAAAAGAACACTCAAATCACACATTCTGTTCCAAGTAGACAGGAAGAAAACCGACCCTGATCAAGCCACCACTACATGGCAGGGGTCATATGATGTTCCTCATATACAGGCAGTCTCCCTTAAGCCCCACGTCACTCCTGTCAGTTATGTATTTTCCTTACTTTTTTCAAATATGAAAACTGGAGCTCAGAGAGATTAAGTATCTCCCCCAAGAGCACACAGTGGCCAATGGGAAGCCAGAACTGGGTCATAAGAGTGACTGATTCTGAAGCCCCTGCTCTTCCCAGGACATTGTGTACAAATGGGAATAAGAGAATCAGCCCAGTTAACCTTTCTCATCTTTCCCATCCATCTCCTTTTCTCCCCACTCACTCTCCATGTTTCTCAACAGGGGTGTAACTTGTTTATTTATACTCAAGAGGAGGACCCCCAAATTATTTAGCCACTGAAAACATACCTAGCAATTAAAAATCCTGCTTCTATTGATTATACGTAACCAAATTCTACTGAATGCATTACCTCCACTTTAAGTGATGCTACCTCCAGACCCTATGCAATGGAGTCCCATGGGATGAGCATTCCATTCATGTTTTTCCAGAGTTACAGATACGACACTTAGCTGAATTAATTTAATTGCAGAGCCAGGGCCAGCGTTTGTCCATACAACCAATGGCACACCATGTCAGGGTTCCAAATAGAGCGTGGCTCTGTGTTTCCCACAGAGGCTGCTTCCCTTCCAGGGCATCCTCAGGTCTGGGGTCCACTTGTGTGCCTTCTACCTTCCAGGGGAGAGAGGGAGTGGGAAGGGAATTCACAGCTGGTCAATCAACCAGAGGTCTAGCAGATGGATCTTTCGGTGACTCTACCAGACAGTGGCCTAACCCTGGCTGGGTGGCTGATGGTGTCTAGCAGGTATGAGGTCAGGGAGAAGCCTGTCATTAATTTCATTTGCCCATTCACAAAGTGGGGAGAATGAAAATCTCTCAGAGAAGTTGTAGGAAAAGAATTCACCAGCTGCCACTGGAGAAAGCAGGAGAGACACGCCAGACCTGGTGGCCCCGTGGGGTTCCCGGGACGCAGCCCACCTTCTCATAGTTGGAGTAGCCCCCCATGACAGCCGGGTCCACGATGCCACTGAGCAGCATGGAGAGGGGATGCACGGAGAGGGACCGGTCCCAGGCGTGCTGCTGGACACAGTTGCTGATCTTCTCATTGGTGAGCTCCATGGTTTCAATGGCATTCTCCAGAGGACTGATTTCTTCCTGTGACAGAGAGCATGGCAGAGGAGAGACGCTGAGCTCCACAGCCAAGACTGGAAAAAGCCTAGGTCTTCCCCTCCAAAGGCATACAATTCCCACCAAGCTATGGAGGAGCGATGTTTTCCTTGTCAAAGTCATGGTTTTTTTTCTTTTTGGCTGCACTGAGCGGCACGCGGGATCTTAGTTCCCCGCCCGGGGATAGAACCTGTGCCCCCTGCAGTGGAAGCACGGAGTCCTAACCACTGGACCACCAGGCAAGTCCCGGCATCATGTTTATTAATAAGGAGAGCACATTTATTTGAAATGGTGTTGGTACGCTGCTAAATAAGCAATTTAAAATCTCAGAAAGTACAAGGATGATTTAAAAACTGGAGCTATGGTAATGATTATTTCTTGGAGCAAAGTGTCTATGGAAATTTTGAGAAGATAAAATTGGAGCTGTAATGATGATTTTTTCTTGGGCAAATCTTTCTTACAGATTTTTGAGAAGATCAATGACAACAGAGGAGCAATATATCTGACCCAAGACACCTCTGCACACCAAAAACGTTCACTGGGAAGAGGTCTGATGCTCCTTCCGTGAGAAAAGGTAAGTGATCTCGGAAGTCACACGTTCAGACCATATATTAAGTCTGCTTAGCAGGGGTTCTACGGTTTATGGAAGTCAGAAATAATAGGATGTATTAGAATAGTCAAGCTGGATTTTGGATGCGAATGAAATGAGATGCAATGCAGATTCAGAGAGCTCCTCCTGTGGAAATGTCTTCCAAACTAGATTCAAGAAAAATTGTGTCCTTCTTCATTTTACCCTGATCAACCAGCATGATCTCCTACTCCAGAATGGATTCCAAAAGCTCTGTCCAAAACCATATTCATACTTGAAGAAGAATAATTTATCACTAGTGGTATGGAACACATCAAACTTCAGATTTGTTCAAGACGTATTTCTTGATTACTTATTTTAGGCAAGTACTCTGCTATGCACCATTGTTACAAAAGCGATTAAGATATAATTCATGGCTGGAAGGAGCATACGGTTTTCACAGGTTCAGGGTGGGGAGGTTTCAAGATATGTAAGCATGGTAGGTAACTCTTTAGAAATAAGCCAAGGTTGTGACAGCGCAGAGAGAAAGGGCATCTAACCCAGCTTGGGAGTTTCAGAGATGGCTTCCTGGAGAAGCTGGTACCTAAACTACATCTCAATGGGAGTTAGGTTGAGAAGTGGTCAGAGGGCATGCTGGGCAGAGAAAATGTCAGAGAGGGTTGACATAGCATGGAATGAGCAATTTAGTTCCAGTAGATTCCATAGAAGATGAAGTGGAAGGGCTTAGTCACACAGACCCTGTACGCATGTGCTAGGAGCATGGGCTTTCTAGTCTAGGCACTGGGGAGCCACAGCAAGGTTTTAAGCATGAGAATGATACAGCCAGGTTTTCACTATGGAATTCACACTCTGAGGCAGAGAGGAAAATGGACCTAAGAAGCCAATGCAGGGAGGCCAATCAGAAGGCTTTTTCAATGGCATCAACCAGAGATGAATGAGGGATTAGAAACAGGGTACCTCAGCAGGAGGGCTGGGGGAAGAAAACTAAAACAGATTTAATAACTAATAAAGAGGTAAAACAAACAGCTTTGGGGAGTGATGAAGATGGAAGAGTCTAGGATGAATGGTGATGTGACTAGCTGAAAATAAGAGGAAGTGTTCTTGGAGAGAAGAATGTGATTGATAGGAAACTCAAAGGAGGAATTCCAAAAATGTTTTTGGGCACAGGCAGGATCCTTGAGGAGACAAAACCCATTGGGTCATAAAAGAGCCATTCACTGGGAGTAATCTTTAGGGTTGGTGTTGTAACATCAGTTTGACAAAGGAGTTCTATTCTACAAGCATGTCTTTTATTTCTCTTTTGGAAAATAAAGTGGGCCAGAGGAGCTAGTGAGAACTGGAGGGGGAATTTAACAAAGGCTCTCATTCTGTTTGGAGACAGAAAGAGTTTTCTGAGTTCCATTTTCAGATGACTTACTGTTGAAATCTGCTTGACTTCAAACCACTTGAGAATCCCAGGGAAGGTATAGGCAGTCGTATACGTGGTCCTTTCAATCCACATGGTCTGGTGGAAGGAAGGAAAGTAGGAAATGGTGGTCAGTTCCCAGGCAAAACAGCAAAACTCCCAGGTTTATGATATTCTCTTTTTTAAATTTTTTTAAATAAATAAAAATTAAAATTATTTCATATCAGAGCATACTTGATTTAGTTTCAGGTGTACAGCAAAGTGATTCAGTTATACATATACATGTATCTATTCTTTTCCAAATTCTTTTCCCATTTAGGTTATTACAGAACATTGAGCAGAGTTCCCTGTGCTCTACAGTAGGTCCTTGTTGGTTATCTAGAGATTTTATTTTCAATGCCTCCTTAGTGAATGGGCCATACTTTCTCCCAAACTTTAAGGATTCTAAGTGTTTAAAGCAGAAAGGAATTATCTATTGGGGCTCCGTCACCCTTTTTGATGGGAAATTTGAGGTCCAGAGAGGTGTGACATGCTCAAATCACGGTCATGGTGGTGGCAGGCCCAGGAGTGGAGCCCAGTTCCTGGATCACTAGTCTAGAGTTTTCCACTGAGACAACAGTCTGCTGACTAGGTAATAAGCACACGGAAACTCTATCTCCAGGGCTGCCATCATTTCTGCTGTAGATGCTGGTTGAATGGAAGGCCTCCATTTTTGATGTCCCTTTCATCTTGTTTTAGAGGATGAACGTGGTGGACTCACAGCAAACTCATTGTCGGGATCCTTTTCTCCTTTCCGGAACGGCCGAGAATATCTGAACTGCTGTACTTCATTGGCTCTGTAGTAGCTGGGAAAGACACAGCCATATGCTTTCATTTCTTTCTTACAACAAGCACTGCTCCAACAAAACCTGACACACATCTTACATGGACTGAGTCTTATCCACTAAACTACCTCAAAACTGACATAGTCTCCATGATGAAGGCTGGAGATGATGCAGAATTTGACTTTTTTAAAACTTTTTTGGCCATGCCACGTGGCATGCAGGATCTTAGTTCCCCAACCAGGGATTGAACCCGTGCCCCCCTGCAGTGGGAACATGAAGTCTTAACCACTGGACTGGCAGGGAAGTCCCCGGAATTTGATTTTATTGCACATCTTAGTTTTATTATTGATGAATCTATCTCACAGCTCACAATTTTGAAAGGCATATGGATTTATGTCCGTGTTTGTGATCTCATTTGCATAGTTTTCTAACAGTTCTATCAATCCTAGTAGCATTTTAGCTTCTCAGGAGAAGGAATTCAATCATAGGCGAACTCACTGATTGAAGGCCAGGTGAGGTCAGTCGCTACTGGCCAGTGAATCCTTCTGAGTGGAAAAAAGAACCAGGGGATCTGAAACCTAAGAGTGAAATTCTCAATTTCCTTCCCTCTGCTTAAAAAAAAAGAAATCTCCAAATCCCTTGAGTTACCAAGCTCTCATCTTATACTGGAAATGGAAGGGACAGTTGTTATGGTCTGAATATTTGTCCCCCCAAATTCCTATACTGAAATCCTAATGCCCAATGTGATGGTTTTAGGAGGTGGGCTTCTTGGGTGGTGATTAGCTCATGATGGTGGAGCCCTCATGAACGTGGTTAGTGCCCTTATTAAAAAAGAGGCCCCACAGAACTCCCTCACCCCTCCCACCATGTGAGGACACAGTGAGAAGATGATCACCTACGAACCAGGAAGAAGGCCCTCACCAGACACTGAACCCGCCAGTGCCTTGATCTTGGACTTCTCAGCCTCCAAAAATGTGAGAAATAAATTTCTGTTGTTTCTAAGCCACCCGGTCTGTGATCTTCTGTTACGGCAGACCAAATGGACGAAGACAACAGGAGGTCTTCCAAACTCTACTGAATTTTGATAGACTTCTATATAAAGAAGTGTGTGAGACACATGGTTTAAAAAACAAACAAAAAACCCCACTTACTTTAAGATCTGCTCTGGAACTGGTTTATCTTTGTAGCTGGGCGGCAGGCTCATCACTGGCTTTACGGTGAAACACTGCATGTCTGAGGAGCTCGTTAAGGAAGGAAAAGGGCTGGGCCACTAAGCTGTCACGGCAAAAAGGACCACCTGTTCCTCCTGCTTTACCGATGGAAATGGTACCCACACCAATCATTCCTTTGAACCAAATGCCAGGACCGCATTGAAAACGGGCTTCCCTCAGATATTGCCAAAATGCCTTATTAAGTCATAATCTTGGGACATTTTTTGGTCAGACACGTGGCAAACAACCTTATCTTAGGGAAACAGACATTAATGAAATTTCAGGAAAACAGGTGACTAGCAATTATCTAAAATCATTTCTTTTGGACAAGCATCCCTCTGAATTAGCCAGATTCCAGAGCCCGGGCAATAGGAATTTCTTGTTATCTCTGGATACCATTTGTTTACCAAGTACCAGAGCCAGGCACTGTACTAGGTGCTTTGACTATGTTATCTCCAATAAAAACAACAATTTCCAGGTGGATGTTATTAATCCCCTTTACAGATGAAGAATCTGAGGGTCTGAGAAAGCCCAGATCACACAACTGATAAATGAAGTCAGACGTCAAACCCAGCTCAGGGGGAAGGTCTCCCTCTCTCACTTAATGATCTGATCTTAGGCATGACTTTGTTTTGCCTTTACCAACAATGCTTCCAAATCTATAGCATTGAAACTAGAATTTAAGGCACTGGGTCTAGACCTAACATTCACTCCCAGTATTTCCCAACGTGAAGAGTGCCACCCACTGGCACCAGAATCACCTGGAGATTTACTCAAAATGCAGAATTAGAATTCACAGCTGCTGAATTAGAATCTCTCCATGGGGATTCTTAAGTATAATGAAACCTGAGAACCACTGGGCTATGCCTTAAGCTATTACAGCTTACAAAACGTTTTCACATAAATGATCTTTTTAATTTGATCTTCACAGAAATGCTATTAGATATTTGGGAGAAACAGAGCTCCCCTCACACTTTATAGATGAGAAAACCAAGGCCGGGAGAAACTAAGCAACTTGCCAATGTAAATCAGCTATGCAGACGTGACTCTGGGACTCCTGTTTCTACATCCAATTCATGAAGACCTCTTTTCATTCCCATCCCAAGGAGGCCCCGCAAGCATTTACTGAATCCCTACAACTGCAACAATTTTTCCCAGAAAACCTTTCTTTTCCAAGCATCCACTGTGTTAAGAGGCCACTCCACTCTCCTCTGAAAGGCAGGTCTGCCTACTGATCTATCATTGCTGTGTATCTTTCTATAGCTACTGAACAATAATAATTAATATAATAATCAATTATTAATTAATATATTATAATATATAATATTTATAATTATATAATATATAATTTAGTATAATTAATACATATTAATTATAATAATTAATACACATAATTAATAATTAATACATATTGAACTTTTATTATGTATTTACCAGGCACTGTTCCTAGTATTTTACAGATACTCAATCTTTGCAAGAACTCCAAGGGGAAGAATGATCATCATCCCCACTTTACAGGTGAGAAAACTGAGGCACAGAGAAATTAAGTAAGTTGCCCAAAGTGACACAGTAAGTGACAGCACTGGGACTCGAACCCAGGCAATATGCTCCGGGGCCCTTTTTCTTATTTATCTACCATGCCACACCAGCTCTGTCTTAGCAACCTCTTTTAGAATACTGTTTACCTTTATAACATCTTCATTTTTTAAAAAGCATGCAATTGGTTTATCGATGACATTATATGTTACCCAAAAAGAGCTACACATCTTTATCCAGGACCCAGAATTCAGAACAGGAAGTCTATTCGCCTCAGGCTCCGCTTGTGGCTATAACACACATCCCTTCATATTCAACATTTGCTTCTCATCTCTCTCCTTTAGTTACGTCATAGCCCTGAGCTAAGGACATGAGGTTCCCAAAGCTTTTACACAGAATGGGACACTGAGTCAGGATGATTAAATGAGTCTGAGGCCAGGACCTATCGGCACGCAGGGATGGGATGGAACCCTCGGCTTCTCTGGCTGGGCTGGGGCTGCTGTAGGTTCAAGAGCCCCTGAGCCGTGACCCCAGGATGAGGATACGCTGCTTGGGGGAGGACTTGATGTCCTCTCCCGGGGGCGTGGTGCTGGCCATCTTCTCGGCGTTGGGAAACTGGGTCAGCAGCCGCAGGCTGAAGTCTTCTCGCCTCTCGTACTCCTTCCCCCGGTAGATGAAGATCTTGTTCTGCAGGTCAGGAGAGCAAGGGAAAGAATTAAATATGAAGAGTGAAGGGGCAACTGGGGAGCCTGGTCCCGAGGAAGCCGCTGTCCTCCCCAGACCAAGTGCAACACCCCCACCACGTCCTCATGAAGCACCTGCTATGTGCCCCACAGTAACCATCATATCCGAAGGAGCTCACAGCTTATCTGTGGAGTTAAGTCACAGGCATGAAAATGCTTCACGCAGTGTTTCTCAGAGTATGGCCCAAGGATGACAATTGGTGTGCAAACAGCCTACACTGACCCACAAGGAGATAAGGAGTTTGCACCCTAATGGAAATCCAGGATGTTACCGGGCACGCTGTTTTAGTTTAGCTGATACTTTTCATGGCAAGAAATTCTCAATGAAGGAAGGAAGTACATTCATTTACTTTTGAGGTGCAAGCTCCTTTCTCATCATGATCCAGTAACAGGTAGGGAACCAGCGCTTTGAGCGGCACTGCCTAGAGAACTCGAAAGTACGAAGCGAATCAACACAACAGGTGAGACAGGAACAGAGAACAGGATTAACCTACAGCCGTCCCAAGCCAATCCTGGAGATCACCGTGGATGGCCACATTGAAGCCTCATAGAAAATAACTACCCTCAATACTATTCTCTCCATTCCAAACTGCAGCTTTTTCTATTTGATAAAATTGGATGTTTTGAAAAGAAATTTTCTAGGCCCCAGGCATGGAAGAAATTCACCTCACAGCTGTTGCAAGTTCAAATGTCGTCATGTTTTGAAGGTTCCTGCTCCTCCGATGGTCACTCAGATGAGTACTTAGTATTTAAAGCCCACACGTGATCCTTTTTTAACTAAAATCTGGGCCCATATTGTCCTGTCAAATGTTTTTAAAAACCACTTGTCCATTCACACAACCAGTATGTATCGAGCAAATGAGATACGCCAGGCGCTAGGAACAGAACAGTAACTCTGCTCTGGTGGAGAGAAATAGAAAACAAGTAAATAAATAAGTAAGTAAGATAATTTACATAATTTAAGTCCCTTGAAGGCAATATACCTTCTACGCTCAACACGGAGGGCAGTGAAAACGGCCAGATCTTTTGGAATTGATGATGAAATGTTTCCAAGCCGGGAAAGATTTATGTGGATGACGCATGCATTATGCAATTTCATCATTCAGGCAAAACTGTGGCGGGTTAAGGGGTCGGAGTATAAGAAAACGCTAAGTGTATGATGTGGACCATAACTGTGGAAGGAACCAGACAAGCAGAAGGTCAGTACAACGCAGCTCAACCTGCAGGAAAAGGTTTCCAGGAGGACACAAGACTTGATTGGATGCAGATGGATGGACAGGGTCAGGAGAGGAGAGGGGGGGGGAGGGGGGGAGGGGGGGGGAGGGGAGGACAGCCAGGCATGGAGGTGAAAAGAATAATAATAAGGCCCAAGGCAGAAAGTACGGAGTGCAGGGAGAAGAAAATCCTTGGACGAGCCGGAATCTGAAAGGCCTGGAAAGGCGGGTCAATGGTCCAAAGGCCTGGAAATTCACTGGAGGTTCTAGAAGGAGGGAGCAATGTGATGAAGGAGGAAGTGTAGTCAACCTAATCTATCCAACTGTAGGGATCCTTGGCAAAATCCTGTGAGGGAAGGAGGAGCTACAGGGACTGCTGTTTGAGTCTTTGGTGTTTGGTAAAGAGCGAAGGGATGGGAGAGTCAATGAGGATTCTGAGGTAACGGCCTTGGACCAGGAAGAACAGTGATGCCACTGACAAAAACAGAAGAGATGGAGGGAGGCCTGCTTGGGGTCAGGGGAGAGGATATAATTTTATACTGAGTTTGGGGAAATAGTCTGTAACATGCAAGGGCATTTAGGTTACATAATTCATGTGGATTCTCTACTTTTCAGTACACGCTGACAACACGTAACGCCTACAAACGCCTGTACAGTTTATAAAGCACTCCCATCTGCTATTCATTTCATTCTCAAACCAGCCCTGCAATGTGGGCCTTATTTCCCTAACTTCAAGGTCAGAAAACCAAGACTTGGTGGTCATGTGATTTGGCCAAAATCACAGTCACTCGGCAGATGATTTAGACCCCAATTTTTCAACTTGAAAGTCTAGACTTCTTGTTCTCACAGAACCACTGCTGTCCTCCAGTTCATAACCATTATTCCATGTGACACAATAATCATATGTAACAAGTGTGGTAGCTGTCAATATCTTATCATGAACGATAGCAAATTTAAGACCAGAACCTACTGCAGGCCCTCTACTCTTATTACACATTTTTTGGATGTTCCAAATCTACCTCACATTGAGTATGTCTAAAACCAAACAACCTATAAAGACCCCAAAGTGGGCTTCCCTGGTGGCGCAGTGGTTGAGAGTCCGCCTGCCGATGCAGGGGACACGGGTTCATGCCCCGGTCCGGGTAGATCCCACATGCCGCAGAGCGGCTGGGCCCGTGAGCCATGGCCGCTGAGCCTGCGCGTCCGGAGCCTGTGCTCCGCGACGGGAGAGGCCACAGCAGTGAGAGGCCCGCGTACCGCAAAAAAAAAAAAATCCCAAAGGCCCTCTGCAATCTGGTACCCATGGCTCTCTGAGCCCGTGCTCTACCTGCCCTTTTGTTCATGCATCTCCAGCCTCATGTCTTTTGAACCTGCTGTTCTCACTGTCTGGCCCCCTCTTGAGAGCTGCCTGGCTTACTCCCTCACGTCTTTCAGGGTTTTGCTCAGGTGTCATTTTCTTACCGAAGTCTTTCCTATTCACTCTGTTTAAAATTGCAACTCCATCCCCACCATCTGCCTCTCCATTCACCTTCCCCTGACGCATTTTTCTCTACGATACTTGCTGAGTGTCTGCCCTGTATGAGGCGCTGTTCTAGGCCATCTGACATACTCAGATATTTATCTTAGTATTTATTTATTTGTCTCTCCAAGCCAGAACAGCAGCTCTACAATTTCAGGGATTTGGGTTTAAGACTCTGCCCGCTGGCCTATATTACAGCAAGGTCCATAAATATGGGTCTGCAGTACGTTCTGGTCTTAAATTTGCTATCGTTCATGATAAGATATGGATAAGAGCTCAATAAATATTTATTCAGTGAGTGGATTCATCCTCTCCTCCATGATTCTGCCCTTTCCCAGTGTTGCCATCTTAGTGGATGGATCCACTGCGCCGCCAATTATGCAGACCAGAGAGCCAGGAATCATTCTTACCACCTCCCACTTGCTCATTGCCATATCCCATCAATCATCAAATACTGTTACTGCGTCTCCATCACACTAATCTTTCCCTTCCTCTCTAAAGCCACCTCCCTAGGCCAACCTGTCGTCTCTTCCCAGAACATCTGCCATGGTCTCTAGGGGCTTATCTACAAGCACGTCCCATCCATTCTCCATACCGAAGCCAGACGACCTTGCCAACACTGAAAAATCTACAATGGCTCCCTCTGCTCTCTGGATGCCAACAAAACACGCTATGTGGTCCCCAAAGCCCCGCACGCCCCTCCCACACTTCCTGCCTCATCTTCCCTGCTCACCCCAGCTCCCTCTCTTCCCACAGCACTCGTCTTCCACTCCCAGCCCCTGCCATGCCCTTGCCTGCTATTTCCTCTGCCTGGAGCGCCTTTTCCTATCCCCTTAACCTTCCTGACTCCCAGTTCACCTTTCAAATCCCAGCTGAAGCAGAAGTTCCCTGGGAAGTCTTTCCCGATTCTTAAAAAATTCAGGTATAATTGACGCATAGTAAAAATCTACCCCTTTTAGTGTAAAATTCTGCAGGTTTTGACAAACATAACCATGACCACAATTAAGAGATAGCACAGTTTCATCACCACTTAAAATCTCCCCATGTCTCTTTGTAGCCCAACCTTCGCCCCACCGGCTCCACTGACCAGATCCAATAACCACTGACCTGCTCTCCATCCCTATGGTAAGTGTTGGCTTGGCCAGAATGTCATATCAATAGAATCACAGAGTATGTAGCCTTTAGGGTCTAACTGCTTTCTTTTACTCAGCACAATACATCTGAGATTCATCCCTGTGGTTACGTGTATCAGGAGTTTATTCCTTTTTTTCCTGAGTAGTTTTCCACTGCACGGCTGTCCCACACTATGCTGATCCCTTCACCAGCTGAGGGAGACATGAGCTGTATCCAGTCTTTAGTGATTATAAGTAACAGCGCTATAAACGATCACGTACAATTTTTACATGAACACAGGTTTTAATTTTACTTGGGTAAATACTCCTTGCTTAACCAACTCATCTAGCACAGAATTCCTGTCTTGGTCAGTTTCGATTTCATATTTGTTTGTGCGATTATTTAATTAACATCTCACCCATCAGGTTGTCAAATCCATGAGAGCAAGGACCACATCTGATTATAATCAGCACTGTATCTCTAATGCCTGGCACACAGTAGGCCCTAAGCAAACAGTTATTGAATGAATGAATAAACTACTTCCTTACTATGCGCTATAAGGAATGTATTTTCCTTACCACTTTTTTCTTTCTTTCTTTTTTAATTAGGGGAAGGAGGATGGATAATATATATTTAAACATAGCTCAGCACTAACAGAGGCTTCTTTTCTGTGGGAGAAAATAAGAGGGCTTTTTTGGGGGGGTTTGCTTTTTCGATTGTAAAATCAGTATTACATTCTAAAAAAATCTGAGAAACAAGATAAACATGGTCCTCCTCATTCTTCCAACAAAACTGTTTTTATTTTTGTGAACCTTTTGCAGTCTTGTCCTGGGGATATTTGTTTTCAAACTAGCTCTAGCTGGAAATAAAATAAACAATTAGATACATCAATCCACACTCTTCTCCCCCACCCCCACCCCCACCGGCTGACCCTCAGCAGACCAGCGGAGGGAATGGTTTTGTTTTTCCCTTTTTCATTCCACCTGGGAGAAGTCATTTTACAAAAGAACTGCCAGAATACCAGAGGTGGCCGGGGGGTGAAGAGACCAGCGGCTCAGGAAGTGGTTTCCCTCCCTAACCTCCCACCGTGAGAACAGGGGTCTCCAGCTGCTAACACGCTAGACCCATCTGGAAAAGAAATGAAGACCTTCCCTCCTGCAGACTGCAGGGCTTAATGGCTGGAGAGACCACCCTCAGGCTTCTTACCCGTAGGAAAGAAGGAAAGCCCTGTCCGTAGTAGCCAACAGCAAAGTATTCAGGCTGAGGCCTCATTGCCTTAATGATGTTCTCATAAAATGAGGCTCTTTTTTTCTGGAAAACAAAACAAGACATTCCATAGGGAGGTTACAAGGGCACCGCTGGAAAAAAAAAAAAAAAAAAAAGCTCAGACTATTGGCTTTGTTGTTTCCCACGTAACAGAGAGAAATGAAAGGTCTTTGCAAAATATCTTTTGGGCCAAAGAATTATCCTTTCCCTGGATTGGTGGTTTTGGACCTGCATCTACGAATGGGCCCGGGAGGGTCTGGGAATCCTTGCAGTTATGTGTAGAAGGACAGATGTGTGTGCATTCACCTCTGGAGGGAGGGACAGTTTAGCTTTCACCAGTTTCTTGAAGTACATTCAGGACCCCTAAAAGGTTAAGAAGCACTTTCTGAGATTCAGGTGGGTGGTTGCACTGGAACAGAGACATATGAGGAAAGAGAGAACTTTCCAGTTCATGCAGGTGGTTTCGATTCAAGGCCTCGGTTCAGCTACAGGTGCCCAGAAGGTGGTGGTGGTGTTCTATTTTTCAAATCCGGTACCACCCTTATTATTGTTTTTTTTGTAATTGAATTTTTATTTTATTTATTTATTTTTATACAGCAGGTTCTTATTAGTCATCCATTTTATACATATTAGTGTATACATGTCAATTCCAATCTCCCAATTCATCCCACCACCACCACCACCGCCACTTGCCCCCCTTAGTGTCCGTATGTTTGTTCTCTACATCTGTCTCTATTTCTGCCTTGCAAACGGGTTCATCTGTACCATGTATGCGTTAATATACGATATCTGTTTTCCTCTTTCTGACTTACTTCACTCTGTGTGACAGTCTCTAGATCCATCCACGTCTCTACAAACGACCCAATTTCATTCCTTTTTATGGCTAATATTCCATTGTATATACTGGTACCACCCCTATCTTTAATGCTTCCTGTGGGGAGCGGTTTCCCAACCAGGGCATAGAGCGTCAGCCTTAAAGGAAGCAAAATAGGTAGCCAGACCTGGGGGGCTTTGACAGCTGTCCCTCTCACAATGGTTAGCGCCAAGGTGATTACTACACTATCTCAGTGAAGGATTCTATCACAATGTTTTCTTAGAGAGGTAACTTGTTACATTGCTCATGCCTCAGCTCAATTTAGTTTGTGAAATTCATCTGTGACTCTTTGCATGATGGCAGGAGCTGGTACCATACAGGGGCAAATTCTTTTCAAAGTGATCTTGACAACTATCTCCTCCAATTATTACATGACAATGGGTGACCTGACCTTTTGTGACTCCTCCACTGAAAATCACCCAATGTTATATTGTGTTGCCCCCCCACTGGGCATGGAAAAGGTTATTTTTGTTTCGCTTTACTGTTTTGAAATAGGTGACCTGTGCCAACAGCCAGGTGTAATACACAAGGACGGGATGACTGTAAGAGCAGAGATGTCCGGGGACATTCGGAGCAGGAGGAAGGCAAAACTGGAGAATCAAGATAAAAAACAATAAGAAACAATAGAAAACAAACAAAAAAACAAACTAAAAACAAAAATTGTTTAAACAAACAAACAAAAGATTTAAAATTGGAAAATAAACATAAAAAACAGAGCTCGAAGATGAGCAGTTCATTCATTCAGCAGAGCCCTGAGGATGTGGACCACAGGACAAGTAATTCTGATGAACAGATGTCAGAAAACATCTGAAACGTGGAAAGGCTTCCTGGAAGGCAGAGTGAGTGAGAGGGGAAAGGGGTGCTGGGCCTGGGATATGGAGGGTCCACAGAGGAGCAAAAGGCACAGAGGAGAGGGCTGTAGACGGGGATCCTGAGCCCCCATCAAAGAGAATCTGGACAAATAGCGGTAACAGCTTTTAGACCTCATTTCTCTTCATTTTTATTCTAAGCAAGGTGTACTCTTCCATTGTAAAGAACATCAATTATCTTTTTTAAACTTACAAAACCATTTTCACAAACACTACGAATAGCACCCCTGCCAGAGGCTCGACGTCTTCTGACCCAGACTCACCAGGAGATCACCCAGGCCCTCGTAGTCGAATACTTTGCTCTCATAATTCTCAGCCAACTCTTTGCTCAGCTTGATTGCCTTCTCCCACATCTTCAGAAAAAGAAAAGGAGGGTTACCCGTGGAGAACAAAGCAGTCATTGATCCAGTTGAAAAAGCCACTGGAGAGTCACTGGGCAATGACTAGGGAGTCAGGTGGGTTGAGTTTCTGCGGACACTCCCGACGTTCCTCACGGCTTGGATCAACTAACCCTGTTTTCTGACATCAAAAATCTACTGTACCTTAGCCGCTTCGCCAGGGGGCATTTTCTGTTAATTCTGTTTGTAAGAACATGAAGAACACCATGTGTCCTCAAACAAAGCAATGCTGAGTTTAAAGAGCAATGACCATTGAAAGTGGAGTGGAACCAGTTCCAAAGACCTAGTCTTTGAGAGCATGAAAGTCTTGCTGGAGGGGAAAGGAAGTTGGTGTGGGCTCTTGTTCTGGTTTTGAGATGTGTGTGTGTGTTCCTTCTGAGTCAGGTTGTTTGGGAGGAGTGGAGGTATGAAAGAAAGTCTGATCATACTGTTGTGTGGAATTTGGGAAACTATTTCTCCAAGTTAGGGCCCTGATTTCCTATTTCTAACTAAACTATCTACATAGTCAGAGAGCGCTTCAGGAAATGCCTCACAGCATTTATGAACATGTAAATTACAGCCGAAGGCACATATCTGGCATCTGAGGCTAGCATCCCAGACCGATGAAACTCTGATCATTTTGGTATTTCATAAAATGTCTCTTAGCTGGATACTGCTAATAACGCAACATCTGGAAATTTCCTACGTCAGTCTTGTTAACCACATGCTAAGTTCCACTGTTTCTGGCTGCCGAAGGAACGTGTGTACAGTTCCCATACAGTTGTAAAAACATTTTAAAATTAAATCTTCTAGGGGCTTCCCTGGTGGTGCAGTGGTTGAGAGTCTGCCTGCCGATGCAGGGGACACGGGTTCGTACCCCGGTCCGGGAAGATCCCACATGCCGCGGAGCAGCTGGCCCGTGAGCCATGGTGGCTGAGCCTGCGCGTCCGGAGCCTGTGCTCCGCAACGGGAGAGGCCACAACAGTGAGAGCCCCGCGTACCGCAAAATAAATAAATAAATAATTAATTAATTAAATCTAAAATCGTTTGCCAAATTTGTCCCTTCTGAAATTTCTGGGCCTGGATCATGGAAAACTCTTTGAAATGTGCCACATGGGCCTCAGCTGGGCCTGGTGCAGGAGGCCAGTCAACAGCACCATGGGGCCCAGTTCACTCCTCATTCACCAAATGGTAACTCAATGGAAGAGACAGGAAGACAGCCTAGCACAGAGGTTCTCAAAGTGTGGTCCCTGGTCTCTGGGAGTCCCCAGGACCCTTTCGAGGGGTCCATGAGGTCAAAACCATCTTCTCAACAATACTAATCTTACTTGCCTTTTTGCAATGCTCATTCTCTCATGAGTCTACAGTGGAGTTTCCCAGGGGCTATAGGATGTGTAATGTCACAACACATTGGACGTAGGAGTGGATATTCGAATCCTGCTGTTTCTATGAAGCCAGATGATACAGAGATTTGCAAAAATGTCCAACAATGCCACTCACATCGCTCACTTCTTGGAAAATATGGTCATTGTTCATAGATAGATATGATTTATATTAACAGGCAATAAGTTTGTTATTGTTAAAAGAACAAGCAAGTAAATATTTAAAAATTTTGTTTTAATTTCAAAGACTAGAAATTAATAGGCATCAATGGACACAATCCATGTGAACAAAAGCTCTTGGGGGTCCTCAGTGATTTTTAAGAGGGTAAAGGGATGCAGAGGCTAAAGTCTCAGCAAATATATTTGCTCTCTGGGCCTCAAATTCTTCCTCAGTAAAATAGAGATAATAGCTACCTTACAGGGTTATAGGGAGAATTAAATTAGAAAAGCAGCTTGAAAATCACCCAAAACAGTAACTTGCACTAAATCAAGGGTGGCTATTTTATCATGATGATTATTTATTTAATCAACAGGTTCCACTGGTAAAACAGGAGTGGTGGCTGGAAGTGGCAGCGCCTTGAAAAAAGTCAAATCCGGAGTCGGTTTTGTTTCAATAGCACACACTTTTTTTCTCCCCCTACCCTTTCTATGCTTCTTTTCAATTTTCAATTTAAAAGTCTTCCAGCTGGACATGCCATCTGCAGCTAATCACAGATTCCAGGACTCGGTGGCCCAGTTTATATGTTTATTTTACTTTCTCTTCCTCATAGGCATTTAAGTTCCTTGTTACGTACAGCCTAAGGTGTCGGGCAGGCAGCGACCTGGGGATGGGATGTGCCCCAGGTGTTAGCTAACAACCTCTAAAGAATGCACTGAAAAGGATTATACTAGCTCCCGGCCCTTAGCAAAATGTAAAAGGTACAATTAAGGTTACAGAGAGGGAGGCCCTCTCGGCTGCCCACTGTATTCTCCCTTGGGTTATGTGTCCTCAAGATAACTGATCTCTGTTTATTGTTTTTCTTACCTTAATTAATCTATTCATTTTCTCTCCCATTAAAAATATCAGAATTCAAAGATACACATGGGAATAGTAAAGCGTCAGTTATGAGTCACTGTTGCATAATAAAGAACTTGGCTGGTCTTTGTTCTGAGCTCCTGGGAGGCAGCTTCTAAACTCTTGGAATTTCCCCAGTGACAGGAGTGTCGCTGTTATTCACGGTGGACCTCTCAGACCACACGGGAGTTGATACGAACGAGGTGACTCACGGTGGGCAGGGGGGGCTCGCCTCTGCCAGAACCACCGGCCATTTGATTAGAGGGTTGGAGCCTTGAGCTATACAGCATCAGCCAGACCTCCAGGGAGGAGATGGGGGCTGGAGATGGAGTTTATTCATGTGGTTTATGATTCAATCAGTCCAGCCAATACAACGACACCCCAATAAAAACCCTGCACATAGGACTTCCCTGGCGGTCCACTGGTTAAGACTCCACGCTTCCACTGCAAGGGGCGTGGGTTCGATCCCTGGTAGGCGAACTAAGATCCCGCATGCTGTGGGGTGCGGCAAAAAAAACCACAAAAAATTAAAAACCCTGCACACAGAGCTCAAATGAGCTTCCTCGTTGGCGAACACATCAGTTCGCCAGGAGTGTGATGTGTCTGAATCCACAGGGAGAGGACAGAGAAGCCATGCACCTGGGACCCTCCTAGACCTTGCCCTGTGTATTTCTTCATCTGGCTGGTTCTGATTTGTATCCTTTATGATAAAACTGTAATCATAAAGAACAGCATTCTACCAAGTTTTGTTGGTTGTTCTAGTATAGTATCAAACCCGAGGGGGGGAACCATAGGCACTCCCTCCCCAAATTTATAGTCAATTGGTCAGAAATGTGGGTGGCCTGGGGACCCCTGAACTTGCAGCTGGTGTCTGAAGTTAGGGCTGTCTTGTAGGGGTCTCTGCGCTAACTCTCGCTGGTGAAGATCAGAACTGCAGTGTGTAAGTATTGCGGGTCATTTCCTCCTTTGCCTTCCCACAAAAACAAACCACCCAACACTCACCTTGCCTTTGTCAAAATACGATATGATTTCTTGATACAGCTTCTCTTTAAGCTCTTGCTGGGTGTACACATAGTAAGTGTCCCTCTGAAGCAAATGGGGTACACAGGGCTTGTCAGACCACTGAAAAACACACACACGCAACACAAGAGATTGATGCAACACATCAGTTCATTGAGAGGAGATGAATGTAACAAATATTCAGCTGCAAAAATTCACAGAAACATTTGTATATACCTTTGACTCAATCATACATTTTTGATGCTTTATCAAACACAAAAATTGCACACGCATATACATATACACGCCAGGTTCAAAACAACTGCATGCCAAATGGACACTCAAGGCATTCCCATGAAGGTCAGGAATGAGGTGAGGCTGCCAACCATCAGGACTGTGGTTGTCCTGGTTACCACTCAGGACAGATAAAAGAGAGGAAGCGGAAGTATAAAAATGCAAAAAAGGGGGTAAAGCTATCATGTGAAAGCAACGATTGTATTCTTCATAATCAATCCATTCACAAAGGGTGCCAACTGAAAACCTACCACAAATAAGGAGAGAATTCAGTAGTGGGGTCAAAATTAACATATTTGGAAATACATTAGAGATGGATTTCATATAAATAATAACCGTGCCGAAGATAACAGAAGAAATGACCCCTACAAGAAAAAACCCAAAATGATCAGATACCCAGGCACAGCAATGTGAATATACTTAAGGCCACTAAATTATACACTTACAAATGCCTAGGATGGTAAATTTAATTTTATATGTATTTCACCCTAATTAAATTAAAAAGCAAAGATATCTAGGGATCAACATAACAAGGAATATTCAAGACTTCTACACAGAAAATGTTAATACACCACAGGAGGGCACAAAAGCAGACTTGAACAAAGGGCAAGTCATACCATGCTTTTGGATAAGAACATGCTATTTTACAAACATGGAAATTCTCCCCTAAATTAATTTTTAAATTTCATGATTCCAAAGTCATGAAAAAATAAACAAAAAGGAAGAAGGTGGAAAACTCTGAAAAAGAAGAGGAATGAAGAGAAACTACTAGGTCATAAAACATACTGATAATAGAAACAGTGTGGTCCTGGTGCATGAACTGACAGAGACCCATGCAGAATATGTAACATCTAGAAAGAGGTTCCCCCTGACCCTCCATACAGTGATTTAGTACGTGATCAAGATGGGTTCTCATACCAATGATGAAAATGCGGAAATGATGAAAATGTGGACTCTGCTTACTAAGCAGCATTCCCTACTGAGTAGCTCTATGGGGAAAAAGTGGCAACCACACCTCATACCTTATGCCAGGATAGGAGAGCTGAATTTTCTGAGCAGCACAAACGAAAAGACCTACAGTCACTGACACCGTGGTTTCTTTCGGATCATCCCACAGTCAACAAGCCTTCCCCCCTAACCCACATACAATAAGCTTTCTGGTGCCCCAATCTTGAGTATGAACTGTGAATGGCTGCCTTAGGGGAGGTGGTGAAGCAGAGGACTCCAGTTCTTAATTCCAAAGCTTAGAACAATATACATGTATTCTTTAGGTATAAAATAAAATGTAAACTACACAAGAAAATGAATTGCTACGGACAAGAATGGAGGCAGGGAGATGCAGTAGGAGGCTAAAAATGATAACTTGGACCAAGATGGTAGCAATGGAGATAAAAAAAAGTGGATAGGGTGAGGCTATCAAAGAGACATCTGCACCCCCGTGTTCACTGCAGTATTATTCACACTAGCCAAGATACAACCTAAGTGTCCATCAATGGATGAATGAATAAAAATGTGGTATAGGGCTTCCCTGGTGGTGCAGTGGTTGAGAGTCCGCCTGCCGATGCAGGGGACACGGGTTTGTGCCCCGGTCCCGGAAGATCCCACATGCTGCAGAGCGGCTGGGCCCGTGAGCTATGGCCGCTGAGCCTGTGCTCCGCAACGGGAGAGGCCACAACAGTGAGAGGCCCGCATACCGCAAAAAAAAAAAAAACAAAAAAAACAAATGTGGCATATACATACAATGGAATATTATTCAGCCATGAGAAAGAAAGAAATCCTGCCATCTGCAACACCACGGATGGATCTTAAGGGCGTTATTCAAAGTGAAGTAAGTTAGAAAAGAAAGACAAACACTGTACAATCTCACTTATATGTGGCATCTGAAAAATAAGGGCTTGTAAAAGCAGAGAGTAGAAGGGTGGTTACCAGGGGCTGCAGGGTGGGGGAATAGGAGGAGGATTGTTTAAGGGTATAAACTTGAAACTAGTAGATAAATAAGCCCTGGAGGACTTCCCTGGTGGTGCAGTGGTTAAGAATCTGCCTGCCAATTCAGGGCATACGGGTTCGAGCCCTGGTCCGGGAAGATCCCACATGCCGCGGAGCAAGTAAGCCTGTGAGCCACAACTACTGAGCCTGCGCTCTAGAGCCCGTGAGCCACAACTACTGAGCTTGCGTGCCACAGCTACTGAAGCCCGCGCACCTAGAGCCTGTGCTCCACAACAGGAGAAGCCCCCACTCACCACAACTAGAGAAAGCCCACGCATAGCAACGAAGACCCAATAAGTAAATAAATAAATAAATAAATAAATTCATTTTAAAAATAAATAAATAAATAAATAAGCCCTGGAGATCTAATGTTATAGCACAAACTTTCTCAATTAAAAAAAAGAAAGAAAAGTGGATGGGGTGAGGGAGGGTTTTGGACAGAGGGTCCACGATTCTTGTTTGTGCAGAATGTGGGAGGGGTGAGTAAAAGATGATGACGAACAGTATCTTTTATTAGATGTCAGTGCCCTTCAGTGAAATGGGGAGAAAGGAGAGGAAGGGACGGACCCAGGAGGACAGTGGAGGGAACAGCTCCTGTTACTGTCACGCTAAGTTTGAGTTGTCTGTTAGTCATTCAGAGATTGACGTTGACAGAACAGTAAGTTGGAGGAGTCGTCAGAGCTGGAAATAATTATTTGGGATTGATGATGCAGAGCTGTATTTATATCCATGGCACAATATAATTTCCTCAGTGAGACAGTATAAATAGGATAGTACTTCTACAGTTCCATATTTACTTACAGCTCACTTCTCTACAGTTTTACACATATTGATTGACGTGTGTTTTGTTTTTTCTTTTTTTAAATAAATAAATTTATTTATTTTTAATTAATATTTAATTATTTAACTTAATTAATAACGGCTGCATTCGGTCTTCATTTCTGCACGGGCTTTCTCTAGTTGTGGCGAGCGGGTGCCACTCTTCGTTGAGGTACGCAGGCTTCTCAGTGCGGTGGCTTCTCTTGTTGCAGAGTACGTGCTCTAGGCGCACTCGTGGGCTTCAGTAGTTGCAGCATGCATGTTCAGTAGTTGTGGCTCACGGGCTCTAGAGCACAGGCTCAGTAGTTGTGGCGCACGGGCTTAGTTTTTCCGCGGCATGTGGGATCTTCCTTGACCAGGGCTCGAACCCGTGTCCCCTGCACTGGTGCATTTTTAACCACTGTACCACCAGGGAAGTCCCTGTTTTTTCAATTACAGTGTCAGTATTAGCAACCTGTAAGTTGTGCTCTGCTTCCTCAGGATTTTTAAATAAATGATATGCACCCGAATGTTCAAAGCAGCACTATTTACAATAGCCAAGACATGGAAACAACCTAAATGTCCATTGACAGATGAGTGAATAAAGAAGATGTGGTACATATATAGTGCAATATTACTCAGCCATAAAAAAGAATGAAATAATGCCATTTGCAGCAACATGGATGGACCTAGAGGTGATCATACTAAGTGAAGTAAGTCAGGAAGAGAAAGACAAATACCATATGACATCACTTACATGTAGAATCTAAAATACGACACAAATGAACATATCTACAAAACAGAGACAGACTCACACAGAGAGAACAGACTTGTGGTTGCCAATGGGAAGAGGGAGGGGGGGGATGGATGGATTGGGACTTTGGGATTAGAATGGATAAACAACAAGGTCCTACTATAGAGCGCAGGGAGCTATATTTAATATCCTGTGGCAAATCATAATGGAAAACATGAAAAAGAATGTATATATATGTACAACTGAATCACTTTGCTGTACAGCAGAAATTAACACAACACTATCAGTCAACTATACTTCAATAAAATAAATTTAAAAGTAAGTAAATAAATAAATAATAATGGAAAATTTCCCAACCTTGGTCTAAAAACTAGCTGTGCCTATATAGAAGGTATAAAAACATTCTTGGATAAAAGGGTCCTCCTTGAGTAGGGAACTTTCCCATCAAAATCATACAGGATGAGGTCCCAAAGGGCTGGATGGCTGACATACCGCATACCTGATCCACTTACCTGCAGGAGCTCAGCGTGTAGGAGGAGTGTGTAGGCAGCTTCGGTGTAGTTCTCACAGTCCCGGTGCAAATCCCGCAGCTTGTACAAGTATCTGGTCAGAATGGGAGAAAGGAGGCATTCTGCTGCCAGGGAGTAGATGGGACATTTGGCTCATGCCACAGCCAGGCGGCAGGAATAGTTACTTCCTGTTCCTTAAGTCTTTGTGCTGCTTCCTGCCTGTGTGTCTTTCCTACTCTACCTGTGCTACTCTGTACTCTTCGTTTAAGGCAGTGATGTTTAAAAATTTTTTAACGTCACAGACCCCTTTGGGAAGCTCACGAGAGCTAAGGAATGTCTCCCCAGAAAAATGCACATCGTCTACATCCAAGTTGGTCTCACGTTCAGGGCTTCCTGCACGTCGGGCTAACAGTCCTTGACAGAGGGTGAATTTCACGTCTTTCCTGTGCTGTCTTCCCTGGTCACCTGGCCACAGCCCTCTATCCTTTCCTGGAATCCCGACACGATCCTCCCTCTACACTTCCTCGTATTGTACTTACTTGTGTACCTGTCTAAAGCGTTTACCCTTTTAGGAAGAAGGGAGCATATCACATACTTTCTGATGTCTCTCGAAGCCGCAAGCATGGTGTTGGGGCTTATTGTTTTCATTTATTGGAGAAATAAATCATAAAGCCCTGACATAAACAGCAAAAGCAGAAACTTCTTTCAGCTTACCTTATGTAGATGTCCTCTCTCTTCTTTTCTTTGTAAAAATTCTACAAAAAAAGTCACAAAATACCAACACAGAGCCATTATCGATGAGCTTGCCACAACAATGGACAAACCACTACTTGCACTTTTCAAGTGTCACTTTTCCAAAGACTTTCTTCTTTCCCTTTAACGAATACCCCCAACAAAATAAGGAAGTGACAATTTATAAAGCAGAAAAGTTGAATTCTTTTAGGACCCTGCTTCTGGGAAATGTGAGGGAACCTTCTAGGTGAATAGACAGGTGGGTCATACCCAAGTCAACTGATATTCTGTTTTCTCAGGGAATCAGAGGTGGTAGGTTCTTGATTTATATGAAGAGGAGTGTATGGCGGCCTAAACCTCTGAAGTCTGTGTTGCCAGTTACAACTGTCTAAGGAAAGGCAAGGCCACAGGGTTCCACCACCTAGAGGATTTCATGGACTAATTCTCTACTCATGGTATATTGTTTTTAATGCATTTTCGTCTGTGTCGAATAATCCCAACAGTAAAGCAACCACATAAAAGTAAGACAGAGAAACAGGGTGAGGATGGCCTTCGGTAAGAGAGTTGAGTCAAGAGCTTATGTTGCATTTTCTATCCCTGTTTCCACATTTACCCCTGAGGCAGCTGGCATCTGTGAGTTCAAAGTTGAGTTGGCCATTCCAATTGGACTCAGCAGGACACAGACTCTGGAAAGGTGGTCCCAGGGGACCTTTGTCTCTGCCGGATCTACTTAGAGCTGCGCTATGGGGTGCAGGGGCGGCCGGGCACTGCCCTCTCGCCATCCCAGGGGCGTGGCACGTACCAGCACGTTAACGGTACAGCTCATGCGGTTTTCCTTGCTCTCATCATGCATGATAATGGTTCTGTAGTCCAAGAGATTCTCTAAGAGGCTGCTGACCAGGAGCGCGAATACTTCTCCGGAGCTGGAGAGGTATTTATGTTTCCGGCAATGTTCTAGAAGCCTGTGGGTCAGAGATAGAGACAAATGACCATGTCCCACACGGCGACTCCAGCACCGCCTACGAGCGCTGTCCATGGTCCTGGCAGCAGGTGGCGCCAGACTAGGACACATACACCTTCCTGCACTTACAAGGCTCCTCGCCGTTACTCAAGTTCTACGTTTCCTTTAGGTCTGTAGCTCAAGCCCTATCATCACTGAGGATCCCAGCCCACTATGCCCTTCTTTGAATTTCTATTTGTATTTGTCTTCTGTCAATACCACAGAAATGAGAACCTTTGCCCAAAAGGTTTGTGTGTGCTATCTGATCTCTCTACTTATTTGAAAGGACCCTCTTTTCTCTGTCTTTATTCTCCCTAAGGCCTAGCACTTCAGGGCATCCTGAGGGAACTCTGGAGAATCTTGGGCTGATGCCCAGCCTAGAGGAACCTAGGAACCTACTACACTGCTAGACATGTGGCTCTTTGGATAAAAGTGGGAGACGCAAGAGAGAGGAGATATGGGGATATATGTATATGTATAGCTGATTCACTTTGTTATAAAGCAGAAACTAACACACCATTGTAAAGCAGTTATACTCCAATAAAGATGTTAAAAAAAAATGTTATTTTCAGGAAAAAATGCACAGTTGTAAATAGGTAGATGGAGGTTAAACTTTTGGTCTAAATCCTCTCCCTCTGGACCCAAATAGAGCAAAGCTTCTATAGGAGCTTCTCAGATTAGACAATTAGAAGAAAACTTCGGGAACAGGAGAAAAAATGGGTTCAAAGCATTAGTCCAGACTCTAGAATTATTCTTGAGCACTGGAAATTTGCGCAGTCATATTTTTCTGCATTCGTGATCCAAGAAGAATGAAGGAAAAATTAGATCTGTATGTGAAAAGTCAACTGTAGGCTTTTTTTTAAAGTGTAATTTTATTATCACTTGTAAATGTGTGTGTTTGTATGTGTGTGTAACACCTGCACTTAATTCCCGTATGAGATCAGAACTGCAGAAGTGATAAATTGAAAGGTCTGAATCTCAAACAGGGAGACCAAATGGATATAGGATGAAAAGATCAACAAACGATCTTATCATCCATTACAAACAAAATAAGACGGATTTCTAGTTCCTTAAAATATAGACGAGTCATCAGTTCCATTTCTGAGTACCCCGTGTGCTGGTTCCTTAAAAAAATCTTTGAAAAATGAAAAACAGAGTTGGGAGTGTCCCCGTCCTCAGCTCAGTCTAGTGCCCACCACATCCATAAAGCAGGTAAATCCCAGAAAGACTTAGGCATATACCCAATCAACAGGTGACAGAGGTGGCCAATATCATAAAAGTTCAGAGAACATAAGAAATGAACAGTCTAGGGTAGTTACGACCCAGGATGCTGGGAAGATCTGCAGATAATAACAGTAATGAACACCAGAGCAGCCAACATTTGTCCAGCATGAGCTCTGTGACAGACACTGTGTTAATGCATCATCTCATTTAATCCTCACCAAAATACAGATCTTATCATTGTAGATGACCAGAAAAAAAAAAGAGGCATGGTATAGGTTAGAGCATCTGTCCAAAGTCAAAATCCTAGTATGTGGAGAAAGCGGGATTTGAAGCACAATCTCTCTCTCCAACATCTAAGTGTTTTTAACCATTCTTGTTATACTGTCATTCCATACATGCAAAGGAGAGTAAGAGGGACAGAGAGTGACAGGCAAAGGGAACAGTGGGATAATGTGAGCACAGGGAGGGAATGAATGTGTTGGCTTGGGGTGTGCGGAGGGCAGTGAAAAGGGCTGGAGCTGTACCTGGTGTTCTCAGACATCCTTCACAGGGCATAAGGTATTCTTAAATGTAAAGTGGACCTTGAAATGTTTTTCCCTTCTCCTTTAAATTATTGCTTCGAAGCCATACTTAGAGGTGCTAGCACTTTTGTTAAAATTCAGCATTTCAAACACTGGGCAAAATGTCACTACTCTGTCCATCTCCCTCTCTCCTCAATCTGCTCTGTTCTCGAGGGCCGGGCTGGCCAGAAAAACATGAACATTTGACTCACAGCAGATAAACAAATGTCAGCAGTGGATGGTGTAAACTCCATGAACCCCCCCACCCCCCGAGAACCATTCACGGTGGTGACCCCAGGGATGCTGAGATGACTCGACTGGTCTGTAAGGGCAGCAGAAGCCTGTTTTTCTCCATCACTAAATGATGCCATCAACGTGAGATTTTGTTTCTGAAATACTCACAGTTTTTCCAGAAGGACCTTGTATTGTTCATCTCCTCTTCCCCCTTCCACCTCTTGGTCCAGCTTTGTGATCAACTCATTCTCAAACTGAAAGCAGAGGCAGAATTTCCAGGAGAATGCCACATTCTCAGAAGAGGACACGAAAGACATCCAGCCAACTTTTCTAGATTTGACCCAACCCCTTTACTGAATTGTAAACTAATTCCAACGTACATAGAGGAAGACCCCACTTCACATCATCCATTAATATCAAAACTTTCTAAAGCAGCCTTGTGCTACTCTGTCCTTTGCTTTATATTTACGGGAAAAAATTACCCCAAACATTATCATCTAATCCAACTATACATACAAAAATAGCTGAATGATTCTAATTTTCCATTTTATTTTTGGTTCCTGTCGAAGTCTTGACAGTGGGATTGCTTTTGCAGAGCTTCATAGCTGCAAAATCTTCCATTCAATACTAATATACTGTATAGATAAGGAAATTGAAGCATAGGAAAAATATATCAGGCAGACTAAGGTCTCAAAGCTAAAGACCCCTGCACCATTCCCTCAATCCACTGCAATATTTGCAAGAGATAGGACTAAACTGCATGAAGTCAAATTTTAATTATCCAGAGATAAGAGTGCTTCTTTAGGAAACACACGCAGCAGAAAAGGCTGCTCCTAGAGCCTTGGTTGGAATATCTGATCCTATGACTAACTGCTTTACAAAATAAAATGCAAAAGAAGAAGTTTTTAGATCACCTTTGATTTGTTTTATTCAGGCTACCGCTTCTCTATATAGAAAGAAAATAAATGAGAGTTGACTCTACGTGCATTAGTAAGATAACAGGTCCACCACTCCTTACCATATGGAAATTGCCATTTCCACTGAAATTGAACTCACACTGCATCATATCAAAGAAAATGGGGATGGTGGCTTTCCGGAGCTCTACTTCGGGGGTCAGTGTGACCTCCAGAATGGGACCCACCATGGATGGGATGAATTTGATTTTGTGGGGACCTGAAATGAAAGTAAGTGAGGACATGAAAAAAAAATAATTTCACTGGAAGTAAAGTGCTACAATCTTCCTCCACAGGGCCCATAAGAAAAGAAAAAGTTTATGTGGGTAAATCAATTCAGAAGTGAGTGACTCAATATTGTTTTCTGATAACATGTGATGTCGTAAGAGACCGACAAGTCAACTTGCACTTCCAGACACACAGAGAAATCAATCTCAGGATTCTTGGAATTAAAATGGAAAAGAATTCATCGTGGGATGCGTGTCACCCAGGAGTGGTGTGTGGGCCTGTTTGGGTTATACACTCACCCAGGTTATACCACATGTCCCGGATCCTAAAGCCGATTTCCTTTCTCATGTCCCCGTATCTAGGAAGGAGATCATAAACCAGGAGAAAGATGTGCAGTGGAAACGAGAACACATAATACAATGATGAGGGAAGTATAAGAGCCTGTGCTCCTCTAGGTCACAATTAAGCTAGGTCTCGAGGCAAAATCACATTAAGAGATGTGGTCGAGGGACTTCCCTGGTGGTCCAGGGGTTAAGGCTTGTGCTTCCACTGCAGGGGGTGAGGGTTCGATCCTTGGTCAGGGAACTAAGATCCCACAAGGAGATGTGGTCGATACCTAAAAAAGCCTCCAAGAACTGAGCCACATAGAGGTGGGGGGACTTTCACAGCAGGAGGAAGACCAAAGTAAGTGTCAAAAACTCACTGACAAAATGAGATTAACAAACTTTATTGAAGAGGGAAGAGTGAGAAACACTCTGGTTGCTCTTAAGCAAAACAATAAAATAAAACACAACAAACACTGAAGAAAAGGAAGATGAATGAGGGATGACTTACACAGTAATGTGGCTGGCCTTTATATACTTATATTTGAGTAACCCTTATCCACACCAGGACGCTCTTCAAAGCACTCACATTGGGAATCTCTAGACATACATTCTCAGTGGGGGTGACAGTATCCCTGAAGGGGTGAAAATTGGTCCGTGGGGGCAAAAAAAAGCTTCCTGTTTTTATGTATAAAGTACAGATATACATTTAGTACATAAACTGATATATGGTGTATCTGTGGTATTAATATTTCATGGGGGGTGTGATTAGAAAAACATTTTCTAAAAAGGTTCCTTACAGGAGTTGACAATGGAGGCAAAAAGAGTAGAGAAGCATTGATCTAGACAGTGGTTCTTGGGCGGAGGTGAATCAGAGTCACCTGAAAATCTCTTAAAGACTACATATGCCTAGGGTTGCCCCACACCATATACCATATCAGAGGCTGGAGGCTTAGAAAATAGAAATAGGGTGGGTCAAAAGTAGATGCTGTAAATGTTCCCAAATAGTTAGAATATGGACTTAGGACCTACCCTGCCAGCACGGTTCTATGTTTTCTACTTACGATACTATTGCACCAAACATCCTTTTTTCAAATTCTTGCTTTGGAAGTGTCTTCAGAAGCCAGTATAAAAATCATATTGAAAAATTTTTCTTACTATTCCTATTTAACAAAGGTACCTAAGCTAATTTTATTATTATTATATAAGCATATGTGGTCCATGTCCAGCACATAATAGATAATAAATGATAACTATTCTTATTGCTTATTAATATTACTGTTGATGCTTTTACTAAAAATCAGAGAAGTCTTGAAAAGAAATTCATTCACATTCCTATAGGCTTAATATCAATGTTTTTATCTCCTAAGGTTTATCTTTTCCCATAGGCATATATATTTCTACATGGATTGTACTTACAGTCATACTTTCCTTTGACCAAAACCAGAGTCATTAATCCTAACCAGCCACTTTATTTATCAGACTTGCATGTCAACTCATTTCACTTATGGTCATTTAACCAAAATCAAATACATCCTTGAATGAAGTTATGTCATCTACAGTATTCTAAAGAATAAGATTAAGGTGTCCATCTTAAAAATCAAATATCTCTTGATACCCACCCCACAAGGAAACCTACAAAACAGGTTTTACTTTTACCTTTGAAAGTGCAATCACTAAATCTCAATCACTTAGCCATCAATCTTAGTATTTTAGGGAGGAGCTAGAGGGATGCTAAATAATTTGCCTAGAGTCCCAGACATGCCAGCAGGGGAACAGAACTAAAATTCACAGCTTTTAAATGATAAATTTCTCAAGTTCTATTTAATTACACAGCCTTTGAGTTCCCAGGCTCTCAATGAACTTCGAAACAGACTTGAGCTGAAAGCAATGAAAGTCTTCCCTAAATCTCTCATCACTCTTGCACAAAGGTCCATTTTGAATTCTGAGCCAGGAATCTGGAGGGTGTTTTTAGGTGATGTGTTACTCTTGGCTCCTCTGCTGAAGTGACTGAAACTGGGAGGTAGACCAATGGTGCCAAAGGAGTCTGCTCCATGAAGCATGAGACAGAGAGGCACTATGCCTGCCATTTGGACAAGCTGCCAGCAGATGGCAGCTGTTCCTGGTGATGGGAGGACTGGCTGGCTTCAGTGTCTCTTTATGTAGAGATTCTATAATAGAATGTGATGGTTGATTTGAAAATGAATGGGCCCCTGAGAAGAGATGTGAATCTGGGGAAATCTGAGGTCTATTAAATGATTATTTTAAGACCTATCTCACTAACAACACAGGTAGCCACTGAACAGTAATTTCTGGGATACCAAAACTCCTGCTCCAAATAGAAATGGAAGAATCACCTTCCCAATCATAAGCAAGTTTAAGAGGACACTTACTTTTTTACAATTTTGTTGCGCTTGGCTTGTGAGAAGGTTTCAAGTTGAAGGGACTCATGGGTGAGAAAAGCGACTGCCAAATGGAAGTAATTGTTCCAGAGCTGTTCAAAATTAATGATGTGGGTGAAAAGAAACAGAAAATAACATTAATATGGGTCATAATAAGACAGTGCCACATGGTACAAATGCACTCGCCAGAAATTAACGGGGAAAAAATCCAAAATAAAATCCACAGGACTTCCTTTTCTCTCCTGTGTTTCAATTAGTTAATGCTTTATTAATATCAAGGTTTTAAAAATAACCCAAACTATTATATTTGTCTTTACTCCTGGGATAAAGGAAAATTGTTGCCAAGAAGTGTACCTATTTATAGTAAGTAGTTGGGCAATACTTATCAAAAGCCCTGACAATGTGCCAAATTCCTGACTAGTAAATACTTTAGGACTTTATCCTGGTAACATATTTATGGGTATTTAAAAAAATATTTAAAACAAGGAAGGCCCTCACACTGCTACTGAACATAATAACAGAAAATGGAAACAATCTAGATGCTCATAAGAAGAATTCGGTTAAGTAAACCATGGTCCAGCCATACAATGCACTGTATTTCAGCCATTAAAAATACTGTGAAAATATTTATTATCATCGAAAAGATCACAGAAAAAGTAAATAAAGTAGATTAACAGGTTACCAAAGAACTGTACAGCTTGATTCCATTTTGGCATAGGTACTTATGTGTGTGTGTGTGTGTGTGTGTGTGTGTGTGTGTGTGTGTATAAATACACACACGTATATAACCATTTTGATATATATACACACACACATATAAAAACATATGTATATACACACATAAACATGTATATGCAATATGTATATATAATCTCCTCTGCTTATGACTCTCTACTTCCAAAGTTCCATAGATTCAAACGCAGGCCATATCACAGCAAAAGCACATCACCAACAAAATGTACCCTGTAACGGAAGCAGGACCTTGTCTGCCTTCACCAGGGCCTAGAATAGTGCCCTGTACACATAACTCTCTAATATTTGTTGGATGAATGAATGAATAAAGATGGAGCAAGTGATCACCAGTTTTGCTATCACTTTGGACTTTCAAACAGGTGCTTATACAAACTGCTCTTTGGACACTAAACCGTTTGTAGGTAGAGGAATACCTGCGTGCCTACCTGCAAGCAGGTGTGTTTGTGTGTATTTGTGTTATGATAAAAAATCTGAGGCGATGTTTTCCAAAAGGAAACGGTTCTCTTGCTTTGGCTGAGAATTCAAGGAACTCCTAGGTGAGTCGCATGCTTACCTGAAGTTCAAAGCTTGCCTGATCCATGAAGAACCTTGTGAGAACCTCAGCAAACTGATTTATGGCACGGAGGAAAACCCTAGGGGAGGAAAAACACACTGGATAAAGAAGGCAACTTCATGCTCTTTGAAACATTTTCCATCTATGTTAAAAGCCAAAGCAAATCAAACCTGGACTTGGCAATCTAAGACCTTTAGATCTATCAAGGTCCTTAGAGACCAACTACAGCACATTCTACAGAGAAGGTCACTGAAGATCAGTTTCTTGAACTGACTACTAGCACAGTTCACGGCTGCATCACAATTTAGCCAGTTCAGAGTGCAGCTCAGAGGACAAGCCAGGGCTCCTGAGCCTCAAACCAAGGCTCCTTTTGCTCCATCGTGATGCTTACGTTTTAAAGTCTAGGACTTCGGATGCAATTGTTTCTCTAATGTGTACATAGTTGGGAAGGGTTTTTCTAATCAGGTATCAGGACCACCAAGAGTTAACAAAAATGCTTATCATAATGATTTACTTTATTTAGCTCTTTAAAAATCCTGAATCTCGGGGCTTCCCTGGTGGCACAGCGGTTGAGAGTCCGCCTGCCGATGCAGGGGACACGGGTTCGTGCCCCGGTCCGGGAAGATCCCACATGCCGCGGAGCGGCTGGGCCCGTGAGCCATGGCCACTGAGCCTGCGCGTCCGGAGCCTGTGCTCCGCAACGGGAGAGGCCACAAGAGTGAGAGGACCACATACCGCAAAAAAAAAAAAAAAAAAAAAAAAAATCCTGAATCTCTTTTAGTATCTGTATTCAGTCCATTTCACTTTCATTCAACAAGTCTTTGTTGAGGATCAGCAACTGCAAAGCACTGGCTTAGGTTCTGCCTTGAAAGAATGGTTCCTGGTCTTAAGAAATCTACAACTTGGTGGAGATCATTTGCAACCTGTGAATCGAACCATGACCCAACAAAGAATATGGAAAATTCTAGGAGGGGGTGTCAAAGAGGTATGGGGAAATCAAAAGAAGAGAAGACGACATCCAGATCAGAACGGCTTCCTTTGGAGATGGCATTTGCGAAGGACCTGAAGGAATGGGAGGCATGTTGATGGCCAGAGACAATGGGGCAGACACTGCAGGTGGAAGCAGCAGCGTGAGCGGAGGCACAGAACAGGGTCAGGGTCAGGGTCAGGGTCAGGGTCAGGGTCAGGGTCAGGGTCAGGGTTAGGAGGGAAGAGGCCAGTTTGATTGGAGGGCAAGTTGTATATAGAGGCAAACAGTGGAAGACAAGGCTAGAAAAGCAGGGTGGGCTGGGATGCAGAGGCCTTGAATGTCAGGATGATGAAGTCCATATGGAGACACTGAAAGACACCTTGCAGAGCTGATGCCGACAATCAACATGAAAGCAATGAGGAGGTTATAGCAGAAAGAAGAGAGCAGAGAGCCCAAGTCGGAGTGACCACAGTAGCCTGCCTGGAATCAAGAACAGAAGCATGTAAACCAGGACCACGAAAGCAGGAGGAACCTCACTTTACAGATGGTGGACTTGAAGCAAAGAGATTTAACATGCTTCACAAGGGCCAAAACCTAGCTTCCAGACCCAAGTTTTCAAATGCCTCCAGCCCTGCGATGGTCGGTCTCACCTGTTCTGTGTCATATTCATGACCATCCAGTCTTTGGCGTAGACGTTCTTTCCAATTAGATCCTTAAACATGATAAAAGTTTCCATGAGGAAGTCCTGCAGAAAACAAAGGAGGAATGGTTGGGGGAAAACTGGGTTATACTTCATAAGCCTTTCCTCCAGCACACTGACGTAAAGGAAGGAATACGATGGCCCAGGTCCCATAACAGTCTATCTTTTGAGTAAGGTTTATAGGGATAACAGAGTATTTTTTTTGGACTTTCTTTTATATTGGAGTATAGTTGATGTACAATGTTGTGTTAGTTTCAGGTGTACAGCGAAGTGATTCAGTTACACATATACATGCATCTATTCTCTTTCAAATTCTTTTCCCATTTAGGTTATTACGGAGTATTGAGCAGAGTTCCCCGTGCTGTACAGTAGTTTCCTGTTGGTCATCTATTTTAAACATAGCAGTGTGTATTCAACAGAGCATTCTTACAGGTATCCTATGATTTGATGTTTACATCATGTAATCTGATAAGCAAGAGAAGGATTAAAAAATTATCTGTATTTTATAAATGATAAAACTGAGACTGTTGAAAAATGAAACGACTGGCTTAAGGCCATAGAAACCAAGAAGCTGGAGAGCTAGGAAGAGACCTTGGGATTCTGGATCCCAAGTTCAGAGCCATAATATCTTCAGTCCTTGGCCGCCAATGTTGTCTGAATGGATCTACTGTACTTCAAATGAATTCACCAACAACTGTCAGAAAACTGATACCTGTTTTTTTTTTTTAACTTTTTGGTGTCTTTTAAAAATTGAGTTACAATTAACATACTAACATATTATATTAGTTAATTAATATTAACATAATATTATGTTAGTTTTAGATGTACAACATAGTGATTCGATGGTTTTATACATTAGGAAATGATCACCAGAATAAACCCAGTTACCATCTGTCCTCATACAAAGTTGTTACAACATTGCTGACTGGATTCCCTATGTGTACATTACATCCTGGGACTTATTTACTTTACAGCTGGAAGTTAGGATCTCTTAATCCCCTTCACCTCTTTCATCCATCTCTCTACCCTCCTTCCCTCTAGCAACCACCAGTTTGTTCTCTGAGTCTGAGAAAACTGATACTTCTAATAACTCTGAGTCCAATTCTCCCTTATTATTATTAGAACAGAACAAAAATGCTATAAATAAGAAGCAGAGTCATGATTCTTCCTCTTCCAGGAACATTACCATGCGTAGCCTGGGGGGAGGGTCCTAAATGGTCCTTAAAAAGAGATTATAGCAGTGGACCATCATGTCTGTAAAACCTAATAACAAAAGGCCAGTACTGAAAAAAAACAGCTATTCTACTCGAAAGAGGGCTAAGAGGAAAAAGGAACTCAGAACAGTCGGGCTAAAAAATCAAAGCTAAAAAGTTTGGGAAGCTTTTTAATTTATTAGTTAGTTAAATTTAGACATTTTCCGCTCAGATTCCTGAAATGAAAATCCAGTCCAATTTCTCTGGCACTAAACCGTGCAGTTCTAGCTCATGAATGACATCATATACAGAAAGAAAACGGGGCTTGGGAGGCAGGGGGCCTGGGTTCTGTTTCTAACAATATTCCTCTGAGTCCCCGGTCCTGTTGGCTAACCAGTACACTTTGGACGCCAAACAGCATAGGAATGGGAGCAATTCCAGCTCTCAAGTCTGTGTTACTTCCTTCTGGTTCAATGGAGAGTCAAACTTCTCTACCCTCCACTCTGAAATCATAGACATAGTTCACAAGTTTTCCAGTTTTTCATCATGAATTTTAAGTGCATCCACTACTTATTAACTATCCTATTAACTTTTTTCCTCAAGCCAACAGGAGGTGATGGTTTGTGAAACAAGGATGTAGATGCCGGTTATCTATTCTGATGCCAACTCCATATTCAACTCTAGTGCTCTCAGTGAACTGTAAACAGTGATGACATAATAAAGGCAGTTCACAGATAACCCCAGGCCTTTATCTACCACTTCCCAAAGTCTTTCAAGTGATTTCTTCAGAAGCAGCAGGAGCGAGAGAAAGAACAGTCCACTGGAGGTCAAAGGGCTTCGCCGTACCCTGCAGTTCTGCCACTGATGAGTACTGTTCCCTTGGGGACAATAATCCTCTTTTAATTAGACGATGCAGGGCTTCCCTGGTGGCGCAGTGGTTGAGAGTCCGCCTGCCGATGCAGGGGACGCAGGTTCGTGCCCCGGTCCGGGAAGATCCCACATGCCGCGGAGCGGCTAGGCCCGTGAGCCATGGCCACTGAGCCTGTGCTACGCAACGGGAGAGGCCACAGCAGTGAGAGGCCCGCATACCGCAAAAAGAAAAAAAAAAAAAAAAAAAGATGATGCAGGGGAAGAGCTCACCACGGTCCTGGAGAATAGGAGTTAAATCTGGTTTTTTTTTTTTTTTCTTCTTTTTGCTTACTTAAAGGAGCCAAATTGTCAAGAGTTTGAATTTAGTATAACTTTCTTTATTCTTCCTGCTTTCAGAAGGGAATCTGAAAAAAAAGTCACTAAACTATTTTTATATCAATTTTATCTTACATAATAATAATACTATTATATATGTAATGATAATGTAATATCATTACCATTATTATAAGTAGTTGGTTCTCATAGCTAGTAACACACGCCAGGCACAAAGTGAGGCATTTTCCACATGTCCACTCATCAATACTCACATTAACTCCCTCCTGCCCCCAGGTAGGTACCATCCTACCGAGGAGGAATTGAGGTCTAGCGAGGTTAGACAGCTTGCCCAAAATTTCATAGGGGGAAGCAGAATAGTCAGAATTCAAACCCAGATCCAGGTGTTCTAAAGCCTGTGTTCTTAAACCCACTACGGAGGAGAAACACTGCTACCCTCGGCTTCCACCTCTCCCCACCTCTCCCCTCTTCCTAATTCTCTCGCCCAGATCTCTGCAAGCACAGCTACGGATCGCTACAGATTCCTGTACCACGCTGCCAGCCAGAGCATGGCCTACGTGGAGGTCCACATAGGACTCCAGACTAAGCCCCATTAAGTCCTTTATTGTGGTCCAGGACAGTGCTCTGAGGGTTCATCACTGGATCGATTACAACTAATAGTAATAAACAGTACAATTCCTTGTGTGTTTTTCCTTCATGTAGACCTCACAGAAAGGAGAGTGACCGGCGAAGAAAGAGCTGGATATCTTTGGGTGTACTAGCTACATGCTATCAGTATAATAAAGGCAGAAAGTGGAAAATCTGGAGCATAAAGAAAATTGGAATATGCACGAATGATGCGAAGTTACCCGGAGCAAAGATGAGCGCAATGAGACCCTGCTTGTTAATACAGCTCCCTGTCCAGCCCACTACTTCACAAGATAAGACAATACCTTCAGGGATTTTTTTTTTTTTTTTTTTTTTTTTTGGCCATGCAGCTTGTTGTATCTTAGGTCCCCGACAAGCGATTAAACCCAGGCTACGGCAGTGAAAGCACCAAGTCCTAACCACTGGACAGCCAGGGAATTCTCACCTTCAGGGATGTTTAACAGCCACTAACAATTCCCTGAAGGGAAGGATCCTGGGGAAGCAGCCAGAGATCTAACTTAGCCTCTTGGGCCACCTTCGGCTGTATGCTTAATGGTAACTATGAGAACAATTTTCTTGTTTAAAACAGAAGAGAATGGAATATTTTCAACTGACGATAACTTACAACTGTTACCTGGGGGCAGGTATTACCTCTTTTTGTTTCCCTCTCCAGGGAATACTGAAAAGGATGACATCAACCACATCTTAAAAGACCATGAACATCTTTGCCTCCTAAAATCCTTGCCAGGGCATGGGTGACTACTGTCCCTGAAAATGAGACACTGTCCTCTTCTGAGAGCAAAAGAGGTCACCCAAATGTTTCTAAATATGGGCTCTCTCTAAATCCAAGAGACGTAGGTGGCTGCGTGAGGACCTCCTGGTATATGTACTGGACTCTTCTTCAAATCCTATGGGCAGAGAAAAACTCTCCCTCTTGTAACCCCTGTGGAAAGCGACACAGCATTCAGAGGTGTGTGGGAAGAGAACCCCAGACTCATGACGCTCAGTTCTGCCAAAATATGAGAAGTCTTAAGTTACCAGGATCCAATGAAGACAACTTACAATAATGTCTTGTCTGGTCTTGAAAGTGCTGATGTAGTGGCTGTAGTGGCTCTCGTCCATCTGCCGCAGGATGGCAATCATGCAAGCAATGAAACTCCCCTGGAAGGAGACCGAAAACACAAATCCCAGCTCCTTAGACCACCAACTGACAAAGCCAAGATCTGGGTGCATGTACTTTGGTTTTTCCCACCCAATTAACTATGCAGGGACCCCAGCACGCTGGAAACATACTGCATTCTAAAGGTCCAAAGGCATGGGCTTTGCAGTTTCTGCTAAAAAGAAGGTCCTTCCAGGTTTGAGTGAAGCAGTGTGGAGGGCTTCACTCATCCTATGAATAGCCATGACCTCTGAAATCCTGTAGGTCAGGGGATACTGACTGTAAGATCTCAGCTAGATGACTAGTTAAGCTGTAACAACTTGCAGACCCTGAGTTGCTTGTTGAGACCGAGGTGTAATAGAGACGTCCAGGGAGAAACATCCAAAGTATTTACATCATTTAAATAAATTTGAGCTTGGAGGAATGCAAAGAGGAAAAAGAGAGGTCGAAGAGAGGTCGTAAAACTGAATGGAAGAGCAGAAGAGAGGCTAAGAGAGCTCCCTGCTGGACCACTTCAATGTCATTCCACCAGCTCTAGAATCCTTTAGCCAGGGATTCCTAGCATGTTATGCTGTGTAACTGTGGACCTGGTTTGAAGAAAGGGATCGGATAATTAGATGATTACCATCATTTCCATTTTTGAGGCTAGGAATTACATATTCAACTTGCTTTCCCCTAGTCCAACCATATTTGAGCCACAGACTTAATTTTCTAGCCAGAGGGCAAGTATCTACGGTAGTATCTTCTTGTATTCATATAGTTATGAAAACAACACAAATTTAAGTGAACTTGGCACAGAGGAGATGAAAATACAGCTGTTCCTGGGATGGAAAGAATAACTTCCTAAACACAAAAACAGTGAAATACTATCCATGTACACCTCTCTCTGAATGAATGTCTGTCTTAGGTCTCTTTTGTTTAGGAAAGTTTATTTTTCTAATTATAAAGTGATGTAAATTTATTGTATTAAGGCTTTGATATATATTGCCAAATCAGCATATAGTTTGCATTACCATCAGCACCTAACGCTATTTGTTTCTCCAGGCCTTTGCCAAGCATTTGTCCACATTTTACCCTTTCAGGAAAGCCTGTTTTTTATTCTGGCTGCACCACGCGGCTGGTGGGATTCTAGTTCCCTGACCAGGGATCGAAGCTGGGTCCCTGGCAGTGAAAGTGTGGAGTCTTAACCCACTGGACTTCCAGGGAAGACCCAGGAAAGCCATTCTGAATCAGCTTACATAAATTGTAACTCTTCTACCCTAACTCCCCTTATCCCACTCATTTTTTTCTCCATAGCACTTATAGCCTTCTAAACTCTGCCATTTATTTTTTTGTAATTGTTCTTGCTAGAATGTAAGCTTCTCTGAGGTAGTGATTTTTGTCTGTTTTGTTTCCTGATATATCCCCAGCATCTAGAACAGCGCCTGGTAGTTTCTTAATACATATTTGTTGAATAAATGGTTTTTATTTACCACAGCAATTTGGGATAGTTCTTTTTCTATGTCCTCTGATTAAAAATCTAATCAGAGATTTTAGCATCGCAAAAGATGCACCTTTAGTAAAAGATGCTTCATTTTAATGATGATACAACTCAGCCTTTCAACAGTTACCTCTGGTCTCGATCACACTTTTTTTTTTTTTTCGATCACACTTTTTATCTGACTTTTAATAGACATAACAGGCGGAGAATAAGAGGCCAGGGCAACACTGACATTTCTAACAGCATGCTAATCCCAAGTTCTTTAAATGGTTTTTCCTTGAACCACAAGGGCTGGATGGTACCACAGGGCACCGATTTTTAAGCACACTGAATATCACGGGGAATATGATACGAAGGGGAAAACTGACGTTATCAGAATTCCTCTCACGGTGACTAGAGTGCATAGTTGGGAACATAACTCGGTGAGCTGCTGGGGGTGGGCACGGCTGACAGCATGCAAGGCGCCGCCTCCAGGCTGGTTGCCCAGGGCCAAAGCCCACCTCAATCACCTGGTGGTTGTGTAACCTTGCTCGGGTTTTTGCACGTTTCCTCATTTGCAAAATGGAGCTTGGTGTGACCTTTCAATGAAGTGCTTAAGATAGTTTCTAGCACACACAGAAAAATAAGCTAACAGTGACTACTACCATTATCATCACGCTGGCTGGACATACTGACACTATTACTGTTATCATTCTAACAAAGGCAGACCCACACAGAGCATGCGTACATTGAGAATTACAACTAAACTGCTTGAGACAATACAGGAAGTGCTAAATGCAGTCAGCCAAAGCCCTAATTTTCTGCTCACCAAGGCTCACATTTTCCTGAAATAAAATATTAAGCAAATATTGAAAGAGCATTAGGTCGAATGGGTCCCAAGTTCTTAGTCCACCTAGGGTGCCTGCATATCTCAGTGGGTCTCTGCTTTAATATATTATAAGAGGCTTTGGTTTCACCTTCCCTATGAGCAACGCTCCTTATGATTTGTACTGGCGAGATCCTTTAAAATTTTCCCCCATTTGCCTCCCCTACCTCCCTGGTAGATCATTTTCCCCCAAGAGAAAATCAGCATCAGATTTACTCACAGTTATAACGAAGAGTCACTCATCCAGGGGGGCTGTAAAGTTCTAGACCCCATTCATTTCCCGAGGGAGCTATGCCACCCAGCCCGCAGCGCAGACTGGAAACTGGGATGGGAGGGGCCTATGTGAATTTGGTCTCAAGACACTGCTCCCCAAAGCCCCACAATGGGCAGGTGGGATGGGACACTAAGAAGCTGCAGTGGGGCTTCCCTGGTGGCGCAGTGGTTGAGAGTCCTCCTGCCGATGCAGGGGACACGGGTTCATGCCCCAGTCCGGGAAGATCCCCCATGCCGCGGAGCGGCTGGGCCCCGTGAGCCATGGCCGCTGAGCCTGCGCGTCCGGAGCCTGTGCTCCGCAACGGGAGGGGCCGCAACAGTGAGAGGCCCGCGTACCGCAAAAAAAAAAAAAAAAAAAAGAATTTGCGGTGGCTGTGTGGTCCCCTGGGCGAGACTCACGATGTGGGGAGACTGTCGGCTCATCCCAATCACGGTCCGGTTGATCCTTCGCAGCAGCCGTTCCATTATCAGCTGTACGTGCAGCGCCGTGGGACCCTGAGGGGGAAACAAAGGGATGGACACCACTTCTTCTGACTCAGCTTCACTTTTCTTAAAGAAACCCTGGACTGCTGAGAGTTCTCTTTAACTCTCATTCTGGCTCTTCAGTACAAAGCAATCTCTTGTCCAAAAGGGGGAAACATTGTCACAGAACGATACATAATGTTATTAAGGAATCTGCTGAACATAGTTGGTTCTGACATTTAAAAGATGAATGTGGAGATGCAGGGGATGCAGGGGAAGAAAGCTTCTCTAATGACCCAGGTCATCTGGGCTCGCGGAGAGCTCCCTGTAGCCAGCAACTCAACAGTTTCTGGAGACTCCCGCTAGCACGAGGTACTCGGTCCTGAGGCTGCGTAGATCAGGCTACCCAGGACAATTTGGCGCATAAGTGGGAAGAAAAAGGCGAAAACATGAAGTTCTTGCTACCTCCTCTCTAGGATGTAAAAAAACAAGAAATTCAAGTCAAGGAGATTGTTATGGACTGATCATTCGCATTCAAAATTCCTGTGCTGAAGCTCTAACCCTTAATGTGATGGTATTTGGAGATGGGGCTTTTGGAGATAGATAATCAGGTCGTGAAGACAGGGCCTGGGACTGACAGGTTAGTATCCTTATAAGAAGAGACACCTGAGAGCTTGCCCTACCAAGGAAAGGCCGTGTGATGACACAACGAGAAGGTGGCCATCTGCAGGACAGGAAGAGGGCCTCACCAGGACCCAACCATGCAGGCACCATGACCTTGAACTTCCAAGCCCCAAGGACTATGAGAAATAAATTTCTGTTGTTTAATCCACCCAGGCTGCAGTATTTTGTTTCGGCAGCTCGAGCAGACTAAGACGGGGATTTACTATTCTGACTCTGTCATGTGTGACAGTGAGCAATTATTTAACTTTGTGGCGCTTCAACGTTCATAGCTGCGAGAAAAGAAAGAAAAGATCCCGTACAGGAATTAGCGGGGCTGATGCGCCCAACAGTGCCTCATGAATGTTCAGTCTTTCTTTCTCCTCCTTTCCTTTCTTGTGGTTGGATGCTATACTCCTTCAGCTCCAACTTATCAATATTCAAGTTGCCTTTTCAAAGCCTTTACCCATTATTGCTTCTTGACAGATATTCGAATCTCCTGCTTAATGCTTCCAACAACTAGATCACTGCTATTTATGTAATTTTATTAAAACACCAAGTATCGGTAGCATCCCCTCTCTCCCACCCTCCCTTCTTTCCTTCCTTGCTTTTTATTATTTCTCTGCTTGCTTCCTATTTCTTTAAATGAAAGTGATTCATAACACCCGCCTCTCTGTAGGAACACGGGTGCCGTGTGGCCATCACGGGGGGTAGCGACAATGGTTTGTCTTCGACTGAAAACATTCTGCAAAGTTCTCCAGCCTCTTGAGTGGAGGCTATGACAGGTCTATCTCTAGAACATGGAAAATCCAGGCAGTGTGGCCCCAGGTTTTTTGAGGGGGAGGAGATGAGATGAGATTAAAAAAAAAAATAAACACATCATTTCTACTAGGCTCCAGAAAGAAGGATCAGTTTCAGAGAGAACATAAAATGAGATCTTCTCAGAAGCTCCGGTAGATCTACAATAGTGCTGTCAGGTATCGGAGGTATAACAGGGTAGAGCTTTCTACCTAACAAGTCTAAACAGCGCTCTGGATCTGAAAAGTCCTCAGCAGGATCTCAGTGATAGGCAAACTGGGCCAATCAGGAAGATCAACCGGTAGCAGCCCCACCAGCAGGTGGATCTCCCTGGACCTAGATTTGCATGACAGAGTCTAGCCGGGAGAAGCCTCTCTAAACACCTCTAAAATGGGTGCAGCCTGCCCCAGCGCCCAGGTTCTCAACTGCCTGGGACTAGGAGAGCCGTGCAGTGGTTCCTATCCCAGGCCATGGGACCAGTGTACGCTCTGCTCTGCATCAGCGACTCTTTGACTCACCACATCCTTCCTGTCCAGAACTTCCAGGAGGTAGCTCAGAAGCTGCGAGCTGGCCTCATGGTCAGGCTTGCTGGAGTTGTCGTCTAATTGGCCGCTGAGCTGGTCTATCAGCAGAGGCAACAACACGTCTCTGCACTCTGAGGGGGAAAATGCAGACCACTCACCAGCTGTAGGAGTGCCCCCCCCGAACTGCCTGGCTCCTTCCTGCAACTCCCTCTCTGCCTGTCCCCCCAGCTCCCAGCTCTGCACTCAGCCCTGCAGGGGCTCCTCCAGGCCACCGAGGAGCACGTGGTTTTAGGCACGGAACTTTAGCCCAGTACCTTGACCTTAAAAACAAAGAAAATCCCACCTATCGTGGGTCCACGTAGCCAAATGTTTAAAGTATTTAACAATTTCTTTAGCTTTTTTTTTTCTAAAAAAAGGCCAACTTGGGAATTCCCTGGCGGTCCAGTGGTTTGGACTCAGCGCTTCCACTACAGGGGGCATGGGTTTGATCCCTGGTCAGGGAACTAAGATCCCGTAAGCTGCACAGCACAGCCAAAAAAAAAAAAGCCAACTTGATACTTGCAAGCTAAGTCATATGAAACGAATAAACTAAGCAAGGTATATGCTTTTAATTTTTTTGAAACGTTCCGCCTAATGGAGAAAATGTACTCGAAAATTCCTATGAATACTGAGCTCCACCAGCACATCTCAGTGTTTCACAGACATTCTGTTCATGCTTTCGCGGGCACGTGGACTTCATAAAGTAAGGTATTATCTTCCTACTATGTCTTCCTTCTGAGATCTTTCACAATGATAAAATATCATTCTGATGAGTCCAGACATTCTGGGCACTCACAGAAACGACTGTGAATGGTGATAATACTTCCTCTGTTGGAATCCTCCAGGGCATCCTTGCTCTTCTGCTCAAACAATGCACCTTTGTTGTCTCATTTATGGTTTATGCATCCTTAGAGGCAGAGGGAATCACAGCGTAGTAGGAGGTTGACTAGTATTAAGTTTTCCACTTGAGAGCACTCACTAGCTTTCTGCACTCCCCCGACTGGGTCCTTGGAACAGCTGAAATGTCTAAGCACAAATTCTGAGGCTCAGAAGAGGTCAGAGCCAAAAGACGTGCTGATATGATCTAGTTCAAGTCCATCCTTCCAGAGAAACAGAAGCTGAGACTTAGAGAAGGTCCCTCATTCGTCCCAAGTTACATAACTAGCCAGGGGCAAGGCTAGAAGGGTTCTCGCACCAACAACTCACTCGACTTTTCCTATTTCTGAGGTGTCCTGCCAGTCCTCAGACCCTCCAGCCGATACACACAGCATGAGTCACCCTCTGGGACTCCCTGACCTGGTGCTGGCTTCAAAAGACGCTCCCACGGCTGCCCCACCCTAGCGAGTCTTGGGTTTACTGGGAAAGAACCAGGTATTCGACCTCTTTCCTATGTCAACTTTGGGACAGGAACACAGTGATTTCCACCTGGTGGCTATGTGCTTGACTCTAGTTACAAAATGAAGAGTCTTTTATCAGTGGAAGAGTGTTCTCCTCTCCGCTCCCAGCGGTATGACGGTAGTCTGGCTCTCCTACAGCTCCCCCCCAAAACCTCTCTGATTTATAGTGATTGCCAGTTTCCATGGTGTAAGTCCTTCTGCCACGGTCACTCTTCAGCCACTAAGATGACATGACTGGGCACGGAGTCGAGAAGAGATGTGCATAACCAGCTCCGTCGAGCCAGTATAAGTGGCATGCGGTCCATCACTGCCCTACAGCATCATGGCATCACTGCCCCATAACATCACTGCCCCATGGCATCACTGCCTGCCCCAGCCCCTGGTTACTGGCGTTATACTCTAAGTCAAAGGAGATGCATTTGTTTAAAGGGACCGTCTTTACTGCTTGCCTGTTACTTTATGGGGTTCCTATTTTGAGGACAAAGTTTGCTAATTAATGAAACACGAGTTCGAATTAAAGATGAAAGAACACATGATTTTGCTCTTTCAGGAACTATGGGAATGCTGAACGGACTTCACCTTCTCCTTAAAACTGGTTTCCCAGGAGGTCCTCAAGTACCAGCAAACGATTGGCAAGGACATTATTGACATTAAAAAAAAAAAAAAAAAAAGAGGCAGTGTTGGCTGAAGAAGACACAAGACCGGGATTTCTGTAAGCAGCAGTTTTTGGTGGAGACTCACCCGACTGCCGGAAAAGATTGCTCTCTACTATCTTGGTCATGCAGTTCAGTTTCTGGCGCACTAACTGGTTGTCAGGGATGCTCTGAATGAACTTGCAGAAGAGTACGCTGCAAGAGAAACCCCAGTAGTCACTGTTTTCACTCTGCCGAGTTCAAGGGAGCATTACGCTCTTCCCCTCTACTGGGAAATTATTTACGCGTGGACAGGTTTACCTGGAATTCTCTCCACAATGACCTGAGAGTCTGTCTCTAGGAAGCAAAGGAGAGGCTCTATTCCGTGCTCACTCCAGGGCTCAGCCTGGGAGCTAAGTCAGCCTAAACTGGCAAATTAGTCAGGTCCATCACTGCTTTGCAGACCTACCTTCACCCTCAACTTCTGCAAAAGTCTTTTTGGGCTACCTCCACCCCAGTGTCCATCACCATCTGACTCGGCATTTCGGGGGTACTTAGGTATAGGGCTGGAAGCGTATTATTATGTACTTTTTTCTGTAGTTAATTTTATGTCTGTGCGTCTCGTTTCCCTGGAGAAAGTGCAAACCTCTCCGAGGGACTGGCTTTGTGTCTTCTTTTATGGCTTCCATAGAAATGAGCACAAAAAGGTGTTCAGTCAATACATGTTAGAAGAATCACAGCATGTGTAGCCGCCTAAGCTCAAGCCAGCAGGGGAGCTGCTTCTCTGTTAAGAAACAAACGTTTTTGGCTATTTACCTGAGCTCAACTGGATCGAACACAAGTTTGACGTCATTAATGATGCTAGGAAGGTACTTCAAGGCTGCCCCCTGCAAGAAAAACACCGAAGGCATATTCAGTTGCCAAGCAGGACAAACACAGAATTTCCTGCTTGATCCCAGGAAGAAACGACTGATGCTGGGATCCTGGACAGGGAACTGGACACAGACACTCTCGCAATGAAGAAGAAAGCTGATGTTGCTCTACACGATCTCCCAGGATCTTTTTCCTGAAAAGTCCAGAGACACAGCTTTCTGCCCTCACCACCCAAGAGCCACTGTCCATTTAGAATTCAGTTTTCTACCCAAGGAAGCAGTTAAAAATCTGGACATCTCCCTCACAAAGTTGCCATAGAGAGCAAAAAAGAAAGCTCGAACTTGAGTCTTTAGGGATTACGTATTTTACCTCAAAAAACGGATAATGATGAAGATGATGGGGACGACGGGCTTCTGGGAAGAAGGGGAGCCCTAAGAATAAAGCCTGTTGCTTGAATCATCATCAGGATCAACTGGCTGAACTCACAGGGTCCAGAAATGCCATTCAAGGGACGTCTAAAAGGGCAGCTTGTCATCTTTGGTGAGACGACCATTTAGGTCTTCTGCCCATTTTTTGATTGGGGTGTTCTGATATTGAGTTGTATGCGCTGTCTATTTTGGAAAGTAACCCCTTGTTGGTCGCACTGTTTGCAAATATTTTCTCCTAATCTGTCAGTTACCTTTTCGTTTTCTTTATGGCTTCCTTTGCTGTGAAAAAGCTTTTAAGTTTGATTAGGTCCCATTTGTTTATTTTTGCTTTTATTTCTTTTGCCTTGGGAGACTGATCTACGAAAATATTGCTACGATATATGTCAGAGAATGTTTGGCCTATGTTCTCTTCTAGGAGTTTTACGGTGTCATAGATTATATTTAGGTCTTTAAAACAGGCACATGAAAAGATGCTCAACATCGCTAATTATTAGAGAAAAGCAAATCAAAACTACAATGAGGTATGACCTCACACCGGTCAGAATGGCCATGATCAAAGAGTTTACAAATAATAAATGCTGGAGGGGACTTGGAGAACAGCGAACCCTCTTAACACTGTTGGTGGGAATGTAAATTGGTGGAGCCAATTTTTATGGAAAACAGTATGGAGGTCCCTTAAAAAAACTAAAAATAGAGTTACCATATGATCCAGCAATCCTAATCTGGGGCATATATCCAGAAAAGATGAAAACTCTAATTTAAAAGATACAGACACCCCAATGTTCATTGCAGCACTATTTACAATAGCCAGGACATGGAAGCTACCTAAATGTCCATTGACAGGTGAATGGATAGAGAAGATGTGGTACATATACACAATAGAACACTCCAGAGCAGTAAAAAAGAATGAAATAATGCCATTTGCAGCAACGTGGATAGACCCAGAGATTATCATACTAAGCAAAGTCAGGAAGAGAAAGACAAATATCATATGATATCACTTACATGTGGAATCTAAAAAATAATACAAATAAATATATTTATAAAACAGAAACAGACTCACAGACATAGAAAACAACCTTATGGTTACCAAAGGGGAAGAGAAGGGAGGGATAAATTAGGAGTATGAGATTAACAGATATACACCACGGTATATAAAGTAGATAAACAACAAGGATTTACTGTATAGCACAGGGAACTACATTTGACATCTTGTAATAACTTATAATGAAAAGAATTTAATATATATATACACACACACATATATATATTTGAATCACTGTGCTGTACACCAGAAACTAACACAGTATTGTAAATCAAATCTACTTCAATAAAAATAAAATAAATAAATAGCTAGCTTGTCTTTGGCAAACCAACATTTGAAAATACAAGTGTACATAAAAGTTAAAATAAAGGGATTTCCCTTTACTTTCTATAAGTCATTCTAAAATTAACAAGTTTTCCACGAACTAACTAGGATTAATTTTCTCTTATCTCCCACCATGGCCAGTTCTATGTTGCCCCAGAACATCCTCACCGACAGCATTAAGAGTTACTCAAGGGGGCTTCCCTGGTGGCGCAGTGGGTGAGAGTCCGCCTGCCGATGCAGGGGACACGGGTTCGTGCCCCGGTCGGGGAAGATCCCACATGCCGCGGAGCAGCTGGGCCCGTGAGCCATGGCCGCTGAGCCTGCGCATCCGGAAGCCTGTGCTCCGCAATGGGAGAGGCCACAACAGTGAGAGGCCCATATATCGCAAAAAAAAAAAAAAAAAGTTACTCAAGCTGACCTTGATCTTGACAGCTTCCTCCAGAGGCCTGTCCATCAGCATATTGAAAGCGAGAAATAACTGGCGGATGGAATTACTAAATTCATCTCCATCTTCACTTTGGCCATAAAATCTTCAGAGAAAAAAAGAGAAGGCGGGAAAAGAAAAAAAAAGAGAGCGAGAAGAAGGTCAGATTCTCCATCTTTAAAAGAAGTTTTCCAACAGATCTGTTGCCTACACAATGCTGGAAGCCCATGCCTCACTGGTCACCTCTTTACACCGTGCACAGAGGAGTCACACGTGCTCTTAGGTGGTTCAGGAAGGGGCCCAGTAGCTGGGAAGTTATCCCCACCTGGACAAAAGGAAGGTAGTGATTTGTACATAAAGTCCTACAACAGAGCTCTCCCACTGTCCCCCGGAAGCTGTCTGAAGGCCAGTCTTGGTGATGTCCTCCAACCTAGTGGCGTGCGGGCATTTCTGGCACAGAGCGGGGAATGGCTGGAAGCAGCTTTGCCTCAAGTAGCAGATAAGCCCTGCATGCAAACCTACCATCCTCAGCTCATTAGCAGAATGTCCAGCAAGCAGGGGACTCCCCGCCCAGCTACCTTCCCTGACAGCCCAGTCTTGCCACCTCCACGCCTCCCCTCCTGCCTCTCTCTCTCCTCTTCTGATCTTTGTGTCTAATCACTCTGCCATTTGAATCATTCTGTCTCACCGCAACAAGCCCTGATCATTTGCGTTCAAGTTCCAGACAAGGGGTAGAGAAGCTGCTCAACCTAGAAACGTTCTGAGCCCAACCCAGTCTGCAAGTCCAGTTAGCATCCTTCTATCCACTGAACTGGCCACGCTGGTGCCGACCTGCCTCTAGGACAGCGTCCTCCCAGGACACGGGCTGCCTTGGTCTTTGCTTATTCCTGCTTGTTTGATAAAAGTACGCTATCAACTGAAAAGTTGGTTCTTTCTCATAAGTAGAAATCAGAAGGTCTTTGGCCCATTTCTCAGAAACACAACAGTCCCCAAATTGTAGTCCAAGTGCATTTACACTGGGTGGCAATCTTACCACCAACTGTCAAGAGTAGGGATGGTTTGAACTTAGAATTTTATACACACACTCAAATACATACGTACATGCATATACATATTTACATTAGTCTCCTCCGTTCACCTGTATCTTATATGGTACTCATGGAATATGAACTTCTCAGAAAATTATCCAATCAGAGGGTTTCTGCTAATCTTCCATTCATCCATTTTGCACAACTTTAGAAAAGAACTTTATTTGCAATTGAGTCCACAAAGTATATCAAAATTAACATACCCAGAACAGAACTCACTTGATTTTCCTGTTCACCTTTAAATAGCCCACGTCTTGGCAAACCGCATCCCAAACCTATAAGTTATTTACGGTTCTTCCCCTTCTCCCATGTTCCCACCAAATCTAACAGGAAGTCCTATTCTCTCTTCCCGCTAAATCAGTCCACTCTCTGCGTCTCCTCAGAGACAGAGCCACTGTATCTCACATTTGAACTATAACCGCCTATTCAGTGGTCACCCAGGTTTCACTCTTAACCCTTGATAATCCACTTTCCACCCAAGAGATGAGACGATTATGTAAAATGTAAGCCAGATTCCACTTCTCTAACTGAAACCCTTCAGTGGCTTCCCGAGACCCCTGGAATGAAATCCGAACTCCTTGCTGTGACCTAGAAGGCCCCCATTACGCACCCGCCTGCCAGGCTCCATCCTCCCATTCCCAGTCTCCACGGTCCAGCAACATTGGCTTCTCTTCATTCTTTAGCTGTTCATGTTCACTGCAATTCTCTTCCCTGAGATCTTCAGAGGCTATCTCCCCATCTTTCAGTCTCAACTCAAACCCCAGCTCCTGGAGAGGCCTGTCCCACCAGCTCAGCTCAGGGAGCCTTCCCTGGTCACTGTCACATCAACATCTTTCCTCCTAGCTCTTATCCATCTGAGATGATCTTGTGGGTTTCTTTCTTTATTATATGCCTCCCTGGCCTCGATGTAACCCACAAGCACCATCAGAGCAGGAACTTTGTCTCATCTGCTGCTAGATCCCAAGATCTAGTAGCAGATCCCCAGATCTAGGGCTAGGAGGGAAGGCATTGATATGACGGTGACCAGGGAAGGCTGTTTGAGCTGAGCCGGTGGGAGAGGCCTCTCGGAAACTGGCATCTGGGCAGGAACAGCTAAAGAATGAAGATAAGCCAATGTTGCTGGAGGGCCTAGAGCAACAGCTGGCACCCTATCGCTGTGACTTTAAAAAAGGGACTAATACGACTGAGCTTCTCAATGTCCTATTGTGTCTATCAAATCCAAGCAATCAGAGAATGCAGACTACCAGACCCTCTATCCCAGATCAAGCTCTTCTTTAGAATGAGAAAACATCAGGGGAAAAAATAACCGTAAACAGGCCATTAGGGACTAAGTTCAACACAGCCGCTCTCTTAGTTCACCTCATGGGTTAATTAACTTGGCTCTTCCATTGGTATCATGCAATCTGACGGTGAAAATGATGGCCCAGATGCAACGCAACATTATGAAGGGTAAAAAGCTAGTGGATCGTAAGTGGAAAATATTTTTAAAATTTCCTCAATTAAGGTTTTTTTCTTTTTATGTTTTTTTGTTTGTTTGTTTTGGCCGTGCCCCGTGGCATGCGGGATCTTAGTTCCCCAACCAGGGATCGAACCCATGGCCCCTGCAGTGGAAGCGCAGAGTCTTAACCACTGGACTGCCAGGGAAGTCTCTCTTTTTATGTTTTTATGAGGATCTTTATCGCTGGACATCAGGGTTTGCTATACAAACTTTTAGGTAAGGGAATATTCCCTCAGTAGGACACCCTAACTGAATATGTGGAAATTCAACATAATTACAAAACACAAAGATCCAACTATAAAAGACCACCTGGAGAAAGGCGGGGACTACAGAGGCTGTGCATATGCTCTGAGTTGGGCGAACACTGACTGTTTCTACTAGGGAAGGAGGAGCTGTCATTCGTCCAACTCAACTTTTAAGTCATTGAACGTGTTTAAAAACAATAAAAATGTACAAATTCATTGTAGAAACTTTAAAAATGCAGAAAGGATAAAAACTAAACCCACTTAAAGCCCTCTTATCTACAGTGTACTCATATCTAACCGGTGTCCAATCCTGAAATATTTTTGAAATGAGATCATATTACACTTATGTCTTCTACCTTAGTTTTATTATTTAAGAACCTATCAGGGTTATCCTACCTCATTAACATACCCTACATTTGAAAGGGCTGAATGTACATACTTTAACATTCCTTTTTGTTTATACCTGATGGATTTTTTTTTCCATTAGATAGATTTTTAGATGGGGTATTACTGGACAAATGTGATATCTTCCTTTGCTCTGTGTGTGTTTGATTTTTATTCACAGTGCCAAATTTCTGTCCTTAAGAATTTATCTTCCTATCAGCAATAGAACACAGGGCCAATTTTTGTCCAATCTCACCAAAGGATAAAGATTTTTCATCGTTATTAAATGTGCAGGTAAAGATGGTGTGTGTGTATCGCATTTTAATAGTATAAATTTCTTTTTAAATTTAACTGACCATTTGAAGTTTTCTTTTGTAAATTATGTTTTTATTTTGTAGTAAGGATATTTACCATTCTTTAGTTGATTTTTAAGAGCCTTTAATTAGTAAATCTACTGACCTTTGAACTGTACTATAAGTTACAAGTTTTTTTTCCATGTTGTTTGCCTTTAATTTTATGAGTTTTTTTAAAAACACAAAGTTAAAAAAATACACACGCTCAAATCTCAGGCTTGAAATCCTCTTACCTACAGCTTTACTCGTATTAACATATTAGCACGTTATCTACCTAGTTTCCAAACCTGCCTTAGAAAAATATTTTAACAGTTTGGAAATCCAGCTATTATTGAAGGGTGGAGATGGCACTGGAGTTGTGGGCATTCCCAGAAGAGTTATTTCCTCATTCTTGACTTCTATTGTTTTTGATGGAACGATTATTCTAGAAATCCAAACTGGTCATTATCGTATCTCTGGGGCTTAGTTTTCCCAGGTACCTAAGCCTGGTGTCAGCAAAGAAACACACACCTCAGGAAACAACTCCTCCAATCAATTGTCACTACTGTCCATCTACTCCCAGCAACAGCTCATGATCCTGGCTTTATACATCGAGCATCATCATGAAGCCCGTCACTGTATTAAATACAATCTCATCACAGGAACCTGACTTCCTAGTTATTGTCACCAACAAAGACTTTCAGTAAGTTGCACATTGTAGCCACCTGCATCCCTAAGTCCTGCTGTCACTACTGCCCTAGAAATTCTGCTGATCCAAAAGGACGTCACATGAAACTTCTTTAACGGTTGTGTAGTGCACCCTCATCTTCACCCTGAAGTTCTGAAATTTGTTAGTTCCATGAGCCAGCTGCTCACAGAGCTGAGCATGAGCATAAGGACTAAGGAAAAATATGGGAAGAGAGGATGGAGAACGTCAACACTGTATTACAGTCACCATTACCTCAAGTAGAGCACTCTAGATTGGATGATGAACCTAAACAAGTACTTTAAGGCTTTCAAAGCAGCGAAACGCAATTCCGTCTTGCTGGAGTCATCTGCATTCGCCACGTAAAAGTTCAGTACCTTGGAGAGTTTCCTGGAAAGGACAAGAAGGAGAAAAATGTCAATGGGGCACAGTGGTACTCTGGGGTTTGGGGTATGCTATATAGAAGGGAACTTGGCCTCCTGGGGAAGTAGAAATCACAACTATAGTAATTATTTCTTCTAGAATATGCCCTGAACAGGGAAGTTAAGTCCTTCGTAGTTTAGTTTTCTCATTGCGGTCTAGGCTTGCAGCTTCCCTTCTGCTTAGAAATAAGGGGTGATTTCTTTCCCTTCGCAGGATTTTAAAAAATGATCAAGAAATCAAAGACTTGAAGGGACTCGAATCATGAGTATATTTTAATCTCTGGCATGCTATACAGACATGTTCAGGTGTTTCTGTAACGGAGGGACTGTCTGCCAAAGGTAGTCAGTCACCTTAAAAGCAGTCTAATTCCCTCCAGTCTGCCCCAGCTGTTTGGGATCCATAAACTGGAGCCAGATGGAAACTCTACCGAGTGTGGAAAGAAGAGCAACCCATGGTTCTGAGCATCTGATCACACGAAACTGCTCTGGGACTTTTAGGTTGTTCTTTGTGTCGTTCCAGAGTCTCTGGACTAGGCGTTGTCGTAATCTTGGACTATCTCACATTTTTGAGGGCACTGATATTTTGAACTTTCCTTCTGGGAATCTCTGAGTTTTCCTAATATTAAGAAAAATTCACACGAATCGTGTGGAATTGATCCATTCTTGCAAATAAACCCAGATTACCGGAAACACACAGCACCTGGAGTGCTGCATTTGGCTCTGTGTAATAAAGACCCAATGATAGGATTTCATCTCTTGTAGCTGCTGCCTACTTAGAAAGTGAGGCTATAGGGTGGAAAGAGCCCTGTCACTGGTGTATCTGCTGCTTCCCCCAACCCAGCGGGCATTACATCCATTGTGTTAATTGGGGATTATGCCACATGACACCTCTTCTAGGTCACTTATGTTTTATTACATGTCTGGACCTTTATGCAAATAAAACTGAGAACTTTCTTGTTTAGTTCAGAAAAAGCCATGAGGGATCAATGATCTCAATGACAGAGCAGGTCAGCAGCACTTGGCACGAGCTGGCATAAGCCACCGTCAGAAAGACCTTTGCCATCTCAACTCTGTTCCAGTCACTGTCACGCTGCTCTGCACAATAACCAGGATGCAAGGCGCGGGGTGACAGGCCACATCCAACGGCATGATGAGCTGAGAACATTAGTCAGGGGCTCATAAACCAAAGACAGAAAGAAGGCTGCACTTTGGGAAAGGTGGAGACCACGCCCTCTTACGTAAAAGAAAGAAAATTAAATCTTCTCATAACCTCTAAGTAATAAATTCTACAAAGCACTTGCGGCGTACAGCTGAGGGAACGACCCTCAGTTCTATCACATGTCGTCCTGCTTCATCCTCTGTTTGATCCCAGCGGGGCTCATGCCGATCCCACTGACACCCACCTCCGAAGATCCTGGATGGGGTCCCCTGTCCTGGACTGTGCTCCTAACAGCTTCAACGCCTCACCTAGAGATGCTCTGGATTCTTAAAGAAGTACAGCCTCATCTCTTCCGTAACTTCCCAGAAAGCAGGGCCTTGAATGTAATCCCTTTGCCATGGTTAGAATAGTTAGACGGTTCCCATTTTCCCCAGGGAAGCTTAGAACAAGGTTCTGCGCTTCGAGGCAGGTGTACTCAGCTCACGTCCCTCTGGTTTCTCAACAACCCGGTCCCAAGAGCACGAACCCGACAACCCAGCCACAAGCCCTGCCCAGGCCTGGTACTTACACATAGGCCAGAGTGGCACTGAAGTGCTTGTAGATGTAGGTCTCCAGGACGGGATTGAAATGCTGGAACTTGATGTCGCCTATCAGTGAAATAATAAACACCTGCCAAAGGTGGAAAACATAAATAGTAGCACAGCACAACCCCCGGCACTCCATCAACAAGCTGGAGCTGAACGTCTGGGACTTGCTTTTCCTTCTTGATCATTACGGTAGCATTCCCATGTGACTATTCCAGAGCTGAGGTCAAGTCTTGGGGTTTCTTTTTATTTAGCACAAACAGAGAGGGACCATGAAGTGTCAGGCACTGTGCTAAATGCTGTGAGGAAACCAGTATAAGCCAGCACCCCTAGCCTCGGAGAGGGGACTGCCTCAGAGAGAGGGCAGCGCCCAGGTAACCAAGTCGGGGAAGAAAATGGGATGAGAGGGGGAAGGGTGTGGGGAAGGGTTTCCCATGGGAATAGTAAACACTAACCCAAGGGTGCAGCTAATGAAATACTGCAGGGCATCCGTCTCCTCAGCGCAGTGTGGGTGCCCCTAATAACTGAAGTCACCAGACTTTTGAGTCTCAATTTTCTGCTCATGTTAACTCTTATCACTACCGGACACAGAATCCACTGATACAAATAACCGCTTTGTACCTACTTGTGATAGAAGAGAGCAAAAGATGGGGCACCTTCCACACATGCCCGTTGCCAGCTGCTCTGTCCCACGGGAATCTATCTCCAGACCTTCTCCCATGGAGTCATTACCATAGACTCTCTTGCCCATAAACCTGGCCAGGTGCGATCGCAGCTGGGGGCATTTTTCTCTTTGTCTTACATCCTTAAGTGTCAACATCCTAAACTCTTCTTGAATCTACCAGTCTCTGCAAGTTGATGAATGACCTGAAGCTGCAATTTACCTTCCTCCTTCTTTGCTGCAACATTCAGGGAAAACTCTGCCCTGAACTTGAACCCCAACAATCAGAAAACGATGCTTAAGTTTGGATGTGTCAGCTTCCGCCACTCCACTGCCATCTCTGACCTTCCCAGAGTCCGATATCCCCTCTCCTTCTTTGGATTTCCGGTCTTGGAATGGGTTGCATGTTTTAGTACTTTGTGTGACAATCTGAATTGTCTGCTGGGTTGCGTATTGTACATAATGAGACCAAGACTCATCTCTGACTTGCAAATTCAGTCTCCCTTGCAAGAACGCACAAGGACGCGCATACACAACAAACCACAGTCGTCTTTGTTAATGGTATCTCCTGGTTTAGGACCAGACAATTTTAAAGCGAGTTAAAGGGACTCCTGATTTCAAATGTAATAAAACAGCTTGTTTTCCCTAATGAGAAGGAGAAAGCTTATCAAAAGGGAAGATCTAACAGGAAACAAAGCCATAAACGTCTTGACTATAAGTCAATTGTATCTAATGTTACTTGTGGGAATGTAGCCTCGAGAAATCATCAGAGAATTGTATACAAATACATATGCAGGGGCCTATGCATCACAATTACTTATAATACTGAACTATCAAAAACCACACAGTTGTGAGAACAAACACTAGATAATATGTGTAACTGCTTACCAGTGCATCAAACACAAGGAAGTCATATGCTTCATCGTCTGACATTTCCATCATTATGTTAAAAAGTGCATCTAGTGTATCTTGCAAAAACTGAAGATAAGAAAAAGAGAGGTTATTTGCTCCAGACTGAAGAAATTCGGGGCTAATTAGGTTTCAACAGAATAGGTTTAAAAATAGCATTTTCCTAAAAATTGGCACACTTGCTTCCCAATTTAGACAAGTTTTATGTTTACACTCATCGGTTTAATTTAAAATATTGAACTAAGGATGCAGTGGCTGTAGTCCTAACTGTGAATATATAAACATACCTTAACAATTTCTCCTCCATCCACCTCCATTAACTTCTTTAAGTTGTGTTTAATGTTCTGAGGGTTCGAACGCCAATTTAACAAGCCTAACAGGTCAACTAGGAAGAACAACCACAAACCATAAACGTTAGACAGGGATTAGCAGAGCAACGCACACCACTTCAGGACACAGTGACAGAGCTCTCTAGAAAAGATCATTGCTCCTAACGGTGGCTAATACCTTATGCAGCCTTTTAATTTACTGCCTCTTACCTAAATCAGAGAAAACCCTGGGGTCTTCTTTCCTTCTTCAGAGGAAAAAAACCAACCACAAGGGCTTCCCTGGTGGTGCAGTGGCTGGGAGTCCGCCTGCCGATGCAGGGGACACGGGTTCGTGCCCCGGTCCGGGAAGATCCCACATGCCGCGGAGCGGCTGGGCCCGTGAGCCATGGCCGCTGAGCCTGCGCGTCCGGAGCCTGTGCTCCGCAAGGGGAGAGGCCACAGCAGTGAGAGGCCCGCGTACCGCAAAAAAAAAAAAAAAACCAAACAAACAAAAACAAAAACCAACCACAAATGTACAAGAACATAAAATGATGCCCGAATAGAACTCACGTCTCTCATATAAGACATCACAGCCTTACCGATGAAACACTTAAATAACCTTCCTACCCTTAATTTGCTGCATTGCTTAATTTGTCCCTTGTCACTATGTGTATCTCAGTGGATGCAGAGGGGAAAATAAAAACTTATATATGTGCATTGATTCATTTAAATATCATATCCACGCTGTAGAGCAGATTTTATTTATTTATTTTTTACCTTAAAAGATTTTTTTTATATCGGAGTATAGTTGATCTACAATGTTGTATTAGTTTCAGGTGTACAGCCAAGTGACTTAGTTATACATATATAAATATGTATTCTTTTTCAGACTCTATTTCCCATATAGATTATTACAGAGTATTGAGTAGAGTTCCCTGTGCTATACAGTAGGTCTTTGTTGGTTATCTGTTTTATATATAGTAGTGTGTATATGTTAATCCCAACCTCCTAATTTATCCCTCCCCCTGACCTTCCCCCTTTGGTAACCATAGAGAAGATTTTATTTGTTCCATTTTTGAGATGAGGAAACTGAGGTTTTGTGAAATTAAATTACTTGTCTTAGGTCACACAACTGCCAGGGAGTGGTATGAATGGAATTTAATGAGATTTATCTGATTCCCAAAAACCATGTCCTTGCTACTCTGTCATACTGCCTCCCCAGAGTTCTTCAAAGAAATAAACAGATGAGCAGATCAGATGGTTTGCTATCTTGAAAAGAAGGCAGAACAGATGAATGGTCCTTAGCTTAAGTCTGGGACAAAAGTCTTGAGGTGTTTTTGGATCTAAAAATGCAGAATTTGGGATCTTTAAGTCCCTTTCAGCTTTAACGTATGTCTAGATACTAAAAGTGAAATAACAGGGAAACAAAGCAGGCAGATGGACTGTTACTACTTTATCGTTTTGTTTAGTGCATCCTTTTACTATTTACAGAGCATTAGCTAGGAAAAGTAGCAATATGTACTTTTTGATCAATGGATTTGTAGAAATATATATTTACAAGCAGCTGAAAATGTATTCTGTTCATTAGAACAGTCAATTTGCTTCACTGTTTGTTTTACTGGCTTGCAGACTGTTCAGTCCCTGGGAAGCCTCCAAAGCCTAGAGACCTCCCACTGTCAACTGAATAAAGTCCCAATACCAGTCACAGAGGGCCGTAAGGCCCCTCCTATGACCCTCCTGCCAGCCCATTGCAGTCAGACAGATCAACTCAATACTCCCCAAGCTATGGCATGCTCTGCAATCGCTCCCTGTCTTTGCATATGTCTTCCCTTTGTCGGAAATGCCCAGAAATACTTCCAATACTATGTATTCAGTCAGCTGCTACTTCTACTGCAAGAGCCCTCTCAGACATTATTCCTTCTGGGGAGACATACCCAATCGTTCTCTGCTATCTGCACTCCTTGTCCGCATACGTATACATTAGGGCAAACAATTAACAACACATTTGGTATCTCTCTGGCTCTGCCCATACATTGAGACAGTCCAGGGAAGGAATCTTATTGCATTCCTTCTTATACCGCATCATAGCACTAGCCACCTAGTAGGTATTCAATACGTGCTGGATCAAAGATTGAATAGATGGATGGACACAGAACCAGGAGTCCCAAGGAAGCTGGCAGTGTACTCAAGACAGTTCTTCACTTTCTTCATTCCTTAAGTAAGTACTTAATAATAGGCACTGTGCTAGGCCCATCCACTAGGCACTGTCCACTGCCAGCTTCCCATCTCCTATTTTTGCCACGTGCTAGTCAACCGGACCGTTCCATTGGTTACCTCACTCCACGCGTAGCTGCCTAAGGAAAAGGATTTGGATACTTCATCATGCTGAAGAGTCACGCAGCAGCTTTAAGAACCTGCAAGGAACCCACTAATCAGTCTAGAGGTTTACCCCCTAGAGATATTTGCATGCCCCATCACTGCTAATATTAGGAATAGATTTGGCATCTGGTGAATCACAAGGTCTTAGGGCAAGAAAAGTGGTGACACGGTGTCACAGAAACAGCCCTAGACTCACAGTGTTTCTGGGATTCATACAGGTTGATGAATAGCTCTGGTTAGTTTCATTTGATTGCTGTAGAGTATCTATCCCATCATATGGATGTACCAGAATTTATCCATTCTACTGTCGATAAACAACCAGTTGGGTTGTGGTTTTGAGCCGTCACAAACAATTCTGCTGCAAACATTCTCATATGCCTATCCGGTATCTGCAGCATTTTCTGAGGTATAAAACTGGACTACAGGGCTTCCCTGGTGGCGCAGTGGTTGAGAGTCCGCCTGCTGATGCAGGGGACACGGGTTCGTGTCCCGGTCCGGGAAGATCCCACATGCCGCGGAGCGGCTAGGCCCGTGAGCCATGGCCGCTGGGCCTGCGCGTCCAGAGCCTGTGCTCCACAACGGGAGAGGCCACAAGAGTGAAAGGCCCGTGTACCGCAAAAAAAAAAAAAAAAGTGGGAAAAAAAAAACTAGACTACATTTCTGGATTACCAAGAATGACCACCTCTAACCATATTAAATACTATCTAAATGTTATCCAAAGTTGTCCCAATTTACATCACCGTCAGAAGTATGTAAGAATTGGGACTTCCCTGGTGGTCCAGTGGTTAGGACTCTGCGCTTCCACTGCAGGGAGCACAGGTTTGATCCTTAGTTGGGGAACTAAGATCCCACATGCCTCGAGGCCAAAAAAAAAAAAAAAGTATATAAGAATTCACACTACTCTGAATGATAATCCCCAAATTTAGGGTAGTGATTACCTGTCGGAAAGGGTTAGGGACCATAACGTTTAAAAACGAAAAGAATGACAAAGAAAAACCCTAAGTTTTGGAGTTCCAAATATCTGTTTTCGGACCCAAGTCCACCACTTATGAGTTTCGGCAAAATATTTCACCACCTCAGCTCGGCGCTCTGATCAGTAAACTGAGGTTAATAACGACAACACTGGTGTCTTCCCGTGCTAGGCTGTCGGTGGGTAAAATGAGATGTCTGTGAATGGCCTGGCCCAGGTCCACACCTGCAGAGACTCGACTCCTCTCTCCCTCTCCTCGATCCTCACCTTCCATATGGGCCCAGCAACAAAATGATCCCATATACATCAGTCTGTTCTAGTTTTGAAATAATTCATAAAATAATGAAGGTGCCTACAGGCTCTGTTTGTAACAAAGTCCAGTGGCTTTTAACTTTGGAGTCTGAATAGCCCTCCAAAGGCTAAGGAGAAACGCCTTTGGTCATGGCCTCCGAGTGAAAGGAGAACAGCTACCCTCCTCTTGATCAACAAATGCCCTCATAGAGTTGATGATTTATTCATGTTCCTCAGCTTCCTCTTTCTCAGAAGAAATTGAATTGGTTCTTTATCACTCCCATCAAATTAGAAGAAAGCAAACACACTTATTATCTGTCACTGGGAATGCCCCATTTTCTCTGATGCCCACGATGTCACCTCATCTTCCCCAAATCTGTCCCCTCTTCCTACCCCCATCCAGGTTGACAGTAGGTCACCCCGCTCTGGTTTAGGTGAGTTTGCTTCTTTAAGTCTTCTTTGGGACAGGATATTCTTGGAGACTTTTTTTTAAAAGTATGTTGAGTGTTTTTGAGATCTAAACACTAGGAACAGGATGACAACAAATGGAAGAGGACAGTTCTACCCGATGGAAGTTTCTGTGATGATGGGAACGTTGCAACCTGTGCTGTCCAGAAGGAAAGTCACCAGACACAGAAAACCACTGACCACTCGAAATGGGGCGAATGCAACCAAGGAACTGCAGTCATACCTTCACTTGACTTTAATTAATTTAAATTTCGCAAGCTACATAAGGCGCGGGACAGCACAGGTTTGGAACATTTAGAAGATGTGTGATGTTGGTATCAGCGCATCAGGTTGAGTACTGCTACCTGTCAATAAGCTTCCTAAAGTTTTGCCTGCGAGATAATAAACAATGTAATAATATGGTTATCTCTAACCATTATCTCTAATAAGTTAATTTTACAAACATTTATTACTTGTTTTCTTCAAACCTAGTCTCTAGGAAGGATAATCTACTAGATGTTTGGTAAACGCTGTCTCTTTCGAATATCCCTTTAGAGCCCCCAAAGTACATCGATGCTTTCTCTCATCTACCATCAGAGCTAAAAAAAAAAAACCACTTTGACATTTCCTAGTTAAAAATTTGGAAAATACCAGAAAGAATAAAGAAAATAAGAACTATCATCCAAACTTTTAATTATTTTTAGCCTTTTGCTGTGTACATATAATAATGATGATGATGACAACAGTTACTACTCATGTAGTGTTTACAATGTGCTACACGTTGCTGCTTTGCTTCTACTTATTTTAATTTACTTCGTTCTTCGAAATAAATACTATCATTACTCCCATTTTAAAACTGAGGAAACCAAGTCACAGAGAGATCAAGTGACTTGCCCAAGATGAACCAGCTAGTAAGTGGCAGGGCTGGGATCTGAACCCAGGCAATAAGCTCCAAATTATCCTCATATATTTAAACAAAACCGGGATTATACTCCACATAGTGTTAACATTTTCCCATGTCTTTGACTGTTTTAAAATACATTTCACAGCTGCATATATTTTATCATTTAATAACCTTATATACTTTAACCTGACCCCAACTATTGGACATTTAGACTCTTTGCACTGTTCCCCTATTATGAATCACAGGGAAACATCCTCATATATAAATCTTTGTGCACATCTCCCATTGTCTAGTTAGGTTCAATTTCTAGGGGTCACAGTACTGGGTCAAAGGGTCTGAATACATTTAAGATCTTTGGGGCTTCCCTGGTGGCGCAGTGGTTGAGAGTCCGCCTGCCGATGCAGGGGACATGGGTTCGTGCCCCGGTCCGGGAAGATCCCACATGCCGCGGAGCGGCTGGGCCCGTGAGCCATGGCCGCTGAGCCTGCGCGTCCGGAGCCTGTGCTCCGCAACGGGGCGCGTACCGCAAAAAAAAAAAAAAAAAAAATCTTTGATACACCTTGTAAATCATCTACCATAAACATTATACTACTTAACCCCGTATCAGCAGTTTATTTATGTTTACTTTCTCCCTAACAAGGGTTATATCCTTGATACCGTTTTCTCGTGGCTTCCATAAAGCTCAGGATGCCTTCTGGCTTAACTTTGTGTTTTGTTTGTTTGTTTGTGTTGGTTTTTTTTTACTAATTTATAGACTTTATTATTTTTTTGAGCAGTTTTAGATTCACAGAAAAATTAAGCCCAAAGTACAGAGAGTTACCCTATACCCCTTCAAGGCTCCAGGGTTTCCCCTATTGTTAACATCCTGCATTACTGTGGTACCTTTGTTACAAATGATGAATCAATACTGATAAAGATTATTAACTGAAGTCCACCGTTTAAGTTAGGGTTCGCTCTGTGCAGTATGCTGTGGCTTTTGACACATGTATAACGACGTGCATCCATGTACCCATCAGGGTGTCATTTAGTAAACAGTTTTACTGCCCTAAAAATCCCCCGTGCTCTGCCTATTCACCCCTCCCTCTCTCCCCGAGCCCTCTGTAACCACGGATCTTTTCACGTCTCCACAGTTTTGTCTTTTCTCTGGCTTAATTTTTGGTGCCTGCTTTTACTTTCCCATGTGTAACAGCTCTGAACCTCACTCTGTTGAGTCTGATCAGTTGTCCAAGTTGAAATACTATCCATATTCTCTACGCAACCAAGATTCATCAAAATAAACAATACTGACCCGTTCTAAAGATCACCCACGTGCTATGTGATCCTTGAGTGGACCTTCTATCTCAGCTGTTTTGTCTACCTTATCACTTCCCTAAGGCAGAGCCCCCAAATCTTCTCAGAGGTCCAAGGGACTAATCCTGCACATAGCACAGGGGACAAAGCATTTCTAAAGCAAGTCCCCGAAGCAGCTATTTCCTGGATCACTATTATTCAGCAGGACTCCTTACAAATGACATAGGTTAAATGAATAAGAAGCTGTTATTGGCTATCAAATGTCATGATATACACAAGAGAAGTGAAAATTGCTATCAGATTTCGTGAGGGGACAAAATGAAGCCGCATTTGAACTCTTCAGCTGATGTTATGGAAAATCTGACTGCTTGGGGAAAAAAATCGAGAAAGAGGAATCTATATGGGGGACAGACGGAATGCTAACAGGAAACCTTCCCTGCTCTTTGCCATACCTGCTTGGACAGGAGACTGATGTTCCTCTGCCAGTATCCTACCCTCACTACCAACATTTCTTGTTATATACATCATACGGAGCACAGTATTAGAGTTCTTTGCTGCCTTGAAGGAAGGAAACATAAGACTTTCGAAATTCACAGCCTCTGTTAATGAATACATTTATAGATTTTACCCTATTTAAAAACCACCAAAATGCTTTTCATTCTAGTGGAAAGATAGACAAAGAAGCCTCAGGAAGAGCTTTAGCTATCTGATCGGTCCTACCCAGAAAACATCACGTGAAGAGCAGAGAGAAGAATCCAGATAGCCCAGGACCCTACCTCAGAAGACACAGCCCCACAGCGTCCAGTCCCCTGAGTCTAACAAAGAAGCCTAGGAGGACCAAAGAGAAAACTCATTCTGGTGTCACCGAGGTCAGCACACCCACCGTTCTGAGTGAGCTTTGTGGAGCAGATGAGGGTGGCGATCTGAAAGCTATCTTTTGTGCTATCCTTGTTTGGCGTAAAGTTGCCTGGGGTTTTGGATGCCTGGAGCTCCTTTTCTTCCATCTCCACTTTGGTTCCAGGCAGGGTCAGGTAGAATTTAGCATCTTCCATTTTCTTGTTGTCACCCTGCAAAGGAAGCATGTTAGGGACACCAAGTGGTGGACAAAATCTCTTATGTGCAAATAAAATAGTATCTATCATGAGCGCAGTGTACTTTATCAAATTAGATCCCTTCCAACTCCGAGATACTGGGATACTGTCCCAGAGTTTGAGTCCAGAAATAATTTCAACATTGAATGAAAACAGAATAAGTTATGAACGAGAAGTCAACATTCTAGTCTCTGCTCTAAGTAAATACATAAAGAATAAGGTTGGATTTCACTTTCTTGAACATGTAAATGGTCACAATGATACTTCACTGGGTCCTTTGAGAAGAAATAGCTTGCCATGGCTTCCAACACTATTTTTGAGCACAAGAGCTGCTAAGGGAAATACACATCAAGTGGATTCATCTCAAAAAAGCTACCAACCGTGTGAAAAGCCTCCTAAATACTGTTGGACAAATGAGATCTTCCCAACGTCTGCTTTCTGCTCTAAAATCTCAGTGGAAGCGATAGCTCTGCAGCAGTTAGAGGGAAGAATAAGGACACAGCTGATAGGAGAGGAAAGGAGGCCACAGAACGGAGTAATGGTGCCTGGCTCGCGCTGATATGAAAACCACATCCTACCACATCCACCACACTCTAACCCAGCCCAACAGTGCAACTATCAACGCTCCACATAGGCTGATGCAAAGAGCAGAAGAACAGCCCTTGACTGTTCACCTCCACGGACGCCATTTGCACAACAGGGAGGGACCATCCTTAAAAGACTAAAGGGATGGGAGACCATGCAGCTGGTGTGACCACGGTCCTCCGGGGTTCTAGACTTGAAGGGGCAAACATGTACAGTCCGAGAGAAGTTTCTGATATTTGTACACATAAGTCTGAAAGGAGCTTTCAGAACCAATTTCAGGGGGAGTAACTATGTCCTTAGTCACTTTCTGAGGCTCCTTCTTTAGCACCACCTTATAAAGCACCAGATCATGCCTCCCGTCCTGCAGGGTGGTGCCGTCCGGGTTCATCAGCTTCACGAAGGCCACCCCGAAGGCTCGCTCCGATTTATCTCTGGCTGAAAAGACAGGAATACGTGTCTGAGCAGGGCAGGGAGATACCGGGGGCTGATGGCTATGAGAGCTGACGGCACATTTTGCTCTGGGGTTTGGTGTTCAATCGTGCTATAACCAACACAGTTGAGCGAGCCCCAATAAGCCATACGTACTGTCCACGTCACAGACCCCTTGAAGGAAATAGTTCCCTAACTGAAATCTTCTGGTGCCCCCAAGTATGCTCCTTTTCCTCTATTTGTGAATGAATGACATCAGTATCAACTCGGTCACCCAAATCAGAACTGTGGATGTTGACGCTGACCCCACCCCCGTGCCAGCTCTGCGTCCTGAGCGCCTCTGGAGGCTGTGCCTTTTCTCTCCATCCCTGCTGTTCCCACCTGAGGCCAGGCCACCCTCACCTCTTCCCTGTATTCCCACAAGATCTTCCTAACAGATCTCTCTGTCTCCAGCTCTTCTCCACCCTTTGGGGATCTCCAAAATCAAATCTAACCAAGTCAACTGCCCTGCTCCAAAACCTTCCCATGACCTATCTCGCTACTGCTGTTCTAAGACAGACTCTGTAAGTATTTTGTTTATTATCTTCCAAGGTTTGTGATGTCATCTAAGATTTCTGTCCCTCTCTTCTTTCCAAGATAGTAGCCCTGGTGCCAGGAGAAGCGGATATGTGTGTCCCGTGGCATTTGGGGGAGGAGGGGCCAGCCTCCTGAGGAAGCCAAGGGCCTCTCTCCTGGTCTTCAGGTGTTAGCCTCTGAGCTCACCATGTCCCCTGCTTAAATGTCTACGGCTGGGGTGACTCATGGCCTGGTCTCACCACAGACACACCTCTGAGGTCTGCTGTGACTCGTGTTACCCAGATTGGCTGAGCACAGGATCATACTACAGTTTGTTCATCTGTTCTCCTGTTGACGGCCAATTTGGGGGTACCGTGACTAACGCTGTTATAAATATATACGAAATCACGACCACCAGCACCACCCACACAGCATTCTTTAATGGCTCCTCCATAACAGAGTTCAAAAGAACCTTCATCTTTCACGATCTGGCTCTAGCCTGCCTGGAATCAGACCACTGACAGGTCAATCCAGGAACTTACTAGCCCTGTGACCTTGGGCACATACCTAACATCTCTGTGCCTCAGTTTCTTTACATATAAATGTGGATTAAAATGTGTATGGGTCTTACTGATTACTGTAGATACTAAACAAGATGGTGTATAAATAGAGCTTCGCATAGTGTCTGGTACAAACTAAGAGCTTGATGAATGCTAGCTTAGTATGATGGAGAACTGTACGAAATTGCTGATAATTGACTATCTGCTGATACTTGACGATCTGATACTGACCTACAAAAATGGCAATTTCAGATGGTTCGATCTAATATCATGATAGCTCCCACTTTAGCCCTACCGAGCTCACTTTGCTTTTCAAACACATTTCTCCACCAGCACCCTTCACTGGGCTAACTTCTGCTCACCTTCAAGTCTCAGCTAGGATGTAGGAAACCTTATGCATAAATCCCCAGGCAGGCTTAGGTGCTGTGCTTACTCCTTGATGGTCGTTGCTGTAACACGTATCACGTTGATCTGAACTTCATCACCTGTTTTCTTGCTCATCTTTCTAACTAGACCACAGAGACTTTTCAGAGCAGTGACTGTGTCCTATTTGCTGTCATCTACCCAGGGCCTGGCCTGCAGTCTGGTAGGTAGATGGCATTCAAAAAATTCAGTTTGGAAGGAAGGACTGCATTTTTATGCAGTGCTGAATGAGAACAACACTTCCAGAAATGTTAGGATCAATCTGAAAATAATCAATATTCTCCTCTGTTCACACCTTAGGAAAGTCAACTTATAAACTGTGATCTAAGACTTGAAACAGTTCTTTCATGAAAAAAAAATAATTTGGGAAATAACAGATTGAACAGTTCTCTTGCTTCAGGATTTCTCAGCAATGTGGCAACATACACAGTGAATGTCTAAGAGGGAGACATAATATACAAGCACTTTCTATCCCTGTTCAACTGGGAAACTCTTTTTGTCAGACAGCATCTATTAGCACTGTAGAACCTTAGCATTCATAGAGCACATTTCAGGGAAATTCTGATATACAATGATAAACACAGATCTTGGAAGCCTAGAAAAATTCATTTTAAGATTTCCTTAGCTTCACTGAATCTTGAAATAAAGATGCCAAGTATCTCATTCTACAGACCCACAAAAGCACTGTCAAGCAAGAGTAAACACTGTTTTGATTGAAACGTGTCGTCGACCTCCTAATACTCACATTCCTGAGATGACCGGTGTCGGAAGGTAAATCTTATATGGCAGCGAGCGACTTCTTCTATAGCAATGGATACCTGCACAATAATGAGGAATATCAATACAGTCCCCTGCACTCACAGTTCGTTTTATAAAATGAGGCACATTTTAGTATCCGATCACAGGAGTAATTCCTAGAGAGTGAGATTTGGTGTAGGGTTTCGTTCGAAGGAGATTTAGCTCTTTTTCAAAACCCAAAGGATCTCAAGAGAAGATCATCTTGGCTGTTCATCATAGATTCTGAAAATGGAGATATTCCAAATTTCTAGTGCTTTCTCAAGTGGGAAGCAGGAGATACTTCAGGGGGAAAAGATCAGTACTTTCAGGTCTGTGTGCAAGACTGCAAGGTGTACATGGATACGTTAATAGTTAGGGCCTATAATAGAAGGAAAAGATAAAATACTGGGGACAAGGAAGCTTTTTTTTTTTTTTTTGCTGCTTACATATACAGAAGAGATGGGGAAACAGAGGCATGGAGCAACGTACAGAGCAGAGAATTTGTAGCAAATAGTTAAATGAATTATGGCATGATTATATAATGGAATATTATGCAAGTATCTAAAAATATACTTCTGAAGGCTTTTTAATGCCTCAAGAGAGTTTGAAAAGGCACAATATAAATTTGTCTGAATGGCATGATCCAAAACCTATGAAGTATATAAAATTGTGGAAAATGGTTACTTCGGAATTAAGATATTAGTGCAACTTTTTTTTTTTTTTTTTTTTAGTTTTCTACGGAGAGCTCATAAAACCTTGACAATCAGAAAAAGCCGATGTGGATTAAGAACAAGGTCCGGGCTTCCCTGGTGGCGCAGTGGTTGAGAGTCCGCCTGCCGATGCAGGGGACATGGGTTCGTGCCTCGGTCCGGGAGGATCCCACATGCCGCGGAGCGGCTGGGCCCGTGAGCCATGGCCGCTGAGCCTGCGCGTCCGGAGCCTGTGCTCCGCAACGGGAAAGGCCACAACAGTGAGAGGCCCGCGTACCGCAAAAAAAAAAAAAAGAACTAGGTCCTACTGTATAGCACAGGGAACTATATTCAATATCCTGAAGTAACAACCATAATGGAAAAGAATATAAAAAAGAATGTATATATATGTAAAACTGAATCGCTTTGCTATACAGCAGAAATTAACACAACATTGTAAATCAACTGTACTTCAGTAAAAAACCAGAACAACAAAAAAGGAAAGAGTTGATGGAGTCTGGGGCTCAGAAGAAGTGGAATCCAGTTTAGGCTCCGACACGAGCAGCTAGAGGAACTTGGTCACTTCACTTCTCTGAGTGTCAGTTACGTCATCAGAAAATGGGCTGCTGCAACTCGGACCGTTTGTCGCAGAGCTACTGTGAGGCTCACGCGAGCGGACTGATCTCGAGAGCACTTTGGAATTTGTAAGACACATATTTAAATTGAAAAGAAGCCCAGCTAACTTGATTAGAGGCCAAGAAGGAAAGAAATGTTAGGAAACTGCTTGCACACTGTGAAAATTTCCAGTTGGTTCTGGACCATCTTGGCAGCCTCTTACATCATTACAACATCAAGTTTCTCTCTTCCAATTTCAACACGTTTACGAACGAGAATGTTACTTAAGGTTTCTGAAGTTTACGAAAGAGAAATGAGCTTCTGCAGAGCTACGATGATCAATTCATTTCTGATTGCACACCACAGGCAACCTATCTAAAACTTCAGGATAAAGGAGGAACGATTTGTGGGTAAAAAGAAGAAAGGAAGCTAAACGGGGTTTCATATATGATAGGGGTTACTGATGACACATTCTCACCTTGACAGTCTCATACCAACAGGGCTGCTTGACTTGGTAATAGACCACTGATTTGTACTCGGAAATGCCTTCGTATCCAGCACCAGGATGAATTGCTTTCTTCAGACGGAAAGAAAAAATTAGGAGGGGGTAGTAATATCTAGAACACTAAGGGTATTCCACATGGCCAGCACATGCCTTACACTGGCATACATAAGCTGATTACATCTGGGGGTGAACAGTAGAGTGAGAATGAGTTTCCAAGAAAATATGGGGTATATATATACACAATGGAACACTACTCAGCTATAAAAAAAGAATGAAATAATGCCATCTGTAGCAACATGGATGGACCTAGAGATTACCATACTAAGTGAAGTAAGTCAGACAGAGAAAGACAAATATCATATGATATCACTTGTATGTGGAATCTTAAAGAAAATGATACAAATGTACAAAACATTTCTATTTACAAAACAGAAAGACTCACAGACATAGAAAACAAACTTATGGTTACCAAAGGAGAAAGGTAGCGGGGAGGGATAAGTAGGAAGTTGGCACTGACATACACACACTACTATATATAAAATAGATACACAACAAGGACCTACTGTATAGCACAGGGAACTATACTCAATATCTTTTAATGACATATAGGGGAGAAGAATCTGAAAAATAATATAGATAGATAGATAGATAGATGCATGGATGGATAACGGAACCACTTTGTTGTACGCCTGAAACTAACACAACATTGTAAATCATCTACACTTCAATAAAAAAAATAATTAAAAAAGAAGAACGAGTTTCTAGCACTTTGAGGGTCCAAGTGTCTCAAAGTGTAGTAGCTAAGGCACCCAGCACAAGCTTAACATTCCTCTTTGCTGGAACTTTTCTTCTCTCTTCCATCCCAGCCATACACTGTCCTTTCTTTCCTTCTTCTTTCCTCTCTCAGGGAACAGAGGCCTCGAGAGGGTGACCGGGAGCTCCAGCATGTGTGCAGACACATTGCTGTGTGAGGTCCTGTCTATGCTCTGCTTTAAGGACCTGGTGTAGGTGTGGCATGTTCACTAGAACTTAGGGTTGTGTCTCTTCCTAGAAATGAACCACTTAGTTCAGTAGCATCAGGCCTCCATGGGGGCCCTTCCAAGCTAGTTAGCAGAGCCATGAAGATGTGTACTTGAACTCCTGGGGCAAAAGGACTCTCTCAACAGCACAAAGAAATCACTCCCGTACCGTGGCCCACAGCGTTCTGCTTATCCCTCAATGCAGAAGACAACTTAGTCAACTGATTCCTTGGAAGATGATCATATCCATGGGGAAGTGCAGGGGTTGTGTACTCGGCTGTGCCCCCCGCCGTGAGGGACTCAGTGAATGGGGTGCATTCCTAAGCAGGTAAGTATGGCTCATACAAGAGGAGCCAGATGTCAGCCGGGACAATGAAAGCCTCCCTCTGCCTCTCCTTCTCCTTGATGTCAGAATGAAGAGTCACTTCTGTTGGAGGAAGGCAGGACACCTGTGTCCGTTCCCAGTGCCACCACTAAGTCCTGTGCTTCCCTGAGAAAATAGTTTCTCCTTTCTGGGCTGCAGTTTCCCGATTCCCAAAACTAAAGAGCGTGGTAGCTGACCTCGAACCAAGAGCCCTTCTGGTGTAACAGCTCTAACAGGCGCATCTCTGCTGGTTTAGCTCACCCAGGGGGAGGGCGTGTACACCTGAAATCCCTGATGGCTTAAGGTCTTTCTCAGCACAGGAGAAATCATGATAACAAGAGTCTACATGAATTTATTACTACAATTGGTGATTGCTAATCACAAACTTTAACAGGTTTCCTATTCTTTCCTTGTGAAACACCAAATGTGCTCTACAGTGGAGAACAATTTACATCACGCGCCAAATCCTGTTGTTGTAAAGGAGCGTGTGATGGCGGCGGGACTGCTGGGGACACCACGTACCTCCAAGAGCCTGCCCTCCTCATCAAACACAGACATGGTCACCTCCACGTTCTTCGGCGTCTTCTTTTTCCCTTTGTCAAACTCCCCATGGATCAGGGTGACGTAAATATCATTCCGAACATCTCCTGCAACGTGACAACCCAGCCTGTGAGTGGTGCTGTGTGGAGTCATTTTTAAATTTCAGGATGTAATAAGATGCAAATTATAAGTAAAATATAAAATGTTCTGACTTGGTAATAAACTATTCATACAGCAGAACTTTCTATGTGTATTGTTCCCTGTAGCTTACCTCATTCTGCCTCTCTATATATAACACAGTGTCTGGAGTACAGTTTAGTGTCTATCAGCAGATGAATGGATAAAGAAGATGTGGTGTGTACACACACACACACACACACACACACACACACAATGGAATACTACTCAGCCCGAAAAAAGAATAAAATTTTGCCATTTGCACCAACATGGATGGACTTGGAGGGTATTGGTGAAATAAGCCAGACAGAGAGAGACAAATACTGCATATCACTTGTATGTGGAATCTAAAAATTAAAACAAACTAGTGAATATAATAAAAAAAGACACAGCCTCACAGATATAGAGAAAAGCTAGTGGTTACCAGTGGGCAGAGGCAAGAGGGGAGGGGCAAGATAGGGGTAGGGGAGGAAGAGGTACAAACAACTATGTATAAAATAAGCTACAAGGATATATTGTATAGCACAGGGACTATAGCCAATATTTTATACTAACTATAAATGGAATATAACCTGTAAAAATTGTGAATCACTGTTGTACACATGAAACTTACCTAAGATTGTACATTAACTATATTGCAATAAGAAAACATGAGCAATGATTTATCCATAGGGATATTCACTGTGATATTGTTTGTGAATGTGAAAACTTGGAAGCATCCTCAATTTCCAACCACAGAAACAGCTGAATAAATTATGGTACAATAAAATGAAATAATATTGATTTACTCACTTAAAAAATGGACTGAGCATCTACTCTGTACCAAGCACTGTGCTAGGTGTTTGGGAAACGACGGTAAGCCATGCACCAGCCTTGCTCTCATGCAGCTGTAAGTCTGGTGGGCAAGAGAAGCATTCTCAGACAATCACCTGATGAAATGCATCATTACAAAAGAAGGGAAAGGCCAGGCTCGGTGAAAGCATCACACTAAGTCCCAACCTTGTTTGGAAGGTGTGGGAATCTCTCCTTTGAGCTGATATTGGAAGAGGGAGAGAGAATAGCATGTACAAAGGCCCGGAGGCAGTAGATATATGATGGAAGTCTTCAAGTGAGGGGAAAGCTGTGGTGAGATGAGGCTAGAGACAGACATAAGACAAGTCTCCCTGAGGCCTGCAGGCCAAGTGAAGAACTTATACCTTCATCCTAAATATAAACAGAAGTCATGTTTTCAGCAAGGAGGGAGTGGGACGAAATCAGATAGGCATTTATAAAAGATCATTCATGCTATAGTGTGGAGAATGAGGCAGAAAGAGCAGAAACAGGAGACCCAGTTAGGAAGCTCTGGCACTTGTCCAGGGAATTGATGACAGTAGCTACAAGTTGGGTAGCAGTAACAGGATGGAGAGAAGAGGGTGGCATTGAGAGGCCTTTGAAAGGGAAAATTGGCAGGTCTCCTCCATTAATTTTGTGTGAGATGTAAAGGAAAGGAGTGTCAAGGGTGATCCTCAGGCTTCATGTTTGTGCAGCTGGATGGATGAGGGGCTGTTCTCTTAGATAAAACACAACAGAAGAGTCAGGTCTAGATGCCCAGGATGACAAGTTCCAAATGTGGATTTTGAGTAAGAAATAAACAAGGAGAAGAGTGATCCAATGGGAAGAGGACCCACTCAAGTCCTGAGGCAGGAAGCAGCTGGATGGATGGTTGTGGAGTTTAAAGGAAGGGTCTTGGGCCTAGAGATCTGGATTTGGAGGCAACTAACACACAGAAGCAAAGTAAGTGGAAGAGATCCACCAAGGGAGGGAACACAGGGGAGAAGGAAAGGGTCCTGTTACAGATTGAATTGCGCCCCTCCCCCCAAATTCATATGTTAAAGAGGTGAATAAAGTCAAATGAGGTCATATGGCGGGTCCTAACCCAATATGACTCGTGTCCTTATAAGAAAAGATTGGGACACAGACACGCAGACTGAGGGGTGATGGTGTGAGGTCACAGTGAGAAGGGGGCCACCTGCAAACCAAGGAGAGAGGATTCAGAAGAAACAACCCTACAGATACATTGATCTTGGACTTCCGGCGTCCGGAACTGTGAGAAAACAAACTTCCGCCATTTAAGCCACACGGCCCGGAGTATTTTGTTATGGTATAGCTCAAGCAAACTAAGACGGGGCAGAAGGACCAAAGACCGAGGAACTCCAACATTTAAAGGTGAGGTCGAAGATGCTCAGGTGGCAAAGGATTCCTGGGAGAGGCCTCAGGGGGATGGAGAAAAAGAGGAGTGCGTGGGATCACAGACAGCGAGGGGGAACATTTCACGGAGGGAGTGGTCAACCCGGTCACATACTGGCCCGAGGCGACCATTACGCTAAAAATATCCAGCGGACTTGGTGACACTGTAATCTTTGGTGACTAGTGACAGCCATTCCAGACAGGATAGAGGGAGACTGGCAGGTGAGGAAACAGAGAGTATATAATCTCTTCCAAGAATTTAGCTATAGGAGAAAGTGGAGGAGAGGGAGAAGTTTAAGATGAATCTGCAGCCTGTTTCAATGATGATGAGAGGGAGCCCAGCTGAGGGATGTGAGCCCAGATCTTATATTCCTCAAACCTGGCCGATTACCAGAATCCCCCGCAGAGTCCCGGTCATACAAACCGCATCAGAGTCTCTGGAAAAATCTGGGAATCGGGATCTTCATATTTCCCAGGTGATCCTGATTGGCTGAACCAAAGACTAGCATATTTGGGAACCATCATTCGAGATGATTTTTAAAGTCTGTTATAGCCCTGGAAGTTTATGAACCAATACTACTGAATAGAAAGAATCTTTCCAAGCCAGATTTCCAAGATAAATGCACTTTGTCCAAAAGATAAACTTCTCTATTTTCATTTTTCAGATTTCGGTCTTGCTGTAGCAATAAAACTGCCTTCAGTTATAGGAAGAGTATCAATACTTATTTTTATAAACAACAAGAAGACAAAACATTTTCCTAGAATGTTGATGAATGTGTATTAGGGTGAAATGGCCCTGGAAGGGATGAAGTGGGCAGATGAAAAACTACTTTTCATGAGAAAAGAAGAAAATGATAATCTCAATTTTAGAACCCTTTCATTCATTCCACAAATATACTTTTAATACCCACCATGTACAGAAATGTGTGAGGCATCAAATTATTACTGCTCCTTAATTTCCCAAAGGAGAAACAAGATCTTGTATTAGTTTAAAAGAACCTGAATTTTTATGCAATAAACAGCTTGGTTTTTGAGAATTTTTCTAACATGCCAAAGACTGTTTATTCATATATTCTTTCTTCCTATCAAATATACAACATACTTATATTTTAATAGTTATAACACATATATTTTATATAATACACATATATAAGGTTCCTCGAGGGGATGATTTCCTTTTACCACTATAACAATCAAGAAAGTAAATGGGGGCTTCTCCGGTGGCACAGTGGTTAGGAATCCACCTGCCAATGCAAGGGACACGGGTTCAATCCCTGGTCCTGGAAGAGCCCACATGCTGCGGAGCAACTAAGCCTGTGCGCCACAACTACTGAGCCTGCACTCTATAGCCCATGCTCTGCAGCAAGAGTAGCCACCGCAATGAGAAGCCCGCGCACCGCAACGAAGAGTAGCCCCCGCCGGCAGCAACTAGAGAAAGCCCTCGCGCAGCAACGAAGACCCAACACAGCCAAAAATAAGTAAATAAAATAAATAAACTTATTAAAAAAAAAAAGAAAGTAAATGGGTTAAATCAGTGAATTCACAAGAACACCTATGCAGATTATCAACAAGCAGTGGCAAAAAAAAGATGAATCTAAAGTAGGAAACTGCAGAATGTTTACGTTCTTGTCACCACAAGTATGGGGAGAGCCGAGAACATAGTTGGAGCTTAAGCCACTGGAGCAGAAGGTCCAGCTGAGTCTGAGCTGAGTGGGCACATCGCTGGAATTTCCTAGCAAGGAGCTCACGGTGCTGGTGATGTCATCACGAGAAGAGGTACGTGCAGATGAAGCAAATTATTCTCGGGACAGAGAAGCTGTGCTATTTAGCGCTACTTAATGGATGGTCTAGGAAGTATTTCAGAGGGACTTGTGCAGAACATAAAGAGAGAGCAAAGAGAAATTTCTGGGTACATTTAAAAGCGTTCTCTTGGGCTTGCACGCTGGGTAGTTTTCTAAGGTACTGCAACCCCGTCTCTATCTCCCACCGTCTCGATCTCCCACCGTCTCGATATCCCTGAATGCAAATAACGAAATCTCATGGATCCATGTTGCCTCAAGAGTCCCATTAGAAGTGATGGCTGCACGGAACAAAGTCCTAGAGGACGCAGCACAGGTGAATCAAGCAAAGTGTTTACCTGGAAGGATTATTTCAGGAAAGCCCATTTTCCGGGCGATTGCTGTGGATCTATCCACCAAGTGGGAAAAGTTTTTCTGAACCTGTGTGAGGTCCCCCGGCAGGAGCTTCAAGGACACCCAAAGTCCTTTAAAGAAAGAAAAGATACACTTTTAGCTCTTTGTCATGATCCATATAATAAACACACACAAACGCTGAGAAAAATATATGTGTGGTATTGATACAAAAACACATTATTATAAAGATGTAAATTCTCCCCTAGTTAACTTAGAATTTTAATGATACTCCCAACAAAATCACAGTAAGGGGGCTTCCCTGGTGGCACAGTGGCTGAGGGTCTGCCTGCCGATGCAGGGGACACGGGTTCGTGCCCCGGTCTGGGAGGATACCACGTGCCGCGGAGCAGCTGGGCTCGTGAGCTGTGGCCACTGAGCCTGCGCGTCCGGAGCCTGTGCTCCACAACGGGAGAGGCCATAACAGTGAGAGGCCCACATACCGCAAAAAAAAAAAAAAAAAAACACAGTAAGATTTCTTTGAGAATTTGACAGAAATGTGAATGGATGTTTACTTTGGGGAAAAAAAAATAAAGATAGCCCCTCTCAGATATCAAAATACTGTAAAGTTATAGTAATGAGTGCTGTTAGTAGTAGAAAAGATATATAAATCAATGGAAACAATGAAATCAAGTACTATTATATAGAGCAATTAAACATACAGCAAAAGAGACATAACAAATCATGAAAAATGGAACAATTCTATAAACGTGCTGGGATAATTTTCTAGCTACTTAGAATCAATCTAACCTCTCAATGACACATTTTCACTAAAATAAATTCCTAATATAACAGAAAAGTGAACAGATAAAAAGACAGGAAATTAAAGGAAAAAATAAGTGTATCACTATCAAATCTCTGAGTATGAACCATTTTTCTAAGTAGAGAAACAAATGAAGAAATCACAAAAGCAAAAGAATTATCTATACAAACTGAAATTTTGATATACATAAAAAGTAAAAGGTATACTTCATAAACCATATACTACATATGCCTATAAAAGGCATGGTGAAATACTTATAAGAAATTAGAAATTCATACTCATTAGAAGAAGAACATTCAGATCCTCACAAATAAACAGAACATGAATATACAATTCACAAAGAAGTACAAAAAGTTTATAAATATTTGGCAAACCAGAAATTGAAAAGTATGTGTCCTAAGTAAGACAAATTGTTATCTTCATTACACAAAGAGTTCACAAAAACTTTAGAAAGGAAGGAAAACTTTAGAAAACTCCTAAATATCAATACATATGAAGGCCAGACAGTTCACTGTCACGTAGTTTTTTAAAATGCTACGGTGGTCTACTTTTCACCTTTCAAACAGGTAAAGATTTTTAAACATCAGTTTGCAAAGTGGGCATATGGTAATTAGTGCCCACAGGAAGAAACCTATGGGAAGTATTCTGGAAATATGTACATCTCCAGGTTTAAGCTCATTCCTATCATTTGGCCCAGAAATCCTACTTCTGGGAATTTTCTTGGGGAGGCAGTCCTAAATATGGAAAAAGATTCATATATAAAGATAGTCACAGCAGAGTTATTTAAATTTATAACGGTAACAAAATAGAAAGCATTTAAGTGCTTACCTAGCAATTCCATGCTCAAAAAAAAAAAAAAAAATCCAAGCAATGGAATATTACGCAGCCACAAAAAATATTTATGAAGAGCATGAAAATATTTGAAAAGTGTATTGCTAAGAAGGAGGAGAAGGAATGGTATTCTTTTTTCAGTTTTGTTAAAAAAAATTGTACATACATAGCAATCTATTTAGTGTAAGGGTTTTCCACTTTAACAAATTATATCCTTAGGTTAGGAGTTCCAAAACAACAGAAATACATTTAGTTATTTATTTTCGGATTCTATGATTTCTCACATGTATTTACTACTCAGGATAACTGTGAACACATGGCAAATTAAATATCCTGAAAATGTTTCCTAATTGCTTCCACTTCAGAAGACGATTACCGGGTGGTAAAAAAAAAAAAAAAATTGACTCAATCTTCAAAATTATCCCCAAATCATCACCATTTGAATTTCAGATTTTAAACTATTTTCCCTTATTATTTGAGTTAAAAATGCAGTTTCAATAAGCAGAACTCCTCTGAGTTAAAACTATGTCAACAAAATGATATATGGAGGTACTAAAAACAACTAAAAATGTTGTGCTAGGTAGCCCATTAGTTTATATTAATACATATTCATTTGCATTACTTTGGTCTCCTTCCTCTCAATTTTAGGAAACGTATTGGGAGAAACATATTCAGAGAGTGGAACATAATTATCCTCAAAACTCTTTTTCTTAACTAATGAGAACCTACTGTATAGCACAAGGGACTGTACTCAATGCTCTGCGGTGACCTAAATGGGAAGGAAATCCAAAAAAGGGATCTATGTATACGTATAACTGATTCACTTTGCTATAGAGCAGAAACTAACACAACGTTGTGAAGCAACTATAAAAATTAATTTTTTTAGTTTTTAATTTCCAATAAAAATTAATTTTAAAAAATTAAAAAAAAAAACTTTTTCTTTGTGCCTTGACCTGTGGAAACAACACGGGGATTACAGGTCAGACAAAAGTGAGGAAAGACTCATGGGATGAGAATCTCTTCTATAGAATTTACAAAATACAGCTGTGATCCAACTCTCTTAAGTCTTAACTGCCTTTAGACGGAAACTGAGGTGGGCAGTCCCCAGCAAGGTCTGTTTTATATCAGAGAAAGATAGTGAAAGGGCCAGAGTCCAAGGACTCAGCTCTGAGCACCACCCCTCCACCCCTGCCAGAGTCCCCTCCCAGCTCAGTACATAGGGCTGTGTACCTTGTCCTTTGTGATTCACTTCCTTGGCTGCTATCACTTTATTCAAGACTGAAGTGAGTGGCTCATTCTCCCCAATCACATGGGATGTTATCAGGGGCGACATGATTAGCTGCCTCTGCCGGATATAGGTTTCCATGGCAATTCTGGGAAAGTCAGAAATGATTGGTAAGGAAAAAAGAGTAAGTCTCTGCAGCACAGCCTCAGATAGTCGTGGGTCCCATGCGCGTCAGTTGGAAATATAAACAGTAGAGGAACCTAACTACAGGATACTTTCCATCTTTATTTTCCCACCGGGGGCCTATCTTAGACACTGAATTCATCTTGAAATGACTTGGGGGAGTGAGGGGAAAAATAAACCCCAAGAACAAACAAATCCGATGGTCAAATGTTAACAACTAAAACCAGGGGCGATGCTTGATGCACTTTAAAAGGTGGGAGAGGCTGCGGGAATGGAATGGTAGATGGACGGAGGAAGGGGCAGTAAGACCCAGCCTCCAGGTCCTGGCTCTACTTGCCAAGTGAGCTCTGCTAGAGTCCCCCCTCTGGGCCTCAGTTTCCTCATCTGTAAGGAAATGGGCCAGGATCACATGCCTGGAAGGCCCACATCTAGTGACAAGACTCAACGTACAAGAGCGGTATGTAGGCAGCGGCTTCGGGACGGTGTTCGTGGAACCCCACGTGATGAAGAACTATGTTTAGGGTTGCAGTGGCACAGCCACCAGCAAACAAGAGCCACTTTAAAGATCACATCAGGCTGAGGCTCGTACAGGGGGATCAAAGAGCCAAACACAGCCCCCATTCTATGGGAAGCACAAGCGCTATCAATAACTACGTATCAGCCAGGTGCGGGACAACGGCGGCCAGTCTTCTCTGCTGTGGTTTCCTTCTCTTGCCCACAACACACAGGCCAGCTTTCTCTGCAGGGTTCAGACCTGTACCCTGACAATAGGGGGAAAGCATTCTGCAATATGTTCCTGAAAAGTGGGATTGCGACAGTCTGAGTTGTTTTCAAATGACTCCCTCTTAGACTAGCAGGATACACGCATAAAACTCTCCCAATATAATACAAAGCTTTCGAGGTAAGTTACGAGAGCATTTGCCATAAATCTTAGGAGTTCAATGCCAGAGGCTGTGATGTGCATCGTGAAAGCTGCACAGTGGCTGTTGGCCACACAGTGAGCGGTAATCAAATTAGGGCTGGGCTCCTTGGAGACTCAAAGCTTGTATTATTATACGGCGGAGACAGTCTGAAAGCTCACTGTTTCAGCACGGCTGCTTAGGTAAGAGCTGGTTCAGAAAGTAAGCGGGGAGGCACATAACCAAAGAAGAAACCCACCTCAGAAAGTGAGACAAATACAGAGAAACACATTTGAGATAACTCACATCCATAATGTGGTTCCTATTTTATATGCATTTATAATATTATTTGTATGGAGTAGAATAAATTTCATATCCATGAATGCTGCCCCGATAATTCATATATATTGAAACATATATAATATTATATATATTATTATATAATATTTCATATAACTCCCACATCCATGAATGCTGCTCCTAGTACACATATACATATAAAATATACATATATTATACATATATACATAGGACATAATTATAATATATGTATATATAATAGAAACAACATTCATGGATATGAAAATTATTTCTATTTATCACAAGTATATTTACATTTTATGTATTTATATATTCACATTTATGCTATGTATTTTAATATTTATTATATTTACATAAGATATTGTAATATAGTTGGTTTAATATATGAAATCATTTAATTGAATGCATTAATATAAAATTATATATTTTAATATATTATACGCACTAATTTAATATATCGCACTTATTTAACATACTTAAATATACGTATTTACACTGGGAGCAGCATTCGTGAAGTTGAAAGTTGTGTCCTAATTCACACTAGCACTAAGCTACATAAAATATTTACCTCACCACATTCTTGGAGGGTCAGTGTATAGGTGGTAGGATGCTAGATAAGTACATATTTTAAAAATTATTAATAGCAGCTTCTGGATGAGAAGGGAAGTACTACTTAGCACAAACTATTTATACTATTATATTTAGAAACTTATCCAGAAGTGCTGGACTTTAAAATGAAAGATAAGGATTTTTAGATTTTAAATTAAATTACATATAATACGTATTTCTTGTAGAAAGAATAGTGAGCAGTTAAACCAAAAGGGGGCAAAATCACCTAGAGTTACACCAACAGAAATAATCACTGTTAATTATGGAGTGTGTTCTTTGAAATTTCTAAATTTTAAGGTTTTTAGTGCATTGTAACAATTTATATTCTTATAAGTAGTATTTATACCCACTGAACGCTGGATATGATATATTTTTAAAACTTCGTCAACCCCAAAACTAAACCTCATTGTTTCATTTGCCTTTCATTGATTCTCAATGAATTTATAGGCCATTTCTTTGCATGTGTGTGTTTCCTTCTGACTTCCTTATGAACTTGTATTAATTCCTTATAATTTAGAAATATTTATTCTTTTTCATAGACATTGCAAAGATTTTATTAAATTTTTTCTATGTATAAGTTGTCTAAAATTTCTGTGTGGCGAAACCTATCAATTTTTCTTCTTTAGGCGAATCTTTGGTGTCTGACTCAGAAAGGCCTCCCACACATCACACCGTATAAAACTTTTGTTTTCCTATAGTACTTTAAGATTTTTGGCTCTTACACTTACATATGTTACCATCTGGAATTTACAGTGGTATGAGGTGGGAGATGAGGATCTAACTGATGTTTCTTAAATGGTTAGCTAATTTTCTCAAACACTATCTTTTGCAGAGTTTATCTTTCTCCACTGATTTTAAATTATTTTAAAATAATTAAAATAATATATAACCATATTACTTATTACGAATAAAATCACATATTAACTCAAATACCCTTGGGCTGGTTTCTGGAATTCTCGGTTTGTCATATTGATCTGTTGTGGTGGCCGAGACAATCAATTCTTCTCACTGACACGACTGCCCTGTTAGGAGTCAGATCCAGCAACGTCCCAGCCACCTGTGCGAGGTCAGTGGCGCATGCTTGCTGGCGTATGAGCCAGTCATGATGTTCACACGTACGCTCCTTCAGCGTTACGGGGATAGAGAGTAGCTCTCCAACGTCCCCCAGTGGCCCACCCGGGGCTCCAGCTCCTGAGACTCAGTATGGGGAGCTGAGTGCAGCTCTGCGGGGAAAGCTTCCATGCATTCCCAGGCTGGCTTCCCTCCGCTTGCAGGAAAACAAGGATTAGTCTACCCTTCACTCTCGCATCTCCTAAACCTTTGTTACTCAAAGTGTGATCCCCAGACCTGCAGTAGCAGCATCACCTAGAAGCTTGTCAGATGCAGACTCCAGACCCACCAGATCGTGTTTTGCATTCTAACAAGATCCCAGGTGATTCAGGTGCAGGTTACAGTCTGAGAAGCCCTGTGCTATTCTACTCGATTCCTCGTCCTCTGTGATACCAGTTCCATAGGACAAAGTACAGATAAACGTTGGCATTTCTGGCATTTAAGTGGCACCATAATCTGGTAGGTTTGCCCCTTATGTTCCTTTGTTCATTTCTGTAGAATCAGGAAAGTTCAGTTACCCTCTTAATGGAGTGCCACATGAAGGACTTTGAATAAAGTCTTCTGTCAGCTCCGCTCTGACAATCTTCCCGCTTAAGAGTTTTTCCTTTTCTAACTGGGCAAAAGGTTCCTAGCCCCTGGTTCTAACACACCATCCAAAGGCCTAATCCAGGTCTCAAGTCACCTGGGATAATGCCACAGTACTTACTGCTGAAAGGGAATAAAATGTTGCTTTTCTTCATCATCCACCTTCCCATGTATGATATCGGTAATATCCATCACTAGGAAAAAGACAAAACTTAATTAAAGAAACCAACTGCTTCAGGCCTCAGCGAGGAACTATGGAAAATTACAGTATCAGCAAACATAGAACCCTGGAGGAAGAAAGAGAGCGAGAGTGAGCAGGGACGTTGCTTTTATTTCTTTGCCAATGATGACTCCCGGTGTCCCCAGCCTAGCAGGAGATCAGTTCATCAGGGGCTCAGGCAGGGGCTTGGGTATTCTTGGATCAACCCTGCAGACGACCTCCTTTAAAACATTCTACTAGATCAAGTTGGTGAATTCTTGAGTCACATGACACTGACCCTTTTTAGTAAGCCTGCGTTCCAAGACCCAGAGAACACTCTTTTTTTTTTTTGGCAGGAGTGTCCGTAGAATAAAGACCTGGGAGAGGAACTCAAGACTTGCAGTGGGCCACCGTCCCTCTGATTTGACATTTTCTCACCTGGTTTCCACATAAATGAAGGGCAGCCAGGGCACCAACAGCACAGACTAGAAGACCATATAGTGATTTGGTCTTTGATGCCCGGTAAGAGCTATTAAGGAAGCGCTGTTGTAACCCTACTGCATGGATTATCTTATTTATACAAATATTAATATTAGCCTTACTTTAAGAGATGAGGAAACTGACTACAGGAAAGGTAGGTAATTTTCCCTAGGTCAGAAGTTTAAGTGGTAAAGCCAGGGTATGAACCCAGTGATTACAGGGCCAAACCATTTAACCTAACTATGCCTGCTGCCTAGAGAACTAATAAGTGGGCCGTTCACTCTACAGCTGCTGAGGTTAGGCAGGGGCCATGGCAAGAAGCCACTCCTCGGTTAATAAATTACAATCTAGCCATAAAACACACACCAACGATCCACACCACAGGTAATCCGTTTGGCGATTAAAAGAAAGACTGAGATATGAGACAATAATCATTAGAAAAACGAAAGACAAGGGAGGAAATGCTTTCTCAAATCAACCCGAACATATAGTGCATAAGGCTTGGGAATGAATAAAGGTAGTGAAAGAAAGCTGTAGAAAGCAGGGCATGACATCAACTTGCTATCAGCCCTTAATAGACCCCTGAAAACATTGCATGCGCGCACGTGTGCGCGCGCGCACTGGAGAATTTGTATTTGAACCCCCAAATAGCCAGTTCATTTGTGAATGACATCATCTAGTTACTCCTAACTTCTGGGGCTTGGCATCAAGGCTCAAAGTAAATGAATCTCCACGCCCTGAATGAACACACACACACCCTGAAAGGGAAGAGCAAATAAAAGCCTCGAGCTTGACGTTTGAATCTCTATGGACCAGTTTGAAAGACAACGACCTTGAATATTCCTGAAATCTTTTATGAAACAATAGACGGTCCTACAGATGGCTAAGCAGTCCTGGGCCAGGGTTCCTTGCCTTTTCTGGGCTTTTATTTCAATTCACTATCAGGAAGTAGTGCTGTCCCCTCTAGACAGAGCCTGGCCAACCTTGAGAGCAGGTGCAGTGCAAGGCCGTTCAAGGGATGCACGAGGCACACAGCCTCCCGGGGTACAAAGGCTGCCTCACCAGCCACGTAACCCACAGGTCAACCCTGAAAACGTGCAGTTTCTGGGCCCTCGTTCCAGGGGCAGAATTGATGGCTTTCAAAACTACTTAGGGACCAAAGTGTCGGTGTAATACCAAAAATATATTTCCTCCATTTAACAAACTACAGAGGAAAATGGAGGGCCTCCTGGAAGGTTATGGAGTTTGATTTAAGCCAAGGACGCTCTTTGAAAGCAATGTTGCCTTGGAAGAGCCAATTTCCTACACATACAAACCACTTTCCCAGGAGAATTTTATTCAATTAAAATCAATACGCAGCCGCAGTCAGGGAAAATTACAACAGTCACACGGAGGCTTTACTGAGAGGGCCCTGCTGTGTACAAGACACAGTGCTGGGCAGTGAGGGAGAAACAAAGGAGGGGCATCTAGGTGAGGACACAGAACCCACAAAAAGCTACCTGGCAGTTTCAGGCAGTAAACGCGGTGTGCCTGATACTAGTGCTAACAACCAAATTCATCTTGCACTGTCTCTGAGTCTCCTCTCTCCTTCCTCCCTCTTCTCTGTATTTCTTTTAATTTTCTCTTTATTGTGGAAAAATATACATAACATGAAATTTGCCACTTTGAACATTTTTAAATGTACAGTTCAAAGTCGCATTAAAAACATTCACATTGGACTTCCCTGGCGACGCAGTGGTTGAGAATTCGCCTGCCAGTGCAGGGGACACGGGCTGCTTAAGGCTGAATGACATCCCACTGTATGGAAAGACCATTTTGCCTATCCATTCATCCGTCAACAGACAGCTGGGCTGCTTTGGCTATTGTGAACAACGCTGTGGTAAACGTGAGTGTGACAATATCTCTTTGAGACCCTGCTTTTAATTCGTTTGGGGATACAGAAGTGAGATTGCTGGATCCTAATCTAATTTTTTGAGGCCCCACCATACTGTTTTCCCAGTGGCCATACCATCTTACATCCATCTCGGGTCCTTTCTGTACCTGCTACTCCAAAGGGTCTTCGGAGCCCACATGTGTGCTTTTTGCCCTCCTTCAGCTCCATGTGGCCAACCCGGACAATTTGGCACACGAGGCTGATGCGGGGTCGGATGAGGTCTGTGCTGCTGAGGTCCTACAGGGGCAGAGAGAACAGAAAAGGATGTCACCCTACATCACCCTGTCACATTCATTTCTCTTTTCTTTTCACTCTACAATAAAACACCGTTCAGAGCATACTTCCTAATGCTGAAATATCAGAAGGACTCCTCTCTTCCCCCTATCCACCCAAGAACTATCATAGCATCAGAGAAAAATGACTGTATTCAAAAAACGAATTTTTAAAAATTCCCCAGCTCCTACTTCAAATTTATAAATCAGATTGGATTCAATCTCAAGTCTCCAGTTTACGCAGGGTGTGTAAAAATGGGGTCCCTTGTCATTGTTACTTTATATCCTGGCCAGGGCATATCTGAGCACCAGACGCGTTTCAGTGTCAAACGAAATTAAAACTTACTAAACATTGACATTTACTGGGGATCTACACGTGCTGGTGATACTTCATTTCACCTTCCAAATAATCCTGTGAGGCAACTATCACACAGAAGTTTACATGCATTGCTATCTGTAATTATTCATCTGTTTTATGAGAGATAACCATCGAGAGCTTCTGGGTGTGTGTTGACTAATGAGAAATGTATCGATGAAATCTCTCTGTCTTTTTGGGGCTCATACTCTATGCTTGTTTGTATTCCTAAGGATGGGTGAGTAAACCCACAAAAGAGCTCACATATCTCATTTGCTTTAATATCAGAAATGATTTAACTGCATCTCAAATTCTTTTCATGAAACGGCTATCCAAGGCCTCTTTACTGAATCAAAAATTACTTTTTAAACAATCGATCCATATCTATCCCCTATAATCAAATTAACTCAGGTCTCCAAGATAGGAATATATACCGATGACGATATTCACCTTGAATTTCTACTCTAGGTTTTGTGAAGTTTCTATTAATAGAAAGATAAAGACTTTAAGTGACTGGTTACATAAACTGGGGCACACTGATATTATTTAATAATATACAGTCATGTATAAATGAAGTTTCTGTAGAATATTCAATGACCAAAGAATCGGTCACCACATTTTATTTCATTGAAAAAGTTGGACATGAAATTTGCATATAGGAGGGGCCTAATTGGTGGGGGGAGGAGAGGAGGGGGTGAATTGCAGCTATTCTGAAACGGTATTGATTAGAAGATGGACCAATGATTCAACAACACCTTTTTAATGTGTTGTTGTTGTTTTTTAAATAATGTACGCATTGACTGATAAACGCCTTTAATTTCAGGGAAAAAAACCCTCACATATCTCAGAACTGAGGAAATACTCTGCGTGTTGGGGAGAGGTTTTGGGAAGAGTTCTAAGCCCTTTTTTGTCGATGTTTACTAGGTGATGAAGATGTGGATGGGTCAGTGCAGGGATAGTAATACACCACTTTCGTCATAGGGGTAGGAGGTTAATAGATGGAATGAACAATAATAAGCAGAAATGAAGGCAGGCAGGCAGGAAGGAAGAAAGGCAGGAAGGCAGGCAGGAAGGAAGGCAGGAAGGAAGGAAGGCAGGACGGAAGGCAGGAAGGCAGGAAGGAAAGCAGGAAGGCAGGAAGGAAGGCAGGAAGGAAGGAAGGAAGGCAGGCAGGAAGGCAGGAAGGAAGGAAGGAAGGCAGGAAGGAAGGAAGGAAGGCAGGAAGGAAGGAAGGCAAAAAGGAAGGAAGGCAGGAAGGAAGGCAGGACGGAAGGCAGGAAGGCAGGCAGGCAGGAAGGAAGGCAGGAAGGAAGGAAGGAAGGAAGGAAGGCAGGAAGGAAGGCAGGCAGGAAGGATGGAAGGAAGGAAGGCAGGAAGGAAGGAAGGCAGGAAGGAAGGAATGCAGGAAGGCAGGAAGGCAGGAAGAAAGAAAGGCAGGAAGGAAGGCAGGAAGGCAGGAAGGAAGGAAGGAAGGAAGGAAGGAAGGAAGGAAGGCAGGAAGGCAGGCAGGAAAAAAGGCAGGAAGGCAGGAAGGAAGGAAGGCAGGAAGGAAGGCAGGAAGGAAGGCAGGCAGACAGGAAGGCAGGAAGGAAGGAAGGCAGGAAGGAAGGAAGGCAGGCAGGAAGGAAGGAAGGAATGAAAGAAGGAAGGCAGGAATGAAGGAAGGAAGGCAGGAAGGCAGGAATGAAGGAAGGAAGGAAGCAGGGACCAATGCGCCTTCCTATCACTTCCTTTGGTGCTTTACCTTCGACTCTGTTTTCCTGACTGTAAGAGTGGTAAGAGAAAAAGCAGACAAAATATGGGTGTGGCTTAAGGGAAAAAGGGAGAAAAGGAAGCCAGTATCTCTTTTAGGCTTAATGGGAGCTGGAAAACCTGCCCACCAAGGCTGCTCAGAGCAGGTGGCAGCAGCTCCAGGGCATTTCAAGCACTGATGTCCAAAAAAGGGGAGAGAATCCCAAGGAAGATCCTAGCCCACGAAAAGGAGAGTCACCAGGCCCCAGGCTCTAGCCCAGGACATTCCTGGCTCTCGATCCATTTAGATCCATTTACAGCAGCACCTCCTGCCTCGGCGAAGTGGAGACAGAGAGGGAAAAGTCCATTAACACAGAAGCCAACACAAAAGTCTAGTCCGGTCTTTGCCCCAACTGTAACGTGGCTCTGGAAGGTCCCCCCCTTTATCTGCACAGCTCACCCCCTCATCAACTGGAAGTTCTTGCTGAAAGGTCTGCCCTCACCCACTGTTTAAGACAGCAACCCTCCCCCAGCCCAGAAACTCCCAATCCCCCCAAGGCACTCACGACCTCTAACATTCTATACAAATCCTCATCTATCTGATTACTGTTTATTACTGACTTCCCCATTAGGACAGAAAGCTCCTTGAGAACCAGGACGTTATCGGATGTGTTCACTGATGTATCTCAAGTGCCTGGCCTCTGACAGGTGCTCAATAAATATATGGTGAATAAATGAGTGGGTCAGTCCTGCTAGAGAGATCATGCTGATTGTTATTTTCATGTGTCCGTTTTTAAATTTTCCATATACCTGTCACGTGCACCTGTGAAGATCGCAAACAAAGGAAAGGGTTAAACATAGGTAGGACTTACAGTAAAGACCGCTTGAAGGTTATTAAGCTTCTCGATCTCCTTGGGCATTCCATTGCTGCCCCAACGAATTAGGTAGTTTTCACTGATGAAGGGGGAAAAAAAAAATCTCAATGAGCACCTAGATGGGGAGGAAGCTGCTCTCCGTATAGACTTAATAGGGTCGAAAGGTGGCCCAGAAGAGCCCAGTAAAGTTCACCAGGCGGGTCTGAGACCACACCAATGACCGGCCTCTGGTCTCCTGGCTGTAGCCTGGCTCTCTGAGGTACACCCAGTACGGCCCCATGACAAGCACTGCTCAAGACGGGCACAGACACAGTAGATTCTACCAGATTCTATCTGGGGTCTATGTTCCATCTCAAATTCTTTGTATGAAAGTTTCAGTTTTGCTGAGTCAGGAATATAATATTATAAGAATCATTCCAAGTCCATCCCCGGGAAGCCACAGCACCACACTGCAGTAAGCTTTCTTTTTTAGATACAAACAATTTTGGGGCTTCCCTGGTGGCGCAGTGGTTAAGAATCCGCCTGCCAATGCAGGGGACACGGGTTCGAGCACTGATCCAGGAAGATCCCACATGCCGCGGAGCAACTAAGCCCGTGTGCCACAGCTACTGAGCCTCCGCTCTAGAGCCCGCGAGCCACGACTACTGAGCCCGCGAGCCACAACTAATGAAGCCCATGTGAAGCCACCGCAATGAGAAGCCCGCACACCGCAACAAAGAGTAGCTCCCACTCGCCACAACTAGAGAAAACCCGTGCACAGCAACGAAGACCCAACGCAGCCAAAAATTAATTATTTTAAAAATTTATTTTAAAAACTAATAAATAATTTGTCAGTAATTACTTTTAGCCATCTTCTCAAGAATAAGCCTGTTTTCTTAGCTGCTCAGCGGCAGCATGACTGTAGGGTTGAACAAAGCTAAAGTCTTTAATTTATAGCAGTATTGGGTTCACAGCAAAGTTGAGCCGAAGGCACAGATTTCCCCTAGGCCCCCCTCCATGCCCAGCCCCCACCCCTTTATCAACTACCCCCCGCAGAATGGTACAATCATTGTTATAATCATTGAACCTACACTGAGAGGTCATTATGACCCCGAGTCTACAGTTTACATTAGGGGTCGCTCTTAGTGTTGGACATTCTATGGGTTTGGAAAAATGTGTCATGACACACAGTCACCATGACAGTATCACAGAGGATAGTTTCACTGCTCTAAAATTCTCAGTGCTCTGCCGAGTCATCCCTCCCTCACCCCTCTCTTATGCTCCTTTGAATTCTCTGTTCCTGTCACCATGTTCGGATGAGTTTTCTGTGATTTCTAAGACCCAGGGAGTACACAAACTGTTACTACTGCACTGTTTCAGCAGCTATTCAGAATGGCTTAGCGACCCAAAGGGTTTTATTTTCTACTGCCTAGAAATCCTCCCCCTCTTCTCCATCTTCCCCTCTCAAACCCAGTAAAGAAATCCTCAGGGAGGAGATAGGTGAAGGCTAGGTATTTTTGCAAGGTTGACGGAAGATGACCTGGGTCTCTACTACCTGATGAACGTGGACTGGTCCGGGTCGTAGAGGGCCATGAACAACTCTGCGTCTTCCCCAATGTTGCAGACAAAGTTCTTGAAGTTCACATAGAGGCCGTAGGTATGCACGGCACTGAAGATGGACTGGCCCCGCAAGTCCAGATTCTGCAGGATTGACTGAACACAGAGGACAAGATAGAAAAGCATCTTGGTTTCAGCAAGTGGGAAACGCTAGCAAAGACTCTGGCCTGCAAACGGGAGCCAAATATAATGACCACCCGAGAGAAGCACTTACTGAGAAGAAAGTGTGTGTAAGTGGAGAAGTGATCAAGTGAGAAAAATAGAACCATTATTATTTAGATGATCAAGGCGGTCCTGTGAAGCGCCTTGAACCCAAGTAATTCAATAAATGCTGTCTAAAGAGCATATTATCTAAAGTTTATGATAACTCAGGGTTTTAGTAGCTTTAAGAAGTTCTCATCTCTCACGACAATTTCTGGGTAAACCTCAAAAGCATAAACATCACGATTCATTATCCTTCTTTTGGGGCACAACTCTCATTGCAAATAAGAGATTCCACTGGACAGGTCCACCTTCAGGCATGATTAGCCATTAGATCCAGAAACACAATGAAATGTTATTACAACTGTGCTGAAGAAATAAAACCTACAAACTAAACGAAATAAACAGAAGCCTCTACTCATTAGAACAGAAAGACTGGAAGAATATATACCTCAACATCAGTATGTTTGGGGAGTCATAATATAGGTGACTTTTTTCTTTTTCTCTTTTTCTATACGTTTTGAATTTTTATTTATTGTCCAATTACTATTTTTAAAATCTTTCAAATACTTTATTTGTAAATATTATTTTACTTATTTTGGAAATCATGATCTACGTACTAAATACAGAAGTTTACAGAGTCAAGAGGCTTTTCTCCCACCCAGTTCTCCTTCTCAGAGACATCCATTAATTGTCAGTTTCTTGTCTATCACTACAGAGTTAGTCTGCACATAGGCAAGCACAGATGTATGTATATTCTTTTTTGAAACACAAATAATAGTCTTTTATACACACGGTTCTGCATCTTGCTCTTTTCTGCTTAATACATTATCTTTGCAACCTTCCCAGGTCAGAATATACAAAACTGCTTTGTTCTTTTTGTAATATTTTGCTACTAAAATGAGGAAATGAATGATTTCTAAACAACATTTCCACCTCTGTTGTCTTAACTCCTTTTCCTTCATTAAAAACAAAAGCAAAGGGCTTCCCTGGCGGCGCAGTGGTTGAGAGTCCGCCTGCCGATGCAGGGGACGCGGGTTCGTGCCCCGGTCCGGGAAGATCCCACATGCCGCAGAATGGCTGGGCCCGTGAGCCATGGCCGCTGAGCCTGTGCGTCCGGAGCCCGTGCTCCGCAACGGGAGAGGCCACAACAGTGAGAGGCCCACGTACCGCGAAAAAAAAAAAAAAGCAAAAATGGAACCTCTGGGGCCAAAGTCTGCACATCAGAGGAAGCTCACCTTCTCTTCTTGAATCTTTTCCTCAATCCTCTTCGAGGCCACTTCATGGGCCTTGAAGAGGGCGATGGTGCTGGTTTCATCGGGGTCCAAGATGTTCCCGTTGTCGTCCCGCACGACCAGATCCAACCCCAGCATTCTAGGAAGAAAGAAATGGTCAGTTGGTTCTCCTCGTCAGGAGCAGACCCTTTCCTGAAGAGTCTTCACGGAAGAACCCAGAGGATTCAGCTGAAAGGCTGGGTGCCAGACAAGTCAAGATAAGAAGAGTTCACTGGCTCTTCTCCTTTCAATTTTTGCTTCCTTTCCATACAACAATGCTAAAAAACTTATGCAAATGTCACCCAAACTCATATAATATGCGAAGTAATTTGGTCTGCAGAACCTCAACAGGAAAGGCAAAACTGGCGCTAATTCTAACCAAAATCATCTGACCAATGCTTCTTTCCCCTAATCATCTGTAGTTTGTTATAGGAACTATGAAAGACAAATGCTCAGATACTGGGGAGGTTAGCCTGATTTCCTTTAAAGCACAGGCCTGGGGGACAGTGCTTAATTCAAGACTGTTTTTTGTTTGTTTGTTTGTTTTAATTTATTTATTTAATTTATTTATTATTTTTGGCTGTGTTGGGTCTTTGTTGCTGCGTGCGGGCTTTCTCTAGTTGTGGCGACCAGGGGCTACTCTTCGTTGCGGTGTGGGGGCTTCTCATTGCAGTGGCTTCTCTTGTTGCGGAGCACGGGCTCTAGGCGCACGGGCTTCAGTAGTTGTGACTCACGGGCTCAGTAGTTGTGGCTCATGGGCTCTAGAGCACAGGCTCAGCAGTTGTGACGCACAGGCTTAGTTGCTCCGCGGCATGTGGGATCTTCCCGAACCAGGGCTCGAACCCGTGTCCCCTGCATTGGCAGGTGGATTCTTAACCACTGCGCCACCAGGGAAGCCCTTTTCAAGACCATTTTAAAGGAGATCAAAGGAGTTCCTTAGTGGCCTAGTGGTTAGGATTCAGGGCTTCCACTGCCGTGACCTGGGTTCAATCCCTGGTCGGAGAATTGAGATCCCACAAGACATACGGCGCGGCCAAAAACAACAAGAGCAACAAAAGGAATCAAAGAAGTTAAGTCCTGGCTGTTGGTATCACAAAATCTATCTCAGAGAATGGGCTCTGGTGTCAGCTGGACCAAGATTTGCATCCTGGTTTTAATACTTGCTGGCAATATGACTCTGGTTATCTACTTAATTTTACAAAGGCCTGGTTTCCTCGTCTGTAAATTATTCCCTACCCTTCAGGGTTGTTGTGTGAATTTAATGAGATAATGCATATATAGCACACAGTACAATATCTAGCATATAATAGGCTCTCAATGAATGTTAGCTCCTACTGGCACAAGAAAACCCCTGGCTGTGTTAAGACGGAGCTCTGGGTGCCGCACGGAAATAGTACGGCCCATACGGTCCCTGCATGGCCCCATCCCAGCAAGGCTTTTTATGCCCGATGTGCACACAGAAGCAGAAAAAATGGTACTTAGTTCTAAGAAGTTGGGGACGGTGGTGGAAACAGGATACTGTGATCTGAACACCCAGTTCACTCCAGGCACTAGCAGTTTAGGAATGAGGATGTCCAAAGGGCAAGAAAGTTCAAGGATAACGGTGGCACGTGCCAAGTCTTTGGGCAGAAAGCAAAAATGCCTAATTTCCTGCCTCCCTGTTTTATAGCATCTCCATCAACTAATTCAATCTGGCAGGTCCCTTGCCATGGCGGCCAGACCCACAGGCCGCCCAGACTATGAGCAATGGGCCTTGTTGGCTGCTCAGAGACCGGATCACGGATGCACTGATGGAGTAGCTTAATTTCTTGAGCTGCTTCCAAGGGCTGAAATGAAAAGGCCAGCGTGGTCTGCTGTTTGTAGGACATTACCATCCTTTGCCAGAGACCAGAGGCCTCCAGGCTGATGCCACAGTGTGCCAAGACCCAAGAATACAGAGGCAGCCTATGTGCCAGGAGGGAGCTGCTTTAACCCATCTTAGCTGTTGTTTAAGCGTCTCCCCAGGACTGTATGACTAGCAGTGCAGCTCCTGTGGTTATACTCCTGTGAACAGACAAGGGCGGAGCAACTAAGCCCGTGTGCCGCAACTACTGAGCCTGTGCTCTAGAGCCCGCGAGCCACAACTACCGAAGCCCGCGCGCCTAGAGCCCGTGCTCCGCAACAAGAGAAGCCACCGCCATGAGAAGCCCACGCACCGCAACGAAGAGTAGCCCCTGCTCGCTGCAACTAGAGAAAGCCCGCGCGCAGCAACGAAGACCCAACACAGCCAAGAAAAAAAAAAAAAAAACTAAACTAAATGTCAAATGAATCATCAACAAAAACTGAGAAACGAACCCAGTGTTTAAAAAGAGCTGGCCAGGAAGGACGAATCATCCCAGGTCACCATCAATTTTGATGAATCGACTAAATTTTTTGTCTTCCAAAGGGCAGTAACATCTGGAATCTACATAACTGACCGAGACAATCGGAAGATGCATGATGTGATTAACTCTTTAGAGGTTATTGGAGACAGGTTATTCTGGCAAATCTGGTTTTTACACAATGTAAGCAATGGTCCCACTTAGGGGAAGACAGAAAGAAAGAAACAGAATGAGTCTGATGATGATTTAAAACACTGTTAGAAGAAAGATAGCAGGGGGGAGGAATAAATTATGGTTTGGGATTAACAGATAAACACCACTACATATAAAATAGATAAACAACAAGGACCTGATGTATAGCACAGGGAACTCTACTCAATATTCTTTAATAAACTAAATGGGAAAAGAATCTGAAAAAGAATAGATACATGTATAACTGAATCACTTTGCTGTACACCTGAAACTAACACAACATTGTAAAGCAACTATACTCCAGTATAAAATAAAAACTAAAAAAAAAGGAATAAAGATAGAGATAGTCCCAGGTCCCCAGAATTGTCAGCTTCTGATGCTCAGACCCTCTGAGTCTGTCTGGCAGTGGAGTTGCTTCCATTCAAGCCCCATATTCCCTGACCATCCATCATCTCCTTGAGACCAGAGATCCAGCACAGGGTCTGGCCCATGAAGGGCATTGCCAAATTTTCTTCTACAAAATTAAATATTTTCCAAGGCAGAAAGAGGACAGTTAAGCATTGTTCTTTGGCAACTCCAAGATCACAAGCTCATGGTGAGCTATGTCCTTAGCATGAAGGTGCGTGGTTTTTTCCAAGTTCCCAGTGAAAAGTCATCCCTGGTTTACCTGTTCCCGTGATCAATTTTGGCTGTGACCTTCATCTTGAGCTCTGCCAGTTCGTCCTTGGGGAGGGTTCCAGACAGGATCTGGGACCGCCACTCGATCAGGCTGTACGTCATCTGCTGCAGCTGGCGGAAGAGCGTGACCTTGTTGTTCTAAGGTGGGAAAATGAGGCAGAGCAAAGGACCAAAAAAAGAGAAAAAAAAAAAAAAGGTGTGATGGAAGATGAGAACATCTTTGGACCCGATCCTTTATAAGGTGTCATTTAAGCAATTAATTCTGCCATGCAGTGAGCTGAGCACATTGAGGCGACCTTGTTACATCACTAGGATGGCTTTGCCCTGACCCATTCCCACTTCCTCCTTTGGTGCAGGTTTAAAACAGATAAGCACTTGTAGGACGGATAGGACGGATGGTTAGTCCTAACTCATAAGTGTACCAAGTCATCCACGTCCCCTAAAATTCTGCCCATGTCCCTCCTTTACTTAAAACCCTCCAGTGATTTCCACTGTCCTCCAGATACACTAGATCGCACATAAGTCCTTCCTATCTTGGCTCCTACCCACATTCCCAGCTGCATTGTACACCGATCGCTACCTGAAAAATCTACGCTCCTTCCACGCAAAGCGATGTCCATTTCTCCCAAATGCTCCAGACTCTCTCAGTAAGTGACTCCTCCACCTGGAACCACTTTTCTCCTCTTCCTCCCCATGAACACTCCCCGTCTCTCGCTCACACACCACACCCTCCTCCAACTGCTAATTCTGACATCTACAGAATCTCAGAAATCTCTTCCTCAAAACCTAACTCTGGGTTGGCCATCTCTCCCACAGCTGCTGGAACTTATTCCTATGCCAGCACTCATGACCTGAACCACCTTGGCTTGCTGGCCTCTCCCCTCAGATGGTAAGAACCTATAGGACAAGGAGCTTGTTCAGTTTCGTATCCCCAGGAGCTAGTAGGCACTTTATAAAATGTACTGCATCAGTGAATTCTGGATGGAGAAAGAATTGTAATTTCAGAGATAAGGGATAATCGAAAAGAGAATGTGAAATATTAAAGTCCCCATTGAATTGTTAGACCATCCGGAAACAGTTAGATCTGGAATAATGAAACCATTATTCTGGGCTTCAGTAAGAACTTCCTGTAACTGAACTAAAATTAACTTACAACCAGCTAATTCTTTGTGCCTCAGTCATATTGAGTCTAATACTTGATATCCATGCCATTATGACCTTAGTTCTACCTAAAGGATTCATTCATTAAAAAAAAGAAAAAAAAAGTCAATAAGCATTTACCACGTGCTGGAAATAAAGTTCCTGCACATTCCAGAAGGAGAATGCAGCAATAAATAAGTAAACTTTTATATACATATATGTAAATATATTAAAATTATATAGTAAATATAAACATATCAATATCATATAATATTACATACATTTTATGTATACACACGCAGGATAATTTCAGATTATAAAAAGTGCAAGAAGGAAATAGGGCAATATGATAGGGTGTACCTGGGGGAAGGAGGCCACTTTAGATAGAACAGTCAGGAAAAACTGTTCTGTGCATTCCTTTTGATACACAAATATATACCATCACCCCCTATATACTATGAGACCACTTCTTTTTTATTTATAGGTGAAGAGTCATGATATATTTGTATAACCATACACTTCTAAAATGATAGGGAAAATTAGGTACAGCAATCCCAGGTACAGACCCCTGGGTCATGTTATCGACTAGAATCAGGGCTGAAAATATCCAAGATACTAGTGAAGAACCAGTAAATGTGGAGTGAAGAGCCCTCAGCCTAAGTGGGGACAGTGAAGACATCAATGGGATTAGCAGACGTGGTAAGAGCCCTACAAGAAGTTCAAGGTTCTATGAGAACACAGAAGAAAGAGAGGAAGAACTCATTCATCTGCGATTGCAATAGGCTCTGCTAATACCATTGATCTGAAAAACACAGAACGCGCAAGCTGATGAAAATTCTGAAACCGCCTACATTTTATGCTTTTAGCATTTTCTGAATTGCCTCTTTCTCATCAGCCAGTCTTTAGAAAAACCTAAATGAGACTTTTAAAAGCAAAGGTAAAACGACCCTGTGTTTGTTCGTTCAATTCCATATAAAATGTTTCCAACTCATTGTCTTTCTAACTGAGAAATTAAGCCCATAAAACTTTAGGGATCTTTTTTTCTTCTTGCAATCTATTTTTCTACTCCTAGTTAGTTTTTTTTCAATGTTTTCTCATTTTAATTAAGATATGAGGTCTCATAATATGGTAAGGAAAGGGCTCTGAGACTCAGGGGATCCACTATGAGACAGCGCTTTGTTTGGGGCATATATTCACAAGTCCTTGGTCTCAGTTATATGACACACTATTCAAAGCAATTTAATTATTGCCTGTCCATATCAGCCTGCTTGGCCAAGAGTTCCCCCCCAAGAAGGATGAAGATGGTCATTCTTTTCTGGTTCACTTTGCCAAATTAATTGTGAGTAGACACGCTGGAACACACCAAAGGAAGCGACTTTTCCATTTACTTTAAGCAAACAGGTTTTGTTGCCACATTCCTAAGATTGTTCTACGTGGATGTTCTATGCAGTAGCTGGCCCCTGACACTTTCTGGGTTCCTGGGGAAGCAAATGAGGACAGATGAGGAGAAAATCAAGCTCTCCCCATCAACACCAGAAGCCAAGGACTCAGGTCTCCATCTTTCCTCCCTGTTACACCCAAGCCTGCCCATTACAGAGTGCCTTTTCTCCTGTCTCTAGCCTCCACTAATCTCAGTCTTTTTATACTAGCAGCCATTGTCACAGAATTCAGGAGGGCAAGGAATGTATTTAATAATTTCTTTGATCCTCTCCGCAGAATAAGCCTGGGACACAGGAGCGACCGAAAAACAAACTGTGACCGCTTGAACTTAAAATAACACTCTGGGACTTCCCCGGTGGCACAGCGGTTGAGAGTCTGCCTGCCGATGCAGGGGACACGGGTTCGTGCCCCAGTCCAGGAAGATCCCACATGCCGTGGAGCGGCTGGGCCCGTGAGCTATGGCCGCTGAGCCTGCGCTCCGCAGCAGGAGAGGCCACAACAGTGAGAGGCCCACGTACCGCAAAAAATAATAATAATAATAAAATAACACTCTGGTTTCGGTTTGAGGAATAGCTACACAAAATAGAGAAATCTAAATATTCTTCTAACTAGACAGTAAGGATACTCCTGTATTTGCTTAGAAGTTATCCCTCTTTTCTACCTGACGATCTTTGAGGTCTCACTTTTTACATTTCTATTCTGGGTGTCTTTTTTTTTTTTTTTTTTTAAGAATTTCTAAAGAGAAGAAAAAAGGGACAAGAAGAAAAGAAACAGCTTTATCTTCAATAGCGGTAGAAATACAGAAGCCATCCTTTGAGTCATTTAGAAATTCTGAGGGCCACTGAGACAATCGGTACCACCCCACTGGGTGTCAGAAAACCTGGGTTCTATTCTTCAGTTTCTTTCCCAAAGAATGCGGACCAGAGTCAAAAGCCTCTTTCTCTGGGCCTCCACCCCACCTCTCCCTCTGCAAAAGAATCAGTATTTCCTCTGTCCACCAACCTCTCCTCTTCCACTGTAAACCTTCTTTGCTGAAAGTACAGGGGACTTGGTCTCTATCTCTAATTCCATCACTAACTTGGCTAAGTGACTTTGAGCAAATTATTCCCTCTGGGATATGCCCATCTGTAAAATCGGGGGACCAGCAATGAGATCCATTCCCAAGGATAAGCGTCTTCAAGTCTATGGCTGAGACATTAAATTCAATTACTCCTCCAAGCAACTTCCTGATTAAATATATCTGACTCGGACCGTCTCGGTCCTGATGTACTCACACAGTGTGGTGGCTCTATATCAAATTTCCCCCGTATATAGCTCTTCGAAATGAATCTCACGTCTTTTCTGAGTATCTGGACCTTCCGGGAACCGGGATGGTTGGTGTCTTGGTCTTTCTGTGTCCTGTGCTGCGCTGACCCTTAGCTCTGGGAGGACATGAATCCGCAGGGGCCCAGCCTCTCTTCCCATCCATCCATCCTAGTGCTTTTTCTGTCAGCTAGAGGCTTGGCCTGACTAGCAAACGCTCGATTTTTAAAGAAAAGATTCCGGTAAAAGACAGTTTTCGCCTCTGGAAGTAGTGCAGGAAATCCTGGAAGCCCGGCACCAAAGTCAGGGGAAAGCAAAACTGGAAAAACACCCAAAGCGCCACCTCTGCCCTGTTCTGGCCATCGCCCCATCTCCTCCTGCCTCTCCTGAGAGCCATGCATCAAAGCAGGGCTTGCAACTCACAGCTGAAATGCCCTGACACCAGGACGAAGCTTTCTATGGGAATTTTCTGTCCTTAGTAATAAGCGATCAGACGCCCGGCTTCAACCTTGAGATCAGCTTAATTACACTTCAGAGCATATCCTCCAGCAGCCAGTAATAACCACCAGTTCAAAAAGATTAGACTTGAGTAGCTTTAATCTGCCTGGATATGCAAAGATGGAATGAAAGGGCAATTCATGGTGTGTCCGGCAAGTCTCCCCACCCCCGCCTTGGTGACAGGCACTTTCTCTGCTCTAGATTTTTACAGGACTGCAGGCCAGCCCTAGGTTCTATTTTGCTGGTAAATTTTCAATGAGAGGAGATCAATCCTTTCAACGAACTGCATTTTAGCAATTAAGTTCACTTGATTCAACAAGATGTATTAACCACCTTCCACCACCAGGCTCTTCTGCAATCTCTTTTCCATAAGAAAATCGGATCAGGTTCATTCTGCCGAACTTGTATGAACAAAACAGCCTGGCTGACCAAACCTCGCCAAACCATTTCGCCCACTGGAAGGTGGGAAACAGCACTGCACTTAATCTCAGGGTGAGGCATTAGAGAGTATGTTTATGATGACCAAACACCTCAGAATTCCTGGGACAGCTCCTCTTCCAAAAAGTCTTGTCCCGACGTCCCCACAAATATACTCCAACTTGTCAGTTTTCAAGACCTGAGTTTTAGTTGAGAAAATAGGATAAGTATGATGTGGGGTGCAGATCTGTGCATATTCAAAAAGTATAACTGGGTTGTCACTGGAAAGGTAAACTTAGATATGACATCCAACCATCGTGTAGAAATCAATGCATAGGGGTTCCCCCTTCTAGCTGAGGCAACTCACATGGCAGGGAAGAAGGAAAAGAAGCCAAGTTCAGCTCACTGGATCTACTTTTCACGGCTGGGGAAACCCGCAAGATCCTGAGAGGCAGCAGGAAAGAATGAATGGAATACTTTAAAACTATCCACCTAGCGTAGCTCAGTGACTCTAGGGCTGGAAGGGAGCCCACCGGGTAGGTAACAGGCACACCCTTAAACTAGCTCAGGGCAAAATTCCATGTGGATCTAGTTCTCCTAACACTTTTCAACATGAATCAGCTCTTTCCTGAAGCAATGTAGCAAGGGGAGAGTCAGGGGCTGTCACATTTTGACAATGTACAGGCATTGTCCCAGGAATGTGACACAGATTATCTTATTGAATTCTACAGCAAATCTGCAAGGCATGTGTAATATATAATTACCACTGAAGCCCAGGAAAGGAAAACTCAGGAGGTCAAAGGACTTGTGTGGGCTGTAAAATCCTCTAGTGGCACATCCTGAACCAAAATCCCTGCCTGCAGAATCTGTGTTCTTCCTGCTTGGGTTTGTTTGCACTAACTATGACTGGGTTTGTTATTTTTTTCTGAATATAAAAGCGCATACCAAGTAAAGGAGCAAGTGAGAATTTTTTTTTTTTTTTTGGCCACATGGCGCAGCCTATGGGATCTTAGTTCCCCGACCAGGGATTGAACCCGGGCCCTCAGCAGTAAAAGCGTGGAGTCCTAATCTCTGGACTGCCAGGGAAGTCCCAGCAAGTCAGAATTTAAGAACCAGCCGCCTGTCTGACCCCAATGCCCCCGGTTTTGCCATTTCACCAGGCAACCACGTCCTCCTTCACAGTGTTCCCTCCTTTCCTGATCAAGCACTGAAAACGCCCGGTAAATAGGTTCCAATGCAGGATCAGCAGTGCAGGCAAAGCTCGTCAGAAACTGCGGTGCATTTGCAGGCAGCATCTGCGTGCTTCCCTTTTCCTTTCTGGAATGATCCCTGTCTCTTGGACTGGAACCTAAGCTAAGGATGCTCACTATCTACGGGGAGAAACACATAGACTAGCTACTGAGTGCTCAAGGCCGCTCCGCCTAAGACCACACACAAGACAAAGGAAGTGACCTTGGATAAGGGGGAACAGGGAAGGGAGCTTCAGAGTCTCCCAGTCTGGCCAGAGCTACGGCGAGCCAGGCTGCCCCGAGGGAGGACGGACGTCCAGGGTGGCGACTGTTTCCAGCTAAGACATCAAGACTCTCATGCTCACGTTTGCAGAGTCCTTGAGGGTCTGCCTGCGCGATGATTTCTTTTTTTTTTTTTTTTTTCACACTACGATAGTTAATTTTATTTGTTCAAGGACTCATCTTGCAAGCATTAAACCAAGCTTGGGCTTTGATTCTGGGAGCCCAGATTCACATACTTAGGAAGATAAGAGCAGACTGTGCTCCATGTACAGGGATGAAAACTAAAGGCTCGTGGTTAATCACACTGCAGTTTTAAGTTTCTACAGCCTAGCGGCCAGATGTCACAGGTCCTTTAGGTCCTTCTGGATGTCCCAGATGATTTCTTTTTATACCCTCACAACGCTATGGAGTAAACAAGGCAGATTTTGCATCATTTTAACAGATGGTTAAAATCCAGCAGACACTTGGAGACTTCAAGCACTTCGTCCAAAACCAGAGTCAGTTAGGGCAGGGCCTGGATGAGAAACCATGCTTCCTAATTTCTAGTCCCCTGTCTGTCCCCTACAGCTTGCTTCTTCTCCAAAGCATACAGGAAAGATAATAAATTCATAAATAATACTAATATAACAAAGAGAAAAAAGGAACGTGCGGGAATTACCATTTCTTCTTTCTACTCTGGATGGGTGGGTTCCTCTCTCCTTGGCATGGCCGCCACATCCCCACTTTAAAACATATTTATGGTAATTTCACAAGGTTATGGTATGACTGCTAAAAAGAAATCACAGGTATACAGATATCTTTCCCTTCTAGAATAATTACCTGTGTCTACATGGCTGGGTTTAACCTGGTTAGTGGATTGTATTTTCTTCTCACTTAGGACTCTGTACCTACCTCCTAAATTTCTCATGAACTGAGACTGATAAGAAGAGAACTAAGAAATGTGTTGTAGAGAAAGGCGGAGGCTCTAAGATGTCTTTAAAGACACCAAACACAATGCCTGGTTTCATAATCTGTGGGAGAAAATGCGTGAGTGATAAAAGTACTGATGTAGATTAGCAAAACCTGTATTCATCTTTACACAGACTGAAGGAACTTACACACAGAATCAGAAAGCAAACACCAATAAAAATGCTTGTGTGGGGCCTCCCTGGTGGCGCAGTGGTTAAGAATCTGCCTGCCAATGCAGGGGACACGGGTATGAGCCCTGGTCCGGGAAGATCTCACATGCCGCTTGCAGAGCAACTCAGCCCGTGCGCCACAACTACTGAGCCTGCGCTCTAGAGCCCGTGAGCCACAGCTACTGAGTCCGCTCACCACAACTACTGAGCCCATGCGCCACAACTACCGAAGCCCGTGTGCCTAGAACCCATGCTCCGCAGCAAGAGAAGCCACTGCAATGAGAAGCCCGTGCACCACAATGAAGAACAGCCCCCTCTCGCCGCAACCAGAGAAAGCTCACGCGCAGCAACAAAGACCCAGTGCAGTCAAAAATAAATAAATAAACTTATTTTTTTAAAAAACGTGTGTGTGTACACGCGCATGTCTCGGGGCGGGGGGGCGGTGATTGAAACCTACAGATCTGAGTTCCCTTAACTTTTTTCCCAGTGAATCATAATATTTAAGGCTTGTTACTTTTTTTAATATAATATTTATTTATTTATCTAGGCTGCGCCGGGTCTTAGTTGCAGCACGCAGGATCTTCATTGCAGCATGTTTATTTGCAGCACGTAGGCTCTTAGTTGCGGCACGCGGGATCCAGTTCCCTGACCAAGGGTCAAACCTGGGTCCCCTGGATTGGGAGCATGGAGTCTTACCCGTTGGACCACAGGGAAGCCCCAAGGCTGGCTACTTTGACATACAGATGTTTGAGAAAGCATTTCAGAAATTCTGCCTGAAGTGAACTGTCAATGCTTTAGGAAGGGACAGAAAAAAGAAAGCCAAGATTTCCATTTGAAATGGATCATTTCTGAATGGGTGAGCATGCTATCAAAAGAAGGAGCAGATTCTCAGCCCTATCAACTGATTAACATCCCCACAATGAATACCTTCTAGTCAAACAATAGCAGCTATAAGACATCTAAAAAATAACTCACAACAACAAAATAATTATTTTATGAGATGTCAAGATTAAGATGGGAAATGTGCTGCCCCCCCCCCCGAGAGGAGGGTGGAATTTTCTTTTTTTTTTTTTAACTTAGAACTCAATTCTGCTATTAAATAGTGGAACTTCCACATAGGAAATCCTCAACCAGAGCTTAAAAGATTTTGGAAACACAAATACAGGAATCATATTTCTTCCTCCCTGGCTCACTTATTTCTCATTCCTAGTCAATAGCAGACTTGGCACAATTATCTGTGGACACGTACTAGACACAGATCATGAACTAAGCACAAGAGTTGTGTTTTAGCAAGAAGAAAACTCTAGCTCATTCCTGCTCTCCACTCTTGTAGATTACAGCTGTAAAAATCTCATTTCCCAGTACTTATTAGCTAATACGTTTTTCACCACTCGCCAATTTCCAGAAAGACTATGTTGAGGAACTCACCCATCCATCAACCTTGTTACATCCACCACTAACCAATCGATTAACCGGAACCAGAGAGTGCTTTCAATAGAAGGAGATCGATGTAGGCAAAGGGCTTAAAACAGCATCTCTCCCCAGCTTGTGAGTTAAGAATTTACAGGTTAGCTCTCTCCTCGATGAAACATAAAGAGATCAAAAGATCACTTGCATCACAAGGCACTGTGCCCCAGGGGCCAGATGATTGGTTCAGGAGGAAGTGCTCCCATAGTCCAGAAGGAAACATTATGGATTGGTGTGTTTGGAGACACATTATGAAGAAAAAAGGACTTCAGCGGGGGCCTTGAAGGATGGGCAGGCGGAGAAAAATCACGTGCTTTTCCACAGAAGGGGTTGGTGATTTCTATTGCTGTGCTCCACCCTGGGAAACCAAAGCCCTGGGAAATGATCTTATACTAACTGCTAGAAGTTATGCTAGAATGAGTTTCGATTCCTGTTTTTAGTACAAGGGTCTAGAGTGACGTGCTCCCAGTTACTTAGTAAGATCGGCTTTTGAGAGTTAAAATGTAGAATCAATATATGACTGAAAAAAACTTGGACGAACTAGGCCACATAAGGAAAGAGACCGGCTCCCAGGCATTGAGTCGAGTCCTGACTGATCTCATTCACACATTGGGCCGGGGAATATATCAGTACATTCCTAGGAATTCTTAGTCAGCCATGGAAGCCTGGAAGATGCCTACAGAAGGCAAGACCTCATGATGCCTACCCACAAGGTCTCCAGGAAAGAGGAAACTTTAGAAAACAGTGTCTATGCATTCACAGTGCCTGAGAAAGGAGCTTCCTAAAGTGGACATGGGTGCAGGCTTGCTGCCGTCAGACTCAAGGTTCTTGGCCTCCTGCAAGATGGCTGCCCCAGGTGTTCTCAGCCTGATAATATTATTAAGTGCTAGATTTACCTTGCCTTGACTGTAAACCCACACACAAAACTTGTGATTATGGTTTATCGGGGAGAGCATGTGCTGGTTCCTGTGTCATTTCCCACTGACCTGGCATATCTTATTAGCATCCTAAGGTCAAACCATTGCTGTGAGAAACAGTACTATGAATTGGCCTCAAAAAGAAGACTCTTCAGAGCATGGTTTAACGTGATTCATGTTCCAGCATCGGTAAGGTACACAGAAGGTAGAGAGTGCACCCTCATAGGAGCCCTCATGGGGCTGAGCACTGAAACAGTGACAAATGTCTATTCACTGGGATACACACAGAGGCTAAGAGCAGGTCCCTCAATTTCCCCATTGATAAACTGGTAATAATTACAGCTACTTTATAGGAGTGTTATGAGGATTAATAGTTCCTGGCACTTAGTAGGGACAATGTGTTTGCAGCTCTTACTATCCTTATAACTTTACAATCAGCATGCGAGTTGGGAAAATACTGACCTAATGATTATGCCCACCTCCTCCACCACCCACATCATCAACCGCTCTACATGGCGAAAGTGGGAATCTGCTGGTTATCAGCCATTGCGCTGTCCGGGTAAGATACACCCACTCCATACAGAGAGCTAATGAGTGGCCGATCCCTTGCAGCAGAAAAGATGGGCTGAGGGCCCAGGAATAATGCCACAGGCTCCAAGCACCAGGGGCAAACTCACCACGTAGAGCTTGCGCCAGATGACGGCCCATTCCCGCAGTGTCGAGGTGAGCTCCTGTACCAGTGGGAGCTCCCCGGGAATCACAGTCTCATGCTGCCTAAAGAGAACAGAAAGATGCTCCCTTCACTCGGGGTGGATCACCGTGGCTTTTCTTGATGGAGGTCATGATCCCCACAACTCAAAGATGGGAATGTGCTGGCTGGGCTTCAACCAAAAAAAAACCTTGTCCATTTAGGGAAGGTTTGGGTAGAGAATTTTTACCACATCAAGCAGCTGAGAAAAGAGAAAGAGCTTAACACACCCCGATTCTCGAAATGAATGGGTATAGAGCCCAGCCTCTATCTCCCCATTCTGGATCTTTACAGGAGCTTCAAATACCAACCAGGCTGGCTACAGCAATTGCCAGGGATGGAAGCCCAAATCCAGTACTTTCGCTTGTTCTGCCAAGCAGCCATTTCACTAGGGAGGGTGGGGGGGTGGAGAAGTGTTCATGGCACGAGGGTCCTGGGGCTTGGAGCCTCACACAGGACCTGCTGTGGGACTGAGGTGGGACCCTCTTTTGCAGTGGTACTAGGTTTGTTTCTCATCTGCTGTCTCACTGCACAGAAAACGTACATATACCCAAATCCTCACTTAAAGCAGACTTTTAACAAGGCAAACCTGACACTCATGCACATAAATCCCGTCTGGTATTTTTATGATTAGCAAAAGGAGAAAAGGAGAGAGCAAAAGCAGGCAAACAAATGGGGATTAGTGGTGGAACTGCCAGGCGTAAATAAGAATACAAGACACCCCGTTAGGTTTGGATTTCAGATAGATTAAAATAATTTTTAAGCGTAAGTATGTCTCAGGAAATATCTGAGACGTGCATGCAAAAAATTACTTGTTATCTGAATTTCAAATTTAACTGGGCATCCTGCATTTTACCTGGCAACATTAGTTGGTTGGGAATATGCCCCCAACCCTGCCCTTCCACCAACGTGGCTGTAAGTGACCCTGGAGGCTGCCTAGGAATCAGAAAGAAGATTCTCCAGGAGGGCAAGACAACTGTTTTTCAGCCCCGATTATGTGTGAATTTGGGCACGTCTCCATCTCTCGTCTATAAAATGAGGGTGCAGAACTTATGGCTGAGAATGTTCTCTGCCACTGTTAGCCACAGTGCCTCTGTGACCCACTCCACACTCTCTAACGGCCCTGGGATTCCTGCTCCAGGCTCTCTTTATTCCCTCCTTAACTCTCCTGCCCGCTGGCTCACCAGCTAAGTGGATTTTCTCTGCAGAGCGCATTCACACACATTCGTTAGTTCATCATTTCACATCAAGTTCATGACCTACGTGGGGACAGGTTTGTTTTCTCTGATTTGCAGGGGGAAAGCCCCAGGTGCACTGACTCGTCCAAGGTTCAGAGCTGAATAGTGCAGGGTGTTGTATGCTCACCTATCACCCCCCCAAGGTTCCCAAACAGGCGGCTCTCAGGTCTTAAGGGCCAAAGAGCACCAAATATTCATGTACGTGCACACTCACGCGCGCACACGCACGCACACACACACGTGCACGCGATCAGTGAGCAGCCAGTGCAAGAGGAAAGTAAAGGCCCTCTCCGTTCATTATCTGTCTTTACTGTTCTGTGGAAGGAATAAGTATCGAAACAGAAGACAGAAGAAGGAAAGATGTCAGGAAACAGTTTTTATTCATTTCCCTTTCATCCGAGAAGTGGAATTGATGAGCTGAGACAATAAAGCACAAAATGGTATTTTCTGACTTCATAAAATCTATAAGGATACTTTACATCTTCCTCACCTGTTAGGCGTCTTCCTACATTAGAACTTACCCACGGTCTTCTACAGTGGCCTCTTTCAAATGGATATACGTTTCAGGGAAAATACCCTACGGAGAGAAGAACTTGGGTTATGTGGCCGTAAAAATCTCAGCCCAAAGTAAGGAGCACAGACAGCAGCAAGGATGAGTGGGGGAGGGGAAAGGATGCCTGGACAACAGCTAC